TGCAAGGTTGGGATATTGGGGTTACAAAACGTGAGCCTATATTGTGCCTATAAGTCCATAGACACACATGGAGCCCCGGGTGATCAGTTGATTACCTAAGATAATTCCACCACTCAGTCAAAAGATCATAACATCAATTGAGCGTCCAATTATGTAGCGGGATATATACTGGATCCCTAGGTAAACTCTGTAGGAGATCTGAGTAGGATCTACTTCTAAGGTTGGCGGGCCCGGCTCTGAGGGTTATAGAACGGCAGCTAAAATAGGAAAGCCCCACCGAGGGAGTTCCCATGGAACCAGATATGTACAAAGTATACCTCGGGACCTATGACCTCAGATATGACATGTGGAGGTAGTGTGTATATACATACCTTATAGAAAGTGGCAACGATGAGCAAGATACAGAGTAAAATACCACCCTATTATGATCTGAATAATGGCACAAGTCCTTGGAACGTGAATGGCCGATAATGCAGTTGATCGTACAAGATGATGTATGGATACATGTGTCTACCGATGCAGGCTTACTTGTTTCTATTGGTAGTTCCCTGCTTGATGCATCGGAAATAAATACATATATCTTAATTCATGGGTTCTGACCCTATATCGCACAAATGGCACCATTCTAAATTATGGTTAATGTAGTCCTAAACTCTATGAGGGGTCAATAGTATGGACGGAGCTACCTAAGCCTGACCCGTACTCTGTCAGTAACATTGGCAATTGGCCTATTTCCTAGGGTTGGAGGCCCAAGAGTAGAGAATTATTAGAACAATACATATTATTCCTTTGTGAGATCAACAATAATATTCCTATTGGGACATTTGCACTCACAACACTAAAAAGAAAAAGAAAAAGGAAAAGAAACAATAAAAGGAAAAGGGTGTAACACACAAATACAATACCATACGCGTGACTTCTCTCTCCAGTCCCCTTCCCCCATCAACTTGCGACAAGCCCATTTCTCTTTCCTCTATTTTTTAAATCCTTCTGTTCCCTTCCATTCTTCCCTATTTTCCTGCCATTGGCATTCCGATATCTCCGCAGTGTGGTGGTTGCTTATCCTTCCCCCTCACTTTCCCCCCAAGTCCTGTTTGTGCAGGCGGTGTGTTGTGGCATCGTGCCTCATCCTCGCGGCTTTCCGCCGTGTGAAGTTCCACGACGCAAGCTTGCCCTGACTGACACCAAAGTCAATCAATGGCTTCCGCTCTCAACTCTGTGCCGGCCAACAACGCGTCTGGCAATGCCAGCGCGGGCGCCCCCAACCCCGGCCGATCCACTCTGAGGTCCAGTAACAGCACCAAGGGGTCCGACAACCGACGACAGTCGGGCAGCCCCGTCGATGGCGGACAACGGTATGTTCAGCTCTTCCTTCTATACAACATTTCCCTGTGTGCTTCCATCTTCTACGGATTTCGGAAACTCCCCTTGTTGTCTTATCGTGCCCTTCCCTTGTCTTATTGGCGATTGAACTCGTGCACGCGCCTTTGAACCGATGGGCTCTGTTGCAGGCTTGCATCGAGTTGTGCGCCAACAAGAGCCAATTGAAACCGTCGGATTCGACGATAGAGATGTATTGTCGTTCTCTGTTTTGTGACCAATTACTAACACAAGCATGTTCTACTGCATAGGCGCACAAACTCCCACAAGGCCTGGACCCAAGGGACCAACCCCATCACTCAACGATCTTCATACGCTTCATCGAACGGCAACATGACCCACCAGAAACAGTCTGGATCCCCGAGACCCAACCAAAAGGAGTCAAACACCCCTGATAGCCATGCTCATGACCGCCTAGTTTTCTTATTTGCCAGCTTCATCGTAAGCCAAGTCGCACCACCATACTGTCGATTAATTCTAAACTGCTTCCTAGGGCCTACACACTACCATTACCACTAAGACCGGAGAGAAGTTTACCGGCATCTTCTCTTCCTCGACCATGGAGTCCAACGAACTTTCGTTCCTGCTCAAAATGGTCCAGAGAACCTCGCAAGAGGGGCAACCCCGGACAAACGGTGTCAGCGATGTCGCAACTCCGTACATAGGCTCGACGCCCGAGCACATCATGACATTTGATATTAAGGATGTGGCCGACATTGCCGTTCCAAACGTTACCACAGCCGAAGTTTCAGCCAAGGAACCAAACGGTACGGCTTGCTTTGTTTAGTCAGATTCGTTTGTGTGTATACTAATGGAGACCACAGGTGCTTCGCAAGGTTTCAGAACCGACAGTGATATCTCCGGAAACTTAGCTATGCGAGAGCGCACCTTGCAGCGCTGGGAACCTGCCGAGACTGACATTGATATGTCACTTGAAACGAGCAACACTTCTGCAGGATGGGACCAGTTTGAGGCAAACGAGCGTCTTTTCGGCGCCAAGACCAACTACGATGAGAACATCTACACCACTCGCCTTGATCGCTCGGATCCCAACTACAAACAGAAGCAGGCAGAGGCAGCTCGGATCGCCCGTGAGATTGAGGGACAGGATGTCGACAACTCCCACATGCGCGAGGAGCGTGGCCTTGTCGCACCGGATACTGGCGACCAAGACGAAGAAGACAAGTACAGCGGTGTTCGCCGCGAAGACAAAGCCTTCCCTCCTCTGGTTTCCGGCCAGCCCAACAAGTACATGCCCCCTGGACGCCGCCAGGCAGCTCCCCAGCCTACTGCGGCTCCCAGTGCACCCACCAAGCAAGCTGTCGCTTCTCCGGTCCCAACTGCTCCTATTCCCATTCCCGCTCAGGCCGTGGCAAAGGAAGCTTCACCCTCAGAACAGCAAGCTGAGCTGGTTGCATCGCTGCAACCCACAACAGATACCGAGCAAAAGAGTGCCTTGGGCAAGGGTGTGGCACCTGCAGTATCTACTGCGTCCGCTATTCCGGCTGGAAAGCGCCCTGCGCCTGAAAATGCGACCGCAAACGTGGAGGTGGAGGTGTTAGATCATTTCCGCCAGTTCGCAAATAGTGAGAAAATCAAGATGCAGGAGCGCCGTCGCAACCAAGCCTCATATGACCGAACTATGAAACTCAACGAGCTGATGAAGTTTTCCAAGAGCTTCAAACTCTCGACCCCAGTGCCAAAAGACCTTGTTCCTATCCTAGCCAAGGACCGGCTGAAGCAGGAAGCAATTATGCAACGAGCGCTGCAGCAGGGAGATGACAAGACTACCCCAAAGGTTACCACGCCTCCCATGGAACAACAGCCGCCTGCTCGTGGTGCCGGACCTACCGGGGCTGTGCCCCCATCTGCACCCGCTGATCGTCAGAACTACAACCGCACTCGTCAGGGCTATCCTCCCACCGGGCCTCTCGCCGGTGCTGGTGGAAGATTCCCTCAGCAAGTCGTTCCGCCGGGACGTCCTGGTGTTGGCATGCTCAGTCATCGACTAGCGGACAATTTGCAGCAACGAAAGGGTGCGGCAATGGGTCCTGTTCCTACCCCACTCCCGATTCAAGATGCCCGTGGACCCCCAACTGGTCCCGCCAGCGAGCAGCAGAGAATTACCAGCCCTGTCAAATCGCAGGCCGGGTCTTCTGCAGGAACCAAGTTCAATGTCAAAGCTATGGAATTCAAGCCAAACCCCGCAGCAAGCACTTTCACTCCTGGTACCTCGGGAGCTGCTGCAAGCCCACGGCCTTTCTCTCGCAACCGCTCTGTGTCGCGCGCCACAACGCCGACCGCATTCTTTGGCCCAAGGAAGCCACAGCCTATCTCTGAACGTCCCTCGATCAGCAACCAGTTCAATCCTATCAAGCGTATGAAGAAGGAGAATGCAGACACCACCGAGAGGTTGATTGTGTTGAATGGAGGTATCCCACCACCCTACAAGACTTTGCCAACTTGGGACTTTGCGGAGGGAACCGAAGATAAGACGTACGATCAGATGTTTAAACAGCCTGTCGGCGTGCCGACAGTATCGCCCCAGGGTCGCTCCGTCTCCAACAACCCCAATATTCCCCAGCAGCATCAGGTGCCCTTCCACTTCCAGCAAGGTAATCCAGTGATGCCGCCATCTTCTGGTCCTTCGAATGGGCCACATGGTCTTCACTCTCAGGGCCCCCATGGCCCCTCCCATGCGGATGATCATCACCGCATGCAGTTGTCCGCGTCAAACTCCCAGGTTTTCCCGTCCCCGCGAATGCAACATGGATACCCGTCCCCTATGGCTCCCCATGCCCAGCTTTCCTTCCCCCAACCGGTTCCACAGTTTTACGGCGGTCCCCAGCCCGGCCACATGAGACCTTTCCAGGGTGGTGGTCCTCAGTTTGTGAATGGCGCTCCCATGATGGCGCAGCAGGCATCGAATGGACCCTACATGGGAGTCCCACAAGGAATGACTCCGTATAACGGACAGATGCCCATGTATTCCCCGAATCCGGGCCATGTCTATCCCCAACATACACCTCAGCCGCATAGTGGATACCCAAGCCCGAGCCGAGGTGCGCCAATGATGATGCACCAGAACTCGCAATCCGGACAGCCTCCCCAATCAATGATGTTTATGCCTGGCCAACCCGGATATCCTCAGCAGTCGGGACATAGTGAGTGTGGCTACAGTCCCCCATCAAGCAATTCTCGTTTTTAACCAACCCAGTGCCTCCCAACCGTGGCAATTACCCACAGCAGCCTCACTTTTCATCAAGTCCTCATCAATCGCATCATTTCCCACCTAACCAGCATCGGACTCCCAGTAACGGCTTCAACCAAATGCCTCAAATGCCACCCCAGATGTCTGCTAATACCCCAGCAACAACCCCTGGAACTTCCCACCCGGCCGAGGCAACGGACGAAGGAAAATGAACTACATGAACCATGAAGCCGTGAGCGGTTCCCTCGAATGATGCTATATCTTATCGCTTAGCTGTGACTTGTCCGCGCTCTGCATTGTTGGCAACTGCCAACTCAAATACCCCGGTTACCCTTCCATGACCGTGTCTTCATGTGTTTTCCCGTCATCGACGCGGGCCTCAAAACATTTGAATTCTACGGTGAACCTCATGTCGTCTCAAGGCTTGCTCGGTGAGTTAACAATTTTGTGGTCTTGGGCGAAAATCTGCTAATTCTATGATCAGACCTGACAGATCAATCTACCAGTTGTGCCTATCTAGTTTCCAGATCTCGATCTGGTGGTGTACATGAAATCCGAATTTCTAGGCGATGACGATGAACCCATTGAAATCGCGCACTTGATGTCCAATCTAGCCATCGCCGTATGCCTCCCTAGTGCACAACATCTCCACATGCGTCATCTTCGAGTTGAAGTCTTGAGGGTTTCTCTTTTACCTAAGATGTTCTCTTCCTTCTGGTTTTCTCTTATCTTGTTTCTTTTTTTGTCGTTTATCTCTTCTCTTCCTTTCTTCTCAGTTGTTGGTTGGAGGTCTGTGTGTCCACTTGGTGGGCTCACCGGTCCTTGTACCTTCCATGGAGGAAGGCGAGGTCTGCAATGGGTTGTGTCTCGGAATGGAGACAATTGGTCGGATGGTGATGTGAATGAAGGTGATCGGTCTAGGGTAGGGGCCAGAGCAGTGGACGAGGTGTGGTTGAAGGTGCGTGTTAACTTGACAAGAACAGATAGCTCCAGCGGACCCACGGCCACCTGGCAATGAAATGATTATATGAAAATTTCCGTCAATCTGAGTAGATCAAAGGTTACATATAGCTAAGTCGTATTGCATACTTCAAGCCGTTTTCGCCTACTCTATTCTAGTTATAACACCGATAAGGGGAGAAATACGAAAGAGACAAAGATACATTGAAAAAGATGTACTAAGGCTGCATAAGCAGCCGACTATTCTCGTATTCTATATAGAAGCACCCAACTTCACCACCTGTATCCATACTTAACATTTAAACCGTATAATGAATCCAAGCCGGTATTGGCAATGATAGATAATCTGTGGCAGGCGTCAGCAACAGCACATCACCTAATTTCAATGAATGATAAGTCAAGTGCAAGGGGAAGTATCTCCTCAGGTTCAATTTCAAGAGTGTCATCACTCAAGCCACAAACACCAGACATCAACCCACCGCGGTGCTTTACCCCATAGCAAACTCCTCTAACCACACTCCAGCCATAAAACAAGCCCCAGAACAAATTCCAAAAACACCACCAAGCATCACAAAAACCAAACACCTCCAGCCCACACCCCAATCAACACACCTCTCCCGCTCCCAACTCCCAACCACCTACAACAACATGCCCACACCACTCTTCACAGCAGATGAAAAAGAGAAAAGGAAGAAGAAAGAGAAAGAGCAGCCAGAAATGTCACTCACAAAGCAGTCAGAGAGAAGACCATAGAGAAGTCCGTATTTTGCATAGCCAACAGAACGCCGCCAGCAAGAACACGTCCAACTCCAAGCCACCCAAAAAACACCATAAGAAATGTCATCCGGCCACCCAAACTCCCTCTTCTCCTAATCCCCAAACCCTCGTACCCTTTACGCCACAGCCATTGGTCGCCCACCCGTCCTCATGGAAGCGAAGCGGACACGGCAACCCCAGATAGCGGCGCCACCTCCCCGTTTCCCATACTTTCTCGCGTAGACCCGACACTGTACAAGCTATCACCAAAACACCCCAGGATACAATCCCAAGGCGGTCCTCAAGCAATCAACACCGCAACATACAAGGATATCACAGTAGTCGAAAGCGAGCTCTAAGCGATGCGTGCACACGCTAGGCCTAGCTGCGGTACCGGTTTGGGACGGACAGAGGCATAGATATACACAATATCTTCCATGATCCAGGACTAACGACGCTTTGTCCGGCGTGGCCACGAGCCATGGAGGTGCTGGCTAGGATCCCGCTGCTAGCAGCGTTCCGATGGGAGACATATGTGTCCTGCTGGAAGAGTGGGGGGGAATGGTGTCATGTGAAGTTGGTTGTTGGGAGTGCGATCGGAGGAGGGTGTCATCGTGGTCTGGGCACAGCTCTGTGATGGTGTGGCACCATCGTGGCTGGTCCAATAGACAGTAGTCTATTGGAAAGAGATAGTTGGTTCGTGCGCGCCGGGTAATAGCTCTTGAAGATCGCTCCGGGGTCGGTTTGTGGTGTTTTGCATGGGTTTTGGGATTTGCGGGAGTACCATCGGGTTTGCTGGGTGAGTGTGGTGTTGTGGTCTTGGTCTGACCTTTTACCAGAGTTCGCATCATGGGAGAGGGAGGGCGACTTGCGTCGCTGGGTGAATTGTGTACTGTGTGTACACGCGTGGGAAAGGGAATGGTGGACTCACTGGTAATCAATAGGAATGTCGACTGTCGACTGTCGACTGGTGTGTGGGTGAGTGTTGGCTGGAAGAAGATAATTTCAATAGGGTTAGTATCGTAAGTTTCAGTGTCATTTGGCGATAAAATTAGACGCATAGGATCATAACATGGAGGTGAAGAAAAGGGAAGATAAAGCTCCGCTTTATTTATAGGAGCACGTGGTGGCCTCAGGCAAGAAGTGTTTATCACGATAAGGCGGGGTGAAAGGAGTTTAGTGTTTGATGTGTGTCTGGCCATTCCAACTTACAAGAACGTTGTATCTAGTCTCTGATTATTTTTACTCACTCTCTCGAGCTATCGATCTAATCCTGAAACCCGGCCGTACATCGACCCTTTGGCCATTGGCCGCCCCGACTCGCGAACCCCGGACACCCCAAACAACTCCCGAGCTGCCACATCGGCCACACCGCGGCCATGGATTTCCTGAAATCAGCCATCGGATCCGCCATCGCGAAGGGTGGAGGACTCCCGTTTTCCCTCGGCGAGAGAGTCGACATCGGTGATTCGGTCTGGGCACTGCACAACGGTACGAAACGGGTACGGTGGCTTTTTTGGTTCCTTTTCCATACGGAAGAGCTTCAACGGCTGACGATGTCGTGGTACATATAGGATGACGGTTCGGCTTGCAGTGTCTTTGCATTTGATGTCAATGCAAACAAGTCGCGCCTCCCTCTTGCGAAGAATGCGGTGCGCAAATCTAGAACGTTGCGGCATCCTGGTGTTATCAAGGTGTTGGATACGATTGAGGTATAGTTGACCCCGGACTTTTAGCCTGAACGTCGGACTATATTGCAGAAGCTTACATATTGGTAGACCGAGCACAACCTTTATATCGTCACGGAACGAGTCGTGCCACTCAGCTGGCCGGTGAAGCGTCGGAGCTTGAGTGAGGAGACGGCTAAGTGGGGGTTGTATACTGTGGCGGTATGATATTATCCAAAATCAGATATCTTGACATTGCTGAGCGGGATTTCTCTGAACAGACTACTCTCAAATTCATCAACGACGATGCTTCCTCAGTTCACGGCGCTGTGCGCGCATCCTCGGTGTTCATAAGCGAGAGCGGCGAATGGAAGCTGGGAGGCTTCGACATTCTGAGCTCCATGAAAGAAGACGATGCAATTATATATGTGAGTGATCTTGGTTCGGACTCTTCCAGGTCACACTCCGGATGATGCCATATACTGACTCAATGCATAGACATACGGAAGTAGTGTGCCCGATGCCGGTAGATACACGCCTCCGGAAATTGTTAAAGCAGGCTGGGATACTATCAAGCGCAATCCCCTGGCAGCAGTCGATGCCTACGGGCTGGGTATCTTGATCTTTGAGGTCTTCAATGGGGGTTTCTCAGGCGGCGATCAAGCTGGCAAGACGACGAACATTCCTCCCAGCATGCACCAAAGCTATAAACGTCTTTGCACCGCCAACCCGAAGCTACGACTGAGCCCGGGGCATTTCGTGGAGCAGGGAAAGAAACAAGGTGGATTCTTCCAGACACCACTCATTCGAATGACTGAAGACATCGATAGCTTGGGGCTCAAGAGTGACGCCGAGCGCGAAGAATTTATTAAGTACGTATATTCCCAATATCTTAATGATTTTGCGGCTGACATTTCACCACTTGCAGTGAGCTTGATAATCTTTCTGATGACTTCCCAGAGGAATTCTTCAAGATGAAGGTGCTCCCTGAGCTACTCAAGTCAGTCGAGTTTGGCGGCGGTGGGCCGAAAGTTCTTTCAGCTACCTTGAAGATTGGAGCAAAGCTGTCGGCAGACGAATTCAATGCTAAGATGACTCCTGTTATTGTCCGCTTATTTGGAAACCCTGATCGAGCATTGCGGGTCTGCCTCTTGGATAACCTTCCATCAATGATTGATAACCTTCCCCAGAGGGTAGTCAACGACAAGATCTTCCCTCAAATGGTAAGCTATATGATTCTTGGTAACGCACATTTTACTAACATGTCATAGACTTCTGGTTTCACAGATGTTGCCCCGGTGGTTCGAGAACAGACAGTGAAGGCTGTTCTGACTATCATTAACAAACTCAATGATAGAATTGTCAATGGAGAACTCTTGAAGTTCCTTGCCCGCACTGCTAACGATGAGCAACCCGGGATCCGGACAAACACGACAATTTGTCTTGGTCGGATTGCTAAGAACCTAAGTCAAAGTGTAGGTGATCTATCCTCCATGCTAGGTCTTGCCGCTGACATTACATACAGACCCGCTCCAAAGTACTTATTGCGGCATTCACGAGAGCCATCAGAGACCCCTTTGTCCACGCTCGAAATGCAGGACTTTTGGCTCTGGCCGCGACTGTCGACGTGTTTAACGAGGAAGATTGTGCTGTCAGGATTCTACCTGCCATTTGCCCTGGACTTTTGGACAAGGAAAAGTGAGTAATGCGCTCGTCTTTTAATTCTGGCCCGATCCTTACAGTAGAACAGATTGATTCGCGACCAAGCAAACAAAACATTTGATTTGTATGTCCAGCGGACACGGAAATTTGCTAGCACGATGCCAGACACTGTCATACCCCCGGCCGCACCCGCAGAAGTCAACAAACCCGATGCTCGCGTTGGAACCCCCAATGACAACTCCTGGGCCGGCTGGGCTATTTCATCATTCACAAACAAAATCGCAACTGCCAACGGGGAGATTGAGCCCACCGCAAACGTCACCAAGGCTGTTGATCCTGATACTGCTCGCTCAGCGTCTGTTCCTCGTCCCTCCAAACCATCACCCTCAACCCCAGCCGAACTACCAAAGCAAGCCCTTCGTCCCGCAGCTCAGCCTTTGAACCGGTCAATGTCAGATCGCCCAGCTCCGGTAGTTCACGACGAGCCTGAAGAAGAGGGCGATGACGTCTTCGATGCCTGGGGTGCTATGGACGACGATGAAAAAGACGAAGATCCATTCACTGCCGCTGTAACTTCTCCTAAACCCACATCCCCTGCCCACTCATCAAACAAAGCCCCCGCGGTGCCCTACGACGACGGCGGCGAACCCGATTTTGCCGGCTGGCTCGCCGCAAAATCTCAGACCAAGGCCAAAAACCCCCTGCCAAAGGGTCTGACCAAGGCGGCTTCTACCAACAGCGTTACTACACGATCAACGCTGAACACTGCCAAGCCTCGGACTGTGGTTGCTCCTAAGAAGATCGATACTAAACCAAAAGACGAGGACGCTGATGATGATTGGGGAGATGCATGGGAGTAATTTGGAACTACACCTTGCTCTCTTTCTTTTTGGTTGTTCCTGTCCATATCTCCATCTAATGCGAGTCTAACGAGTCAATATCTGACAACCTTGGCATTGAGGGGGGTTTTGGAGTCTGTACCACACTAACGCTGGTGGCGTATTGATGATATCCCCCGTACTCGTTCCTAATAGATCTATCAATACTACCCAGATCATTCCTCTTTTCCCTTGCCCGACTCGAGGATGTTAATTGCTATTGTACACTATTATTTCTTGGTATCTGATGCTTCTACCATTCCCTAGCTCTTTAGAAATCCTCTCTATCTTCTCTTTGTCTTTCCTTTTCCCTTTCTTTCTCTTGCTCCAGCGTCTTGAGTGCATCCATAGCTTTCTGTAACGCCTCCCGTCGTGCAATACTCTGATTCCCTTTAAATTCAGACCGAGTGTGAGGACTTGCAGTCCTCTTTTCCTCGTCTAGCATCTCGCGCAACATCGATAACGCGTCTTTCGGCTCTTCCTCTGCCCTTGCCCTCGCCCTCCGTCGTTCCAACTCTTCCCTATCTTGGCTCTCCTTTTTCTGCCGCCTCTTCTGTTCCTCCTGCATTCTCTTCTGTGCCTCTTTCTCCTCTCGCATCTTTCGCTCTTCCATTGCTTTTTTCGCTTTCTCCCTTCCCTCCTTCAGTTTTCTATTCCTCTCGCGTCTTCTCTGTTTATCCCTTTCCATCTCTTCTTTCTTCTTTTTCATATCTTGCTCATACGCGGCCTCAATCTGAACCTTTATCTGTCCGCCTCTCTCATATTCTTTCATCCATGAACCACCCCAGTGCTGAGGATTTTGTTCCTTATCCATTTCAACTGCCTTGTCGATCTGCTTATCAAGCTGCCTGATTTGCCATACCTGTAGCTTATTCCTGATAGGGGCGAGTGGGTTTTCGATCTCGGGATCCGATGGCCTCTCGGGGTTTGATGATATTTCGAGCTCCGGCACTGGCTCGGGAGCCGATGATATCTCGGGATCTGCTGGGCTTTCGATGTTGGGCAATGACTGGGGATTCGACCATGTCGCAAGGTCGAAAAATGACACGAGATCCAGGAATTGCTCAGGCTCTGACTCGGGTACTGGCGATTGTTCGGGGTTTGATGCCTCTTGGGCGTCTGGATGTGACCCCTCTCGTTGTGTCAATTCCTCTGGATGTGGCAAGTTCGCAGACAATTCTGTTCTACGCCGTTTAGCTTCTGGAAGCTCCGAATCGGGATCATCAGACTCTGAATCATGAAAATCAGGGTCGTCATCGGGGTTATCCGGGAATATGAACTCGATATTCTCGTGACCGCCAGGTGGAATCTCGGCGAAAAGCCTTGGGAATCTCTTGCCGTCTATCATGAGAGGGACGTCAGGAGGATTGATGTCGCGTCTATATCGGAGGCGCGAGGCCCAGACGGTTGGGATTAATGATGATTCCTGATTTGGCCGTTCGAGTCTCGGTAACCAGCGTTGAGGTGGGAGAAATGGAGGAACAGCTTGAGATCGAACTCGTAAAACAGCTGGAGGTACGGGTGGAGATGACGCTGGTGTTATTGTTGCCTGAGTTGGAGATGGATATCGAGATTCAGTTCCAGATTCTGTTGGTTGCCATTCCGTTTCAGCTACTGATTTTGATGGAGTCTCAAGTCCTATTTCTGAATTCAATCGAGATGAGGTTGGAAATGACCGCCTTTTCTTCCCGCATGCTTTGCGCCAGTGCTCACTTCTGAAGTTTTGTATAGCTGGTTCCGAATTTATGAGCCTATCTAACGATGACAGGATAGACCAGTCGCATTCTGATGGCAACATAGGTCCGGATTCAACTTCGGGCAGAGGCTCCGGTGATGAGGGGAGTGGAAATGGTACTGCCTTGCGGTGAGACGCATGGTGGGCGTTTGATCTGTTTCGTTTTAGGGTTTTCATCTTGCTTATCTCGCATGGTGAGGGCGATGACAAGGACAGTTCCAGCTCTGAGCTCAGTCCTGCTTCAGATGCAGTTTCAGACTCATCGTCAGTGTCCGATGTCGATGACTCGCGGGTCTGCTGCCCATAATCAGGATGGGAAGCTATTGTGGTCTTGTGGCTCATCACTCTTTCCGGCAATTTTGGCAATGTTGGCGATGCTGGTGATGGCAGGGCTGATTCCCCTTCCGATTCAGATGTAAAGACTAACTGTGACTCTGACAGTGAACTTGACGACGATGCCACACAAAATGTGTTCCGTCGGTCATGATTAGGGAGTGGCATGGAATTTGCGAGGCCCACAGCCCTTTGCAATGATGAGGGAAGTGATCGTGATGGCGAGACCAGCTCGCGTCCTTTTCCAGATTCCGAGTCTTCATCTGATGATGATACCTCAGTGGTTTCGTTTCCATATCCATAGTCAGAGACTGCCGTGGGACTTTTGGGACTTACGACCATTTGGAGTGGCGAGGAAGATGGATACGATGGTGAGGTTGGGCAGCGTCTTCTTTCAGACTCCGAATCTTCATCTAATGATGATGATACTTCACGGGTCTGGTTCCCATATTCACGATCAGAGACAGGTACTGTCCTTTTGAGGCTCAGAACCCTTTGCGGTGACGATGGAGGTGATCGTAAAGCTAATAGTGCCTGCAATTGCGCCTTGGCCTGAGCCTCATTTTTATATTCGAACTCAAAGTCAGACTCATACACTATTTCCACTTTACGTGGAGGCGCACGCTGCAGTGACGACAATGAACGCTTGCGTGATGACCCTGGCTCCTGAACCTTGACTTGGGAGCTCTTAAAGGAACCTGAGCTGGTTCGCTCATGGTCTGTGACCGGAGGATCGGACGACCCCGCCTGTGGTGATTCCGAATTTAATCCATATTTTTTGCACACTTGCGAGGATGATGGCAACCGATTCTTGGCTTTCTGCCTCTTCGTGATATTCTGCTGGATATCACAACGTCGGCCTTTCTCCTTGGCTGGGGATGATGCTGAAGAGCGTGCCGGTGACTGGGTTTGCTGGACCGGCTTTTCATGGCAGTGGCGACGGCGACGTTTTCCTTTAGACATGACGTTGGCAAACAGGCTCTATTCAGGGGCAAGGATTCATGTAATTCTGGTGGGGGCCGTCGATTTTATATAGTTCTGTCTATTCAGTCCCGAAACCGTTAGGGTAACATCAACCGGGGCGGTTATATATCTCCGGTTCACCCGGCAATAAGGGAATTGCAGTCGAAAATTTAGACGTACAAATATCTTTTTTTTAGTGGATGTAAATTAGTTCAATAGGAAAAGTAAAACATGCTTCCTGATGCGGTAATTAGAATGGATTTCCTAGTGTGGACCAGTATCTGCGTAATACTGGAGTAGATCAGACTCTGCCACATTTGACAGCAACTTTATGCAATGTCCAGGTTTTGATCTGACCAAACTGCACGGAGCTTCAATGTTATTATTCCTTTCTCCTTTAGCCTTGAGCTACTGCACGACACTGACGTCCCAGGATTAAAGAATAATTATCTTTCTCTTCATTGCCCAGCCCAGGTGCGGAACTAAGGCGAAAGTGGAGATACCAGAACACTGCCTCGATGGGGCTCCTACACATCAGCCAAAAGATGGCCAAAAGACGATATTCATTTACTAGAATCATTCATATAACGCAACCAGTACTACGATAAACCTAGTCAATCTCAACACACTCGTTCAAATCCAGAGATTCAGATATAAAATCCGAATTTCCTGTCAATTTTACGCAAACTTCAAGATCCACCAGCGAAAGAAAGCCCCTTAATCAAACCCCCAAATTCCAATTCCTCAATATCTCCCCAGCAACCCTTTCCCCCGAACTAATAGCCCCGTCCATATACCCAATCCACCTTAGCGAAGTCTCAGTTCCGGCAAAATGGATTCTCCCAACCGGAGCCCGTAAATAAGACCCATACTGCGTCAAAACCCCCGGTGGCATGAAAGCACTAGGACCACCACGGGAGAACTCCTCAAGATCCCATCTCTGAACAAGAACATCTGTAGCATTTTCCATACGCGGGCCAAACAAATTCGCAAAACTTTCCTTGACCTGGCGCTTGACTTCGTCCTCGCTCGCAGTATCCAGCTTGCGCATCTCGTCCGCCTCGATGAATCCAATTATAGCCCCGAATGATCCACCAGCGGGAGAGTTATCGTATGTTACTCGGATTGCTCCGGTATCACTAACACCTTCGCCGTTGAGCCCCTCGTCCCGCCACCAGGCGCTCGGGAAGATCGCAATCGCTTTGCCGAGTGCACCCAATGGCATACGCTGGTTTAATTGGTCTCGACCAGCGGGTAAGGGGGGATCGAATGCGATGTGAGTTACTAGAGGCGGGGACATTGCGACGACGACATGTCGGGCCGAGATGGTGACTTTGTCTGATGAAACTAGATAACGGGATTCTTTAAGTTGGACTTTGCGAACAGGCGAGTTGAGGTAGATGTTTTGCGAACCGAGTATTTCGGCAAGTAGGGTTGCGAGTAATTGTGTTCCACCACTCACTCGACTATCCTGTGCACCACCGTCAACGCCAATGAGTCGGTTGATGGTCCCAGGTCCGGTTTCATCCCCCGCAGCTGCTATGCACCATAATGAATATAGCAGAGATGGCTCTCTCAACTCGGTTGATAGAATGGCTGGGATAGCGATGTTGAGAAGGACGCGAGAGTCGGCTGTCGATAGTCGAGAGTTGACATATGTTTCTAGAGTCATTGAATCCAGCGTTGTGGCATTCGGGGTATTCCATGGTGCTTCCAGGTCGACCGTGCTAGCCAAAGTATTGATGTCGTTCATGAAGACTGCAAGTTCAATGAGGGAATCTAATCCTACGGGAGGAATACCGCCCAGGGAATCTTGGTAATGACGCGCTGTGCCGTTTCGATAGAAAGTTGAATTTCCCACAGTGTACGTCTTGTAGGTTGGTAGACCGAGTTCGGTTGCGAGAGCCAGCACGCGGTTTTGTGTTGGTCCAACGTATTCGGCGTCTAATTCTTGGATGCTCTTTCCTGTTAGGTTGGCGTTGAGCACACGCCCGCCGACTCGGTCTCGTGCTTCTAGTATGGCAAAGGATTTGTTGGCTGCTGCGAGACCTTTAGCGGTAGAGAGTCCTGACAGGCCACCGCCGATTATGGCGACGTCGACTTTCGGGATTGGAGGATCTGCAACCAGTGCATGGCAAAGGGGGATTGCCATCAGGAATAGGTGTATTGCACCGAGGGATGATATGGAGTGAATTAGCCGCATACTTATCTTGATATTCAGTCAATGGATCGTTTGATGGTAGTATCATAGAGACAACCTGCAATTGTCTGTTTTCATCTCGAGGGATATTCAACGGACGGGTCTGATTTATCACTTGATTTACTTTACTGCCGACTACTACCCAACGTCGGAAAGTACGGAATACTACAATTAAACCAATCCGGTGGGCCTAGAAGCAAAATCTTGTGATTAGAGTAGTACGAGCGACATAAGAGGACAGACCAGAGAACATAACCCTGTAGGTGTAGCTGCCCAAGCAAAACAAGATCCAGCAAACCTTCAAACCCTTTCTGCATTACATTATGGTTGCTGGCATGGATCCTTGTCCCATTATCATCTTCCGAAACCACACGACGAGCAACCTGGCAACAACCCACAGGAGGAGCAGTTGATATCTCACTCTATGTCTCCATATCCGAGTCTTCCTCAGAAGATTTATCTTCTGAAGACGTCGAGGAGGATTCATCACTTGTTATCTCAATCGGCTCTTCCGCCTTTTCGTGTCTCGTTTGGGGCTCCAATTTTGTTGCTGGTTGTATCTTGTGGAAATGCTTCTGGTACCAGATGGCTCTTTAGTTGTTCTTCAGGTTCGTCCTCTGACTCATCTTCTGATGACGATTTGGATGATTCATCGTCTGAGAGTTGAATCAGTTCTTTGAAATTGTCCTTGGGTTCCTTTGGGAGCTCTTCTTTCGTGAACAGTTTCCGCCTTACTTCCCCTAGTTCCTCTAGTTCGTCATCTGACTCTTCTTCTGAGGATTCGTCTTCTGACGAAGAAGAAGAAGAAGAAGAAGAAGAAGAAGAAGAAGAAGAAGAAGAAGAAGAAGAAGAAGAAGAAGAAGATGATGATGTTTCGCTGCTCTCCTCTAGTGATCGAATCGTTGTTTCCGCTTTCATGTTGTCTTCCTCTTGTAACGCCTCTTTTACTGCTGGAATTTGCACAGCCGTTTCTTCTTCTCCTTCGGAGGAGTGATCGTCATCCTCTTCTGAAGACGAATCTTCCAAGGATTCTTTCTGCGTGAAAGACAGGATCCATCATTTTCTCCCTCTAGATGTGGCACGTCTTCGTTCGTCACTTTATGTGCGATTGGCAATATGTCTGAATTTTCGACAGGTGAGTTGTCTTGCCTATTCATTACCATCTTGATCTGCGCTGCCTTTCCTTTAGATCGCGACGAAGATACCGGTGATTGCGAATACTCCCGACTGTCCGCCACCGCTCTGTGGTTATTTTGTTCCTGTCGTGGACCACTTTCCCCTCTGCAGACTTCTGGCACTAGTACTCGTCGCAATTCCTGTAACCGCTGCCGTTTGAATATAGGTTGCTGCTCATTAATATAGTGATAGGCTCGCTTTGAACCGACCTGCTGTTGTGGGATGTCCATAATTGGGGATGATAAAGGCATGTCTAGCGGCTCGGATGTCTCATAAACTGCATCCTCAAAGCGCTCGCTTTTTATTGGAACATTACCATTTTGTGCTGCAATATAAAGATCCTGCTCTCTTTTGCGTTGCATCATCTTCCCCATCTCGTTTACTGGAATCTGATCGTTCTTAGCATCATACGCCCTCCATTGCCCATGGTGCAGCTTACCATTTTACAGTGAATCTGCATACGTGTACAGTACTCACATGGCCCCACTAGTGTAGGAAGACAAGGTGGGAATGGGCTTTCGTTTTGCCAGGACGCAAAGCACTCGTAGCAGCTTCTGACAGCATCCTGGAGTGACCCAGATACTGCATCCATATCATTAGAGAGCTGCATTTTTGCTGTCTCTAGCGGCACGATTGCTTCATGCGGGAGTTCTGGTGTCCCCTCCCCGTCGTGCAAGGTCATAGACGGCGGATGACCAGGGGAGTTGATCGCTAGTTGATCTCCATCCTGGGAGAATGGGGATCTGTCGCGCAGTTTATCAACCACTTGGACATCCTGCATCCCCTCGACGGGCAAGTGATTCGATGTCTCCACTGCATCCGGCTGGATCTGCGGTCCCCATATCTGTTTGATGCTTTCTGCAAAGTTAAATGTTCCAGCGGCAAATATTTGGACAGCTTCCGCAACTGCTTGCACAGTCCGCTGGAATCTCTGATCACTGGCCATATTGGATTGACACGTTGATAGAGATAACCCCCCCTCCCTCCCCCCTGTGCTGGTCAATGTGATGTAGGTGTTGTGATATTGGTTCGGCTTCCGGCTGAGCTTATTCTCCGAGACTCACTCTGGCCTCAGATTGAGACCATTTCAAGAGTTTGATATTGATGTAAATCATCTTATTGATTATGAAGATGGATTCTAAGTCGGAAGAAGCAAACAAGGCAGTGTGGTATGTTTGTTTCTCCCACATCTCCAAGTAGATAGCATTTGAGACCCGAAGAAAACAATGGCATGTATATATTATGCGGCAAAGTGCATGATTTTTATTATCTAAAATAGATAGCTCTGTTATAAACTAGTCAATATTTAAATTCACACCCAAACGCCCGACAAAAAATGGCTAGGGCCAAAACTCCCCAGGAATGGTGTTATATGGAAAAAAATAACCCAGTTAATATCCCCCAGGTGGCCGTGGCCTTGCAGCGAACGCCCCACCGCTTTCCGCGCCTGTGAGGGAAAAATGAACGTCCCCCCTGTCAGAACTAAAATATCCTCGCCGGTCAACTCTCCGTGTGACAATGCACTTACGGATGCCAAAGTGCCAAGTTCCTGCCCTAACCATTTTTTCCCCTTGAGATTCTCACTTATGCATAAGATCTTAGTGATATCTGACAGAATAATCCTAATGTTCATGTATAGTAAATAACTTCACAAGATCCAATAAAAGCGAAAGAAAAGTGAAGAGCAATTTAATATTATTAGCTTACTAGAGAATTATACAAGTATATTTGGCCTTATCTTACCGCTCTTTTATTTTCCCTTTCACGTTGAATCTATATGTAACGGTATATGCACCATTCCACAAACCTACAAGCTTTGGATTATCCAAGTTGCCTGGCGTGTCCACATTGATCCGTCGTCCCTCTATGTAAAACCTTATCTATTAAATGCGGCTCAATTTTACGGCAGACTAGTTGCTTTGACATAACTAATTGATCTTCTGCATGGTCTGACTTATTCTGCTCTCTGGAACAAATCAGGATCTGGATTGGTACATATCGAAATCAATCAATCAATATCTCATGTTGCCGTTGAACCTGAAATCTCGCCCCACACTCGTATTACCTAGCATCACAGGGCTACCATCAGATTCTATCATATATGTTGGCTTGGAATTTGTCAGGCACCCGCTGGTTTTCAAATTCATCTACTCATGTCCACAAAGTATTGCTTATGGCTTTGTACCCGGGATCCAGAGGGCTGCTAAGCCTGGTCATCTGCATATGATTATCGTGGATGGTGCAGTTTTGACAGGATGGGAGGATAGCATATTGGTCTGACACGATCTAAATGGCGTTAATGAACAACTGACTTCACCATGTAGGAGCCTAAACGTACCTTTCCAACTCCATTAACTCCAAGTTCTTCGTAAAATCAAAGCATCTCAATCGTTTTGCCATGATTGCGACGGTAATGTTCCAGCATTGTATGAAACTCTTGTTGGAGGGTAGCGAGCATCTTCGACCCTAGCGTGAGAACCTTCAAAATTTCTCTATTTGCATTCCGGCGATAATCTTCTATCATTGTATTGAACTCTTGTTGCAAAGCAGGGGACATCTCCGATCCTGGTGTAAGAGCCTTCAGGGTTTCTCTATTTGCTTCCCGCAGGACATTAGCCAAGCGAGTTAGTGATAATGCCCAGGCGGCTTTATCTGAACCAAGATTCGGAGTCCCAATAAATGATGTAGCGGCAGTTGATTCGAAAACATCCTTATAGTATTGTTGTGCTGATCTGCGGGAAATAAGAAGGGCTTGCTCAATCACGAGACCTCCAAGGCTATGTGTGACGAAGATCGAGTAATATTTCCTGCTTTTTCCCCAACGACAGTTTGTCATCAATAACTACAAAGTACGCTTCGCATTTTACACATAGTTCAATCGTAAAATATATAAAAAATAAGTCTCTCGGCATAAATACCGGTCCTAACCTAGCCTCTCATGGAAAACTCCAGATTCGGTGTACATGCGCGTGACCCACATGGGCATCGACATGTCCGTATATCTAAACAAATACTACAACTTATGGGTTCGAAGGTTTGTGGACCTCTTTCCTTCTGGCATCTTTCTCGCTCAATTATTTTCTTTGTTGCGTCTTCTTCGTCATCCACCATATGCTTTCTATCCTTTGCTTGTCATCGGCTTCTCAATTTGGTAATGCCAATAACATTCAACGTTCAAATAGGCTTTCCTGGGACCATGGCACAACACGTGTTTCATTGCCGTATCTTTGATTGGTCATTTTGACCTCGGGCTTTTAATGCGCTTAGTAAACGTCTTGGCTTGTTTCAAATTCCCACCTTGGCAAGGTCCCCTAGAAAGTACGGCGAAGTTATAGCAGCCGTCGTGCATGAGATAATTTCATTCTCCTGAGCTGTCTTACTATTTGTACTCGACGGATCTGCACAGCTGTGAAGGAGATGCCACTCCTCTCCCCATTTTCACAATTCTTCTCCTCTCTCCTCCGGCTGAATTCCAAGTGGGGAAGCCGCAGGGCTCTCGAAAATGAGGGATCGGAGAACCCTCTATCAAGTCGTTTGTTGGATATCTTTTTGCGTACATGGGATCTAGGTTTTACAGCGTTCGGAGGACCACCAGTACACTTCCAGATTCTACATAGCAGGTTCGTGGAGGGAAAGAGCGACAAGGAAAAATGGGTAGATGAACAGACTGTACGATTCTCCATAACCTGTCTTCAAGCTCGCATGTCTCAATCCATTACGGGCTCCTAACAAATCTCATAGTATCAAGAACTCTTTGCTATTTGCCAGGGCCTTCCGGGTCCCGCTAGCACGAAGATGATTTTCTGCCTAGCACTATTACATGCAGGATTTATTCCTGCCATGCTTGCATTTTTTCTTTGGAGGTGATCTATACCATCATTCTACAAACAACGCCATCTGTTGACCTCCAACTAACAATGTCAGCCTTCCCGGAGCAATTGGCATGTATGCCCTGTCACTTGGAGTGCAAAACATGAGTGAAACCCTACCAAAACCTGTCTATTCTTTACTTTCCGGCCTCAATGCCGCCACAGTGGGTATCGTTGCACTTGCAGCCGTGCAATTGGCCGAAAAGGCTATTCGGGATAAATTATCGCGCATCCTTGTGATTTTTGGCGCATGTGCTGGTCTCTGCTACAATGCACTCTGGTATTTTCCCGTGCTGATGATGATTGGTGGCTTCCTCACCAGCGTCTGGGATGGATGGTTATATCAGCAAATTCTGAGAGCAAAGATCGGGTGGAAAAATAGACATCATCGCCCAGAACAGGACGTGACAGATGGGGACCCTATAGCCATGGATGATATGACTTTGGAAGAGAATAGAGTGCAGAGGAGTGAGGTGACGCGACTACGAAGAACTGATCCTAGAATCGGAGGACTACAACAAAGTACAGTTGATACCACAAGACCAACGCAGTCCACGGAAGCTGCTTCACAACAGCACATTATTCGGATTCGGGTCGGAGCCTTGGTCATGGTTGTCTTTTTTGGTATGCACCCATCCCAAAAGATTCCTGATAGTCAACACTAACATTGTTAGCTTCGTTCATCGGAATTCTTGTTGCCAGAGCCCAGCTCACTACACCCCCACTGGTCCTCGACCTCTTTGCCAATATGTACCTAGCTGGTACTGTTATCTTTGGCGGGGGGCCTGTTGTCATTCCCCTTTTACGCTCCTATGTCGTCGATCCTGGCTGGGTCTCAAGTAGAGACTTCCTGATTGGCCTTGCCATCATCCAAGCTTTTCCCGGTCCTAACTTCAACTTCGCCGTCTTCTTGGGGGCGCTAGCACTACAGCACTCGCGCTTTCCGACAGTCTTGGGTGCGTTTCTTGGTGGTTTGGGAATCTTCCTTCCGGGAATCACGTTGGCCGTTGCAATCCAAAGCTTCTGGCGCGTATTGCGTAACAGGAAATATGTTGTCGATTTTCTTAGAGGAGTGAATGCCACTGCGGTTGGTCTAGTATTTACAGCGGTATACCGGCTCTGGGAGATTGGATACCTGACTCATGAAAGAAGTGATGGACAGAGTCTGGGGAAAGAACCATGGTGGGTGGTTGTTGCGACGGTGACATATGCAGGGACTGCATGGTTCCATGTGCCCCCGCCTGTGGCGATTGTAATGGGTGCCATTTTAGGGTTATGTTGGTTTGGAGCTGTGGGGCGATAAAAATATTCTGGCAGCTATCCTTGTTTATCTTTGTTGGAACACTCCCATATGGTATAGCCAAGTGCAAAACCAGCTTCACCGTTCTGCACTCTTCTCTCCAGTCTCGTCCACCGCCAAGGCGCTAGCTCTAACATTGTGGACATTCGAATACGAGGGCCTTCATACTTCACGTGACTGTAAATCGCCCTCCTATATCCTCATCACCAACCCCTAATCGAGAATAACCTGAAGGAAGTCGCGTTGACACCCGTGGGCTGAGGCCTCCCCGGCCTATTTACGCGCTATATGTTGTTTTTCGGTCTCCTGTTTTTCGCAGGCCGATCCATGGCCGCTTCTAGCTCAACAGCTCTAGTCAGCTGGCAGTTAGAGGACAACAGCCGCTCCACATTTGCTCTGGTGTGGTCTTGTTTGTCAACGATATTTGCCTGTACCTGGACAGTCTTACACCCCAGTCTCCCTCGACGAAACTCACCCACCGTGAGAACAATCATTTCGAATTTCGCATATTGGCTCCTCGCTATCTTTTTCCCAGAATATGTGTTTGTAAACGCTTCACAAATGCGTTATCGAGCCATGTTATTGAAGAATGTGTGCACTGAAGCGCAGAAAACCCGGTATCTTGAATCAGTAGACCCGGAGTCCTGGTTATCTAAACGGGCCAAGCCACTAGATCAAGTGCAAAACCAAGACTCTGCTGGCCCTCATCCATCCCACACTGAGTGGACACTTCGAAAATGTTTCTGCATCATTGCTGGCGGACTTGCCTTGCAGACTCAGGATGGATGGATTTACGTCCTCCGACGAAGTGATATGAAACCCTTCATTGAGGCCGGTGTAGTCGAAGACACAGACTTTCACGATCGTGAGGTTGAAGATCATGCGAAAGCAGATTCTTTAGGGAAAACGTTCACTGTCCTACAAACTAGCTGGTTTCTTTTCAACATAATAGCAAGATGGGCAACTTCTCTGCCAGTTGCACCAATCGAACTAGCGACAGTCGCTTATATACCTTGTGCTGTACTCATGTATGCCATGTGGTGGTATAATCCTAAGGATATGACCACACCAATCACGATCTATGTGAGATGCGACCGTAATAATTTACCCACTCATCTGCTTGATCAAACGGCCACAAATCCCCATGGATGGGTTCACCGTCATGCGCAAGTAAAGAAACAGACCGCGTTGTCTGTTTTTTCGCAGGCTGTTGAGTGGTTTTTTGACGCAGCCACGGGTCCTGTTGATACAGCAGGCGAGCTTCCCTATGATGATTTCCATAAGCCATCTCATGGATGCATTATAACCGCTGTCAATACCTTTGTTGCTTTCCTTTACTGTGGTATTCATATCGCCGGGTAAATACTAATCTACCCTTAATTACATGGCTTCTTACTGTTGATTAACTAACATGTGTTCTTTTTCTTTCTAGATGGAATTTCCCATTTCCCACTGGAGCTGAAAGAATTACTTGGCTTGTTTCATCGCTTGCTTGCGTTGTCCTCGTTGGGATCTATAGTTTCGCGAGTACCATACCTATGTATGTGATTTGGTTTGAGTCAAGAAAGCTTTTTCCTTTCTATACTAAAGCATTCAATGCTCGAAAGGGCTTTTGGTACCGGGTAATCCTGATTGTTGAACTTGTTTGCTTCGCCATATACGTGTTTTTACGTCTGGCTATCATGGTTCTAGCTTTTACTTCACTGAGAGCTCTTCCGGTCGGCTCATATACGACTGTCGAATGGGTGATGAGCATTCCACATGTTTAAGACTGGTTGATTGAATTGATTGAATTGTATTCCTGGAGTTTGGCGAGCAAATGAAGAAGATGAGTCTACCAGACGAAAGGCTAGGGGGAGAGGGCTTTTTGGCACCTGGTTGTTGGTGCTTGACCCTTCAGGCGAGGTCCTGCTCGTTTCTGCTCCTTCCTGTGTTCTTTCTCTTCCAGTTCTCTGTTAACTTGTCATACGATTGATTGACTGTGCTTCTTCTTGCTGTTGAGCCTATAATCCTCGGGTCTTCTCTCTGTGACTACATTGCATGCTTATCTCTTGAAATTTGATAGAAGCGCCAGTTGGTAGATACCCTGTCGCATGCTGGGGTCGACATCTGCAGTTTTCGAGCTTCAATCTCTGCGTGAAGCAGGCCTCTTTGATCGCCGATCCCGCCCTCGACAGAACCTCAGTCTCCATATTCATTGTTGAGAAAAGCTGAGTCATGCATATGCCTCATGCCGTCGGGTCGAGTACAAACAGTCCATAATAAACTAGAGCTGCATACTCTGGACTGGCCTGCGTATGTAGGCCACCAGTGAATACCTGAGGAATATCTCCGTTGATCGTCATGATCCGGATTCCCTTCGATTCCATGAATATCCATACATACCTTACAAGAATAGTCGGCTGCTCACGCTGCGTCTGTCCTTGACGGCACAAGACTTCACTGGTGTGACCTATGTGGCCCTAAGATAATATTAGAGATGTTATGTGTAAAAACATCTACACATATGTTCATTTTAGATGTTTTTTTTAGATCCATATATATAATTAGAGATATAATCAAAATTGATAAAATTGAGACCATCGTGAACAATATAGGTAATAGCAGATTGCTGTATCCCATGATGTCTCAAAAAATCAAGCAAACGAGCCAAGGCACCTTCACCTCTATTGTTGCAGTGCGCGCCTTCCTCTCTCTTCGTGAATTCGTTCTTTCCACTTTCTCCTTCCCCATCCACAAACTCACAGAATTTTACTTCTTACCCAAGTGCCTTGCTGTCACAGACCTTCTTCTGTCACTATTGGGGTCCCAGTCCTCAAGTCACTCAACCTCAAGCTCAGCCCAACAGTGACACAGATCAAACAATCATCATTATCATGGGCCGATGGGGATGGCGTGAGTATTTTCCCTTTTACTATACCTCTTGTTCAACTAATGTTTATCATAGGTTTGTTTGAAGGTGATCAGGACCTCGACGTCGTTCTCTCCATTTCCGAAGACACTCTAGGCATCAAGACAGGTCAGTGGGATTACAGGTTGAGTGCAATGGTTCACCAAAGCGACATGCTGGCACCACCAGAGGCCGCTACTATCTACAGGACCGAGGAATATGCCTACGAGCTAGCCAACATCATTGTACCTTACGTCCGCCGGAAACTTGACACTGGCAACCTCGGAGAACGGATGTTCGCTGCTAGTCGCGCTAAGGAATCGGACCCGGATGATCTGTTCCAACATTCCAAGTACCGCACTATCATCATGGGTGCCCTTATTATGCGTGCCGGTGCTCGCATCAACGCAGCAGACCTGCAGCATCTGCGTGATCTAGTTCCCCAAATCAACTGTACCTCCCGCCGCACACTCTTCGACGACCATGGCTTCAGATCTCCGGGAAGGGCTCAATTTCTAGCTGCCTTGGATCACTACCAGCCCGGGGTTGCACGTAGCTTCCAGGAGCCTAGGTGAGTTTGACTGAAAGATACATGAAGACAATCCATGCTGACGGCCTTGATAGCTGCTTCAAGTGTGGAAAGATCGAGGAAGACATCGGTCGCAAGCCTCTGCAATGCAAGAAGTGCAAAGTCGCAACGTACTGCGGCAGGGTATGTAGGATACAAGCGAGCTATCCAAGTTGTGTTCATGGATATTGATTCTTTATAGGATTGCCAGCGTGACCAGTGGCGCGAACACCGAGTGAGCTGCATTCCCCCGGGACAACGCCGGATGCTGAACGTGTGATCGCACCTTTTGATGGATTCTGCAACACCGGGATTCGCAAGGATCAGGATTCTGATGTTCCTGGTTGTCTTGTGAATGGGTCATTACATCGTTATCCGCAGAACCTGAGACCCAGCGGTACTCGATATATTTATCAACTTTCTTCTCATGGGGATTGATATTTGATATTTGATATCTGCCATCCTAGCTATTGACTCAATCAATGAGGGTTTCAATTCATTTTATGCGCTGGTGCTATCGTATTCACGGGAAAGTAGCTAGAAAATACGATAATTGGAAGCAAGGATTGTATGAAGAACATAGATCAATACTTTCCCTCTATAGTCTGCTCAACACCTAACAAGTTTCCTGCTCATTATCGAACATTAGAAGGCCACAATATACCTGATTTCTTGACACTCAACTCCCTCTAAGCTTCTGGCTCCCTGGCCGTTTCAATCTACATATTATAGGCATTAGCCTTAAGTGCATTCTCCCAATCTTTATTCGGAACCCAGCCATCAGAGTTAGTGTCCATATTGGCCATCAACCAGAACATTAGTCTCTGATGCGTCTCAAAGTCCACCAGATACTGCTTATGTTTCCTTAGTTCTTCTCGAGTTGGTGAGTACGGACACAATCTGTCCAATTCCAACTCTTTCCATCGAGCTGAGAGCTCAATCAATTGTTGGCAGATCATCACAGCGGTGTTGTATAGCAATAATGGAAGACAGTGAAGAGGGCTGGATGGAGGAGTTTTGATGCGCACATCTTGGGAGTAAGCGTTGTCATTGTGTGTTGTTGTTCAGACAGTGATTTTGAATGTGAATGCCTGACACATAAATAGGATGCATTAGTCACTTATTTACTGTAGGATTGTCCATCAAGATGGAAATTGTAAAAAAAAGGCCTAAGAAAAGAAAACGCCATACATAGAAAGACCACAAACGATAGTAGAGGTATGAATTTGTAGATATCTGCATAAGTATTATGCATACCCACTTATGTCAAGTTATGCACGTGTCGCACCTTAAATCTGCTGATCCCATCGTTCCGCGACACCAAAGCACCAAAACCATGTCTTCCAATGAGAAAAAGCGCCTCCGAGATCGTCGCTCACAGCAAACTCTCCGTGAAAAGAAGCTACGACATATATCTCAGCTCGAAGAACAAGTAGCGCACTGCGAGCAAAATCACAGCGACCAAGGCGTACAACGCCTTCTCCAAGTAATCGAAGGGCTCCGCAAGCAAAATGAAACTCTTCTCAAGCGCCAAAAGAGTTTGAAATCTCTCGTGGACTCCTGGGAGACAGAACTGGAGGAACCGGCCGCCACCGATGACTCCAGCCATGACCTATCATCTCTATATAAGGAGATGAGCGACCGCGAAGCCCAATTCTCCCTTCAAACGAACTTTCATGATTCAATACCCCGGCATGGGATAAGCAGCCTTCTCAACGCCCCCATATCGGCTGCATCAACGCCACGTCAAAAACGATCACCCTCTTTGGAGCCTCTTTCCGCCATCACGACACCTCTGTGGAACCAAATCCCGCCACACACTGACGACTTCAGCACACGCACCATGATCTCCTGTCCGTGGTTCCTCTACCCGGAGCTGATAATCCCATGCCCAGATGTTCCCAATTCACCTCTTGATTTCATTTACGGCACGAAAACAAACTCGCTAGCAGACCAGATTCACACGGCCCTGCAACGCCGCCCAGTCCGCGATCCGGAGCGACTGGGTACCGGCTGGCTGACTTACCACTTCACGAGATGGGTCATTTCGCCCAGCCCAGAGACTTACGGTCGGCTCCCTACATTTCTCAGGCCTGTGCAGGGCCAGATGGCCATTCCGCATCCGCTCGTATTGGACTTCATGCCGTGGCCGAGGTTGAGGCTGAATCTAATTCGACGGTGGCATATCTATGGCAAAGACCGGGATGGTTTTTTCGGGTTCATGGCTTGTTGTGTTAAGCTTCGATGGCCTTGGAATGAGGCGGTTCTTGAGCGCAATGAGAAAAACGAGTTGTGGATGAAAAAGGCGTTTTATGAGACGATCATGAGTGAGAGCGGGTGGGGGCTTACGCCGGAGTTTATTAGACGGTATCCTGATCTGGTGGAGGGTATGGATATTAATAAAATCGTGGTTGAACTTTTTTGAGGAATGACCCTTGCCGAGTACAGGAATTAAATTTCTATTAAGCTCTATTATATGGATTGCGTATATGCACCTTCTAGTTGGTCGTTAAAACATTATCCCGATCACGGAGAGACAAGGGATGTGGAGGGACTGAGATGCCCTTGAAGATAGTAGCATCTCAAGCCTATTTACCATCAAGATCCACAGGCCACTTCTCTCGAATCACCTTGCCGTACTTGATGAAGACAATAGGAATCGGGATGAATGCCAAAGCCAAGAACCCAAGCAGCGAGTTGCCCCATCCGATACCTAGATTACCAAACATCTTCGGCCCGGCGAGGGGAAGTAGAGCTCCAACCAAGGACCGAGTGGCTGTCAAAGTGGCGTTGGCGGATGCTGCATATTTGGGGTAGCAATCGATGATATATGTTTGGATGGGCATATACACGCCCATCATGCCGACACCAAAGGGGAACATGCCAATGATAGGCACGATCCAAAACACGTGCTTATCGGCTGTCCAACCGTACCAGAAGAAGCTGATTGGAAGGATACAGGCGAAGATGATCATGGTTGGGAGGCGCATCTCGGGTTCAAACTTGCCACCGTTCTTTGCTGTAGCTGCCAAAACCATCCGGTCGTTTGTGAAGGCGATCATTGCGAGACCGCCAATGAAACCGAAGCCAATACCGAGATATGCAAGTCCTGAGAGGCCAACGGAGAAGCCATATGTCTTAGTGAACACGCTGGGGATAGTAGTGAAGAAGAGGTAAAGCAGGCCGTAGATGAAAGCCTAGAGATAGAATGTTAGCGAACCGTATTCTGAAAAGGAATTTTCGTGTATCACGAAACTCAGACTCACCATATAAATGCAGAGAAGGAAGACAATTGGCGACTTCACAAACAGCAAAATAGGCCTCTTGAAACTCTGTACCAGAATCTGTGCCAAACCAGCATGCTCCGCATCCGTGTCATAGGCACTCCGCAAATCCGTTCTCCCCGTTTCCTTTGCGAGCTTCTCAGTCTTCCACCGGATGAGAACGTCGGCATACGTCTCTTTGTTCAGAACCTCAACTCCGAACGACACAACGCCACCCAGAATGAGCAGTAGCCAAAACACCCAGCGCCAGCCTTCTTCCATTCCGAGGAATCCACCCGCAATAGGCCCAATTACAGGTCCGATCAGTGGTCCCATAGCCCAGACGGATGTTGCCATGCCGCGCTGCTCCCGCGGGAATAGATCTGCGATTACACCTGCGCCGAGTGTTATACATCCCGAACCGCCGATTCCGGCAAATAGACGGCAGACGATGAGGGTCTCGATGCTGTTTGCGCGTGCGCAGCCAATTTGCCAGACCACAAAGAACCAGTTTGCACCGCTGAGGACGACACGGCGGCCGTAGACTTCGCTCAGAGGGGCGAGTAGAAGAGGGCCGAACTGGATCGGTCAGGTTAGATGGATTGGATTTCATAGGTGATGGGGGTTGGGTTGGCTCACTGCATATCCAAGGATATAGATGCTGACACTGAAAGACAATATTGTCTCATTCGTTACTCCGAATTCCATTGCGACGTATGAGATGGCGGGTGAGAACATGCTCGAGGCAAGTGGGGAGATCAGAGTCATAACACTGATCAGAGCGAGCAAGGACCATTTTTTGCTAGGAGCAAAGTTCTGGGGATTGTTGGGGTCATCCTGTCCATCCCAGCCTACTATTCCGCGGCTGAGGTCGGTTTCTGGGAATATTTGTTTGGTTGGTGTTGATGTCTCCGCGGTTTGGTTTGTTGATTGTTTTTCGAGGTCCGGGGTTAGGTTTCTAACACTGTCCCCTTCATTGAGGGTTGCATGATTTGAGATGGACTCTTTCTGGAGAGTATCCATGATGGTGACAAATGTTTGTCGGAAAGTAAACAGGAAGGGGCGACCTTAGTGTTTGGGGGTAGTATAGAGGTAAAGTAAATAGATGGTTGTGCCAAGGGGAAGCAAGGTTAAATAGTCTTAAACGAGCAGGAAAAAGGGAGGATCGATCAGATATAAAAGCAAAATTTTTATGAAAAGAAATGCATCAGGTCATGATCAGCAAGGCGATATCCGAGGGGCTTTCTATAAATTCTCGGAGGGTGCCCGTTTCTCCGATTTATTCACCGATATTGGCGTTCCAACTAGGTTATATTGAGTCATAATTGCCATTATGCTTATAAAAGCGGTTCATAAATTGACAAAATTCGGTCAGGCCGACGAAGTGTTTAATTTAGGACCTCCATTGCATGGACAACGTGATGGATAACACGGAAGCTTCCGCCAAACGATGATTCAGCGCTCCACTATTGATAATCAGCGGCCAATCATACCCCATCAATTTGGCCAATCTCCTGGCGCTGAATCATTGCTTAGTGCCAAGTGCCGTCGTTTCAGTGTGGGGCCATTTTCATATCGCAGGGAACCTTGAGTTTATTTTGATGCGCGTAATTGTTTTGAATAAACTTGACAAACTTCATTTGATGTAAATTACAAGCAATTGGTGGTATGCCTCGACAGTTTGTCCTCTTGGACCGATCAACTGTTCGAAACAACCTCTGGAAAACACCCTCCATATCATGATCATCATCCCCTTCTCAACCTGTCACACTTTTAATTTCATCTTCTCCACGGCCGGATAAACACTCCTTTGTAAGGCTAGTGGTCACCCGGCGACAAAGGTTAGGCATGTCTTTCTCCTGCTCTTGTGTCGGCCTCAGATTTCCATCATCTTCATCACACATCGTCATCATAGTCAGTCAATGGAGGGAAAGCCTCCTCAGCGGTCTGGCCTATCGAGTCAAGATGCTCCAAGACATCGAAGTAAACGCTTTCAAAGTACTCCTTGGTGACATTCTGGAGATCGCTGTTCATACACTCCAGCTGATCGTATCTCTCATTGACAAACGCTTCTCCGATGTCACTCTTAATTCCGTCCAACAAAAGCAACAGAGGAACAAATGGCGGAATTCCCATTCTAATATTCAAGGTATGTGTGTAATATTCCATAACACGGTGAACGAACTGCCGGGCACAAGAATAATCACTTCGGTCGCAACGAATGAGATTGAACAGAATATGAGAGACATCAGCGGACTGCTGCTCGGGACTGCGGGCAAGCTGCCGAAGGATCATGTCGGCCCCCAACATGAACTCGTCAGCCAGTTCAGCTCGAGGAGTCTCTCTCACAATCATGCGCACAAGGATTGGATGCAAGTTCCACGAGATCCACTTGCGGACCTCAATCGACAACTCTTGCCATTTTCTAGCATCGGGCGAGTCCTTGTAAGGGCGGGGAATACCAGAATCGATGAGCCGATGGAGTTTGTGTACTTTAAGGATCTGGTAGATGTGATTGCGCCAGGTCAGATAGTCGGAAGGATGTTCCAGAACACAGCCAAACTGGTACAGGATGAACCAGGGAATTGACGGCAGCTCAAATGCCTGGTCAATTGGGCTAGTCAGTCTCTCATTCGACAAAAGGGGTCGACCAATCGCGAGTGTGCTCCGCAGACATGTTGTCGTGTCGTTGTAACAACCTCTTTTCGACTGGGTTCCTGTTGTTGCAAAGTGAGAGATACCTGGGCTGGAACTATACGGAAACCCACCACGTTAGCTCATGAATTTTTTCAAAATTCCCAGAATGAAGGCTGGATGGCTTACCGTGCCGATGAATCGAATAAAATATTCAACTACGCCTCGGGGGCGTGTATCGGTAGTGCGGGCGTCTCTTGTTGTGTTTCAGTGGACAGCCGAAGATCAGACGATAACAGGTTTCTTACCACAGTTGAGACCACTAGGTGGCCTTTTGAATGAATCAGAACCTTTCGAAATGCTAGCAGCAATACTTTGCCTTCAGTTTGAGAAATAGAAAAATTGAGGTGTGTAGAAATGAAAGAGAGGAGAAGGGAGGAGACGATAAAAGCCGATAATGATTCTACAAAGGCGGGGATAGTAGCTAAAAAGTAGCCTCGCGTATAAGTAAACACACGTAAGAACTAAGTTTGCCAGAAGATGCCTAAATTCATTACGTATACCTACTCTAAGAATCAACCAACCGATATCAACATTATGCGTACCTTGACCGCAATAAAAGTACTAATGTGAACTATTTACCTAGCATCTAGTATAATCTAATACAATCTGAAGTCATCAACTGGAGATGAAAGAATCGTTCGGCAATTTTAGACGCCGTCCACTATATTGAGGCTATTGACTTGGAGTAAAACAATGAGTCAGTATCTTTTACATACCATCCAGTGTAATTTGAAGCCATATATTGACTTGGGATGAAATAATGAATCAGAACCTTCCAAGCTGCCAGCAACAATATTTTTCCTGCAGTTCGAGAAACACGCAAACGAAGGTATGCCGGAAGAAAAGATGGGCCAAAGGAGGAGACAGTAGAGATTCTACGAAGTCGAGGATAGTAGCTAGAATATATCTCCGCTTATAAGTAGCTTTGCGTAAGAAACAACTTAGCAAAATACATCTAAAGGCATTGCGTATGCTTAATCCAAGAATAAACCAACCGGTATTAACGTTATACGTACCTTGACCGCAATGAAAGTAGTAACATGAACTACTCACCTAGCATGCAGTATGATTTAGTACAATTTGAAGTCACCAGTTATATTGGGACGAAGCAATCTTAGTCTTGGTATAATGCAATGTTGCTCGATCTTCGAAACCATCGTCGGTCGCGAAATATAGCGAATATAAATGCACGTTGGGGGCACTTCTGAGAGCACCAGTCAAGGGATAGAATATAGCATATATGTGGTGAGGATCTACTACATGAGATGAATCTCCACAAACACCCGACGAGATTACCGTGAAGGAATTCAGATTAAATGTCGATGCGGGTCAACCTTGCACTTGCGAATTTCCTAACAGAAAAAATTACAATTTATCAGTTTTACCAAACATGGTATTAGAATATAAGAGCTTAACGAAGCTGGTGTGTTCAATAAAAATTCAATCACCATCGTTTAGGGTTTGCGGGTAAGCACGAGGTAAGCTAAGGTATACGCAGCCAGTATGCAGACAGCAGGAGTACTATACATATATTACTCACCTAATATCCTCACAATTTGTCGGGGCAGGTGGTATGAAAGTATTTCTCTAATGCACATTGCTTACAAGAGCAACGACACAGAGCCACAGGTCATCAAGGGATATCCACCCCACCACATATTGCATGCGTTCTTAGCGTCAATAGGCATTCAGTGGCAAATCTCAAGGATACACACCCCATGTATTCCCTAGATTATATTCTAGCGTTGTATGTACAATTGAATATATCATGTTCATCCTCTATCCTCTCAAGTATCTCATTGATAGGCCTTCTATCCGTAGGCCCTAAAAAAATACTTGTCTAGTAACCCCAGGGGACACTAAGTCAGCCTAATTATGTTCTCGAGGTTATGATGCAAAGCTTCACCCATGGACGCGCTATTGCAGATCCGAATGGGGCAAAAACTCACAACATGCAACCTGAACAGACCAGGCCAAAAAGGTTAATTGGGACAGAAGCCATGGGAACTATAAAACCAGTTAAGACGGGCCAAAGGTCGGTGTAAGAACTCAGTCACTAACGATACATGTATAGACCCAGTTTTAGATGTCTTAGGGGTGGGGAATGAAAGGCTGGGGTGATCTATCAAGTAGAGTTCTGAAGGATATTAGTTATGGTACGAAATATTGGAGTACATACGGAGTATATCGAGGATGGCAATGGATGGTGTCATTTAAATGCAGCCACTTTGGGGTCCAAGGATGAAGGGCGTTTGGTGCTCTTTAAATTCTAGCTGGTTTAACCATGTCTAATGGCAGGTGAATATACCAATACAACTGACATGGCCCTAGTACTGTAATGTTGTTGGGATCAAAGACTGTGGCCAGGAGTGCCAAGTACCTGATTTGCTCCTGTTTCCTTCGCCTTCTTCCTTTCTCCAATTAATCAATCAATACAGTGACAGTACTCTCCTTCTCCCCTCCTAGAATTCCGTAGGGACTCAAAGCATTGAGACCAATTATCTATAATATTTTAATCTATAATTAAGTGTTATTATTATAGGTTTGTATGCAAGAAACTAAGGGGTGCCTTTTACATATTAAAATTGGAATTGAACTATTTGATAAAAATGACCTTGCATATTCTCGTGAAATATATATTTCTTCAATCTCATCTACGTGTCCAATTTAAGAGGATCACCGACACCCTAGCTTCTCGATATTAAAATGGGTGTATAGATAGGCAAGAAGATCACTGTAGTATTTGATCCTCTAACATGAGTTCATTTCTTAGAAACATATGTATCCCAACATTGGAGGTTTGCGTATGCCCATAGATACATACACACACAGACCTAATCGATATGGCTTATCCGTCTTATCCGTCTTATCGTCTCCGCCAATCCCGATGTCAACTTTGTTCACTCCTCCACCTTCTTCGTCGTCTGTCCTTCTTCATTAGGGTCTCAGCATACATTTGTCATTGCGAGTCACTCATCCGGTCTAAAGGTAGGACTTAACGTCTCTCAAAAATGATATGCCAATACTTGTACGCTGACAGTCCCTATTGATAGCAATCCTGCTGCCTTCCACCGCCCCTCAGGGCCTCGTTATCTTATCACAGCATGGGGATTTAGATCTGACAGAAGATCTGTAGCCCTTTCTAGGCCACTACATTCCTGCTGCCCTTTTGCTCTTCCCCGGCCGACCGTAACCGCCTTCTCAATATGGACCAAGAGGAGGCTCCACCACCCCCGTACTCGGCCGTCGACCCATTACTCGCACCAACGAATAGCCGGAATAACAACTCTTCTCAGACTCCAATCCCTTCCGGGGTGAGTGTCTCTCCGCCGCAAGATGCCAGTAGTTCTTGTGTTCCAACGCCGCCGACAGTCGTGCCGACACATTTCAGATCCGCCGCTGCGTACTTTGAGGAGCGGCTTCCGTCGGACCTAGACGAGAGCCGGGGTTTACTACAGCATCATATGACAATCTACCCCCGGAGCCAAGCCAAGGATTTCCCAAGACGACCGCGGTGTTGGGCCTCGCGCTTAGATGAGATTACCCAGCAGGATTGGGATACCTTCCTAAAGTATCTATTTCCGCCGCAATTGGGACTCGCTGCTTCCTCTCAACATCTCCCACGCCAATTACGAGCGGAAATCAGACGAGACCGCAAGGATCGCCCACAGGAGACCGATGAGCAACGGAAGGCTCGAATCGCCGCCGTCGTCACCGAATGGAACGAATGTTTTTTTGAGCTCCGCGCTACTCAGATTGTCTTTGTCTACGTGGGCGAACCTGATTCTGCGCCTTCGTCCGCTTTATGTCCCCGATGCTATCCAGCGGCAACGGGTTCAATAGAAGGCCAGCCAATTCGAAATTCAAATGCGCCGTCGCCTGTCCCTGGGCAGCACGCTCCTTCCCCGAACCCCTGGTCGGTGCCACCTATGTTCCACAATCCCCAAGTACATGTGCCCCCATCTCCATACGGTGTATATGGCGTTCCTCCATACCCTCCCCCCATATCTCCTAACCAGCCACCTCAATACTACCCTCATCCTCCACAAGGCACATGGCAATGGAGCAACTGGAACTATCCGCAGCCACAACCGCAGTATCCCAATAACGGCACTCAGAAGAGTGGATCCCTTGGGTGGATTTCACAAATCGCATCACAAGCGCAGAAATATGGAGAGCGTTTTAGCGAACAGGCAATACAATACGGAGACCAAATCAGTGCACAGGCACAGCATTATGGACGGCAGGTCGAGGAGCAGGCCCTTGCACATGGCCGCTGGATCGAAGAACAGGCAAGGCTTCATGGCCGGAAAGCACCAATGGCTGGATCTCAATACGGTGGTGGCTACTACCCCCGGCCGGCCTGGGATAACTCGCCACGTCCCACAGCCAGCACCCCAATGACACCCACTCAAAGGCCCAGCCCCGTGACAAGTCCTAATACGACGGGTCGGCCCGAGTCAATCAACCAGGGCGATAGCAACAAACCTAAGTCCCCAACAGAACAGCTTCTGATAGAGCCTCCTACGGTGGAACGCACCAGACGAGCATCAGTGAGCTCGGTATCATCCGAGTCCTCCTTCAGCTCAATTGACTCCATCTCGACAACATCAGACCTAGACGTTACAGACCTTGCAACAGTGCGCACTCAGTTGGAACTTCTAGACGATCGTCATGATCGGGTATTATACAATGCCGCCGTCGATCTCCGTCGGCAACTCTCTGTTCTGCAAGAGTCCCGTCGAGAAGCCAAGTTCTCCGGTAAAAATAACTGGCGAGCCGGTTTCAACCAAAACCAACAAAGCAGTCAACAATCTGGCGACGCCGACTGGGGTCGCTGGGACTCACCCCAGCAGCAGCAACGCAACTCAGTTGACAGACGTGCCATGAAAGACGAAATGCGCGCCACTAAGAAAGCGTTCCGGGACACACTGCGTCGAGCACGAGACGAGCAGCGCGAACGTCGACGCGCTCGACGCCGCCAGGTCCGCCAGGCTCGCGCCAATGACGGCGATAAGGCCAAACACGTGCATGACCAGCCGCTAGACCAACAGCTTGGGACGTTGCGACTGGAAGATTCCCGGCAGCCTAACCCGCCTTTGCCTGCACGTCCGGTCAGCACACAAACACAGCCTAGTCCGGTTTCTACACCGAATGGCTCGAATGTCGGCTTTGGATTTGCTTCCAATCCGCCTTCCCCTTCTGTCTCACGGCGGAGTACGCAGGACTCCATACTTACAGGGGGCACATCCGCCTCTGTGAAGCAAGGGAAGCCGGCTGATACGTCGAGTCGGCTAAAGGACATGCTGTTGTCGCGCAAGTCGAGGAAGCAACAGTCGAAAGAGGATGATGCAGGAAGTAAATGATCTGGAAAAGCTGAGTATTGTGGATTTTTTTTTTTTTTCTTTTTTTTTTCTAGTTCTCTTTTCAGCCTGGAGTTCAGTATTTCCTTGGGAGGACGGGCAAACATGATTTTGCTTCTCCTCGGTGTATATATAGTTCAAATCTCGACCATAGCGAAGTCAACGAAGGTACGATTCACATTGATAGTTACATAGTATATTCACGAAAAACTTACAATTCGCATCTCCATCTACACACATCCCAAATATATTGAAATGAAACTTTTTTTTTTTGCAAAAAAGAGATCTCTCTATACATACAAAGAACATTCATCCCCATTTTGCATCTATATTCACATTGACATCCATATCTCCCTCTAAGCCTTGGACTCGTTCTTCTCAACCAAATCACCAACTCCAAGTCCCCTCCCAACCTTAACCCGAATCATCTTTTCAGCATCCTTCTTCCCAAGCTCCCCGACCTCCTCACCCTCATCCTCATTCCCTTCCTCGTCCCCATTCTTCTCCTTATTATTGTCCGCATCCTTCTTCTCAATGGCCTTCCAATCAAGCCACATGTTCTGAAGGTTCAACCGCATAGCGTACGCATCCTCACCATCAGCGTAGTATCCATCCTCAACCTTCTCAACCTCGAAGCCGAGCGTATCGCGGTACAAACGCAGCGCAGCAACGTTCGACATGCGCACGTGGAGAGAGACGAAGTGCGCGCGGTGGGATTCGGCCATTGCGCGTTCTTTGAAATCATAGAAAATTAGCATCCATACCGTAAATCGCGTAAATGTCTGCGAATTTGAAATGCAAATCCAAAATCAAGGGAAAAAAAAAAAGAATATCACTCACGACTCATCCGCATAAGTCTCTCGGCAATTCCCAACCGTCTATGCGTGCGCATAACACTCAAACTGGTAATATGACCATGCTGCTTCCCATCTGTCGGCTCCTCCTCCATCTTCGCGAGAACATATCCGACGACCTTGGGATACTCCCCTGAGACATTGCCTGCGATTCCGGGGCCTGTCGAGCTGGACTTGTATCCTGCGCGCGGACGGACAACGGCCACGAAGCTTAGCTGCGGCCAGGTCAGGGCGTGGTACAGGTAGTATTTTAGGAAGTAGTTCTCGGGGAGGTTTGTTATGTTGCAGGTTTGGATTGAGGGGAGGAGGTCGATGTACGAGGGGTAGCTGCTGAGGGGGACGATGTCGACCATTTTGGCGGTTGGGCAGCTGAGGTTTGAGGTGGTGGAGGTGGTGAGGGGGTGGTTTTGGTTTGAAGGTATGGTGGAGTTGGTTTGCGGTGCGGTGGGGAGGTCATGTGATGTCGTGGATATGGGGTGTAGGAAGGTTGTGATGGGAGGTGGATAGGATATTGGGTGTGGTATTTACGTTATTAGTTTGAAAAGGAGTTGAAATTTTATTTGGAATTATTTTATTTTCATTTGTTCGAGTTCAAGTTCGAGTTCTAGTGAAGAGCATGTCTATGTACTGACTATGCTGCTATGTATAGATCAAATAACTACAACATTGTACATATGTAAGTACTATATCAAAATCATATCCAGTACAATGTAATATGTATGGCCAGAAAAAAAAGAAAGAAAAAAAGAAACCTAGCGCCGACGACCGATCTGGTCATGCACCCAAAATAGTCATAGATATCGTGGAAATTAGAACACAGACATCACCATCTGCACTCCCACTGCCACTAGAAGCACCGTCGACATACCAGCGACAGAAACCTCGCGCAGGGCGCCAGAGGTCTTGCCACAGCATTTACGGTCATAAGTGACATTGTTCATCTCAGCAGCGACCTCGAAAACCGAGCCGTTGAAATCACCATAGTTATAGTAATCGACCAGAAGCATGTTGGGAGGACGCCCCCAGGTTTCTGTTAGGAGTTAGAAGAGCAATAAAAATAAGAATTAAATACTTCTTAAACTTACCAGTACAGTTCTCAGCCATCGCGCCCAGACTACCACTGCCGTTCACGGCATTGGTCTCGGAAAGCTGAGCGGTATTAGGAATCAACATGCTCAGAGAACCAAGGTTCAACTGCAAGTTGAGATTGTGGTTGGCCATGTACATGCGGTTCTTGGCAGATGCCACAGACAGACCGGGTGGGCGTTGCTGCGTGCAGGGGAAGGTAGGATCGGTAGGAGAGAATGGAGTCTCCCACACCTGCGAGAACTCATCCATCAACCATGGGTACGCGGTCTGGTTGGCCTGGTAGTCCATGAAGAAAACTGCGCGCTTCTGCCTGAGGATCATATCTGAGAGCGTAGGCCAGTCATCCAGAGCCATCGGCACCTTGGTCGGGGTGTAGATCAGGTCCTTCAGACCGGAGTTGTAGATCGGGGTGGTGAAGTTAGCGGGAGAGACATAGTCGTAGTTACCGATGATGAAGGTCACCACGTCGTAGGGGTTCTTCCGCATCCACGTGTTGACATCGGTTAGGTAGTTTTCGAGGGTGCCGACGTTGAGCAATTCACAGGTTGTGTGACACAGGTACATTGTGCCATTCTCGTAGTGGGTCTGGAATTGCACTAATCCATAGATTAATAAGGGCTGGCTTTTAAATAGTTGATATACCGTGACTCGGACTCCACTTACGCGTGCGAATTCCATCATTCAATTGTGTCGTCACATCCAACACCTGGTTAGCGGCGATGTTGTTCTTGCGCACGAACGGGCTGTTGTGCGCTGCGACCATGGTAATGTTGGAGTACTTCCTCGCACAGAACTCGGGGTAGTTGTTGCAAGGACGGGTATTGACGACAGGAGTACTGGTAGCCGTGCCCGTCGCCGTCGCAGTCGCGTTCATACTATTGTTCCCGATCACTGTTGTTCCTCCGCCGCCCACCAGTAAAGTCAAGGAGTCGGAAGTCGTGGTGACTGCCGTCTGGTTGGAGGCGGTCATTGTGCCATTGTGCTGAGTAGTCGATGCGATGATCGACTTATCCCCATCACTCAGTGTGATTGTTGTACTCAGGTCTTGGTAGGTACCTGAGGGAAGGGCCACGGGAGTTGTGACTGACACAACCGTGGTTCCATCGGTGGTGGTCTTTCCCGACTCCGTGGAGGAGGATTCGGTAGTTGTATCCTGGGCCACGGCAACGGCGAGGAAGCCGACAAGAATAGTAGGCCACCTCATAGTTGTGTGTGATATGGGGGATAACTATGTTCTCCCAAAATAGGAGGAGAAGATGATCTCGGGAAATACTTCAACTTACCTAATCGTATGGCATGTGGAGATTTTCTTTTCCAATGACGTTGACCACGAAGGGACCAAAGTGATGGGCCAATAATATATTTTTATCTCTTTTTTATATTTGGGACAACATTAGGGGGCGAAGTGGGAAGTGGGCAGAGATCTCCGGCCCTCTGGGCTCGAATGCCGATTGCTGCCTGTTACATATTTAGTTAGGCTTACTCCTTCATGTCTCACAATACTCTGTAGTCACTATTAATACGAAGGATGATGATATTTTATTATATCTGATCTACTCATTGGCCATGAGAATCTCATTTCCTTGCATTTCAATCCCCTCCATGCCCTTTTACTTCGTACTGTACTACGATAAGCCGAAATGATCGTCAACGTAGGCCAGGGGCCACGCCACTAGCGTTCAGCCACTGACGATCGCATAAGAAACGCGGACGATCTGATGAAATTTCTTAAATTTGGATGCCAATGGAGCACAATGAATCCAATAAATCCACTAAATCCACAAACTAAACTCCAAAGCTAAAAACATCTCTCGTATTCGCCTGAAGAGCTAAAAAGGTAATCGGGAGATTTGATGGCCTAACGTCATTATCGGCCTTAGGAACCCTAATTCCTGTCTTCTCTTTTTTCCTTTCGGACCTGGACTTTTCTCTGCTTTTCCCCTTTTTCATATTGTTCGATCATGAATGGGACGGACAATGGCAAGCGAAAGCTTCCCTTTTTCAAGTCCACTGGCCCAGTCGGTCGCCAGCAAAAATCCACCGTTCACTGGCATCGCCTATTACGGTCGCTGTTATATTTGATCGCTTGGATCTTTTTAGTACTGGTTGTCATTGGCAACACCTCTAATAAACCAGTCCTACGCAGTACCTACTTCCTCTACCTCGACCTTTCCAATATCATCCCCGTCTCCATTCCAAATGCTGTCCTGATCAACTCCATCGCCCAAACCATCGGGTTGCATGATTTCTACCAGGTCGGCCTATGGAACTTTTGCGAAGGATACAATGGACAGGGAATCACCCACTGCTCCAAGCCGAAGACTCTTTATGCCTTCAATCCAGTTGAGATCATCCTGAACGAGCTGTTGGCAGGTGCTACAAGTACGTTGCACATATATCCCCGCATGCAAGGACCCCCCTGGAATGCAAATATTAACATCCCCCACCCCCAGTCGCCCTCCCAGCCGATATCGAAAGCCCGTTGAAACTAGCCCGCACCGCCTCCCACTGGATGTTTGGACTGCTCCTCGCTGCAGCAGTCCTCAATTTCGTCCTGATCTTCGTCGCCCCGCTCGCTGTATCCTCACGACACCCACGGAACATCAAAGCTTGGGCAGCAGGCTACAGCGATGGCCACCCGCCCGCGGGTAATCCACCCCACCGTCGACGCACCTTTTTCTGGCTGCGCGCCCTGCCCATGTTGATTCTGACATTTTTCACCGCGCTGGTGACTGTTGTCGGGTCGGCTGTCGCGACGGTCATGTTCGTTATCTTCGCCAATGTTTTCTCAAACGCCGACCCGAGCATTAACATCAAGGCTCATGTCGGCACCCAGATGCTGGTATTTATGTGGATCGCTTCAGCATTCAGTTTGATCGCTTTCATTATTCAGATCGGCTCTTGCTGCGCGGCTTGCTGTCGTGGCCGTAAGGCGCGTAAGCAGCTCAAGGTGGAGGGTGTTAACTGGCACGAGAAGGGTGCGGTTGCACCCGTTGCGACCGAGGATCGTGCTGTCTCATCTTGCAGAGATGCTGATGCTGGCCATGCTGGGGAGCGTCGTCTCAGTAGTGACCAAGCATTCCAGAATGGACACAAGCAGAAGTTGGGCAATGGACAGGCTTCCAACCAACAATACTCTTCGACCTCTTCGACTGAACCCCATGCGATCTCGACCTGATCTCGGTCGGAATTATTCTCCATTCTGGTTATTCCTTCGGACATATTTTCCTTTCTACAGTTCTTTTCATATTTGTGGCGGTTCGTCTCAATATCCAACCCTGTGTGCTATAGTACTCCCATTTCTGGACATTTACTCATATTTTACCTACCATTATTTACTTAGATATGATTTCACGATTTGACTGTAAAGAGATAGAGGCTCGGCATTTTTTGTTTCATATTTTTCATACAATCTGCATCTCACGAAATTTGTTCTGAATGTTGAGTGAATATTCAATCTCAATTCTGCTCCGCATATCCTTTACTCTTTTTCGTTCCCCGCATTGGATACGTCACAGAGTTGTCGTAAGCTCAATATCATCATTGCCACAATTCCCAACCTCTATTGAATTCTCAATCTATAATTAATCCAGTATCCGGCTGTAGAATAGCTATAGTTCTACTACAGTTCCCTCTCACGTCAGATCAACTTTATCCGAGTCGTACATCACCTACTCCGTACCCCATATTCGCAATTGACTCCACCGATTGAACAACTATGCCTTGATACCCAGGGATCCACCCGGTAATGCCGTGGCAACCCTAGGCCTAAATATCCCCGAGGGCGCCGAGGGCCTAGATCGATTATAGACTACCGCAGACACAAGGAACCCTCACCCCGAGATATAACCCGATATAGCCGATAGCTATCCCCGAATACATCGCATAATCGCATAAACTCTCAACCTCCTAGTCGTAGGGGATTTTTGTTAAATTATCCTTGACCTGAGAATAGACAATTTGAATTCCAATTCAATGAACTTCAGTCTGTGTTGATTTATCTTTCGGAACATCTACAACGCCACTGCCGTCGCACGTTGGACAAGTCTTTTGCGACTCGTCTGTGGTAGATACTAGGCCGCACAATATGAACACCAAGGTTACGATGGTCGGGGCAAGAAGGATATAAATGATAACGAAGATGACGAAAGTTAGGAAAGGCACAGTCTGTAGTGAGCGGGTGTTCAAAGTTGTGAACGAGCGTAGAAGTGTGTCCAGGTGTATCACCGGTGCCATCATCTTTGATGGGAGGGAATGGAAGAATAGCGTATCAGAGAAAACGAAGTCCATGCATATGTAGCACTGCCCAGGTAGGTTCGAAGGCCACGAGTTACAACCTCGTGATTAGTATTGGAATTCTTCTGCCTAGATAATCCCTGGTCAACTGGTTTTTACTTAGTCACAATTTTTAAAAGCTACGCAGGTTAAACATCCGGGATTGGATCTTAAGTCATGGGTCGGGCCGCCAATCTACCCGGAGTCTTCCGGTTATTTGTATTGCCTGACGCTCTTTCATGTGCTTTTATATGGTATTGCCATATAAAAGGGTAGATACTCCCTAATCCAGTATATTTTTAGTATCTGGGTATAGTTACGAGGGATGATGGACAACTAGGTCTTCTCAATACCAAGATCTTAAGAGGACACATGAAAGAGTTAATTTCATATTGACCACTCGTCATTTCCATTTTTAATAAATCTACGTAGCACGGCTACAACAGTCTACGTATGTACCTGTATGTACCGGATTTTTAGGCCGCGGATGCGAATTTCCCAACAGGGGTGCGGCCGTTTTATAAGGGCTGGCGAACTAGGAGTATGGCTTCCTTGCTTTTTTTTACCGCCTCGTATATATCTTAAGTCACAATTAAAAATATAGCTCAAAAGACCTCTAAAAAGAACATAATAAGGCGGTATAATTGGCCGATCACAATTCTGATCTTGTTTTGTATTCCTTTAGTGATGAAAAACGCGGTGAGGTAATATCCAATGGAAGTCATGAATCGGTGGCATACTTAGTCGCCTGTAGACATCTCTTGCGAGTCAGTTATATACAAGCTAAACACTCTATGAAAGATAGTGCACATAGCTGAAGTTACGTTGACTTGATTGGGAAGGACTATAAATGCCCAATGTCTGCTACTCTGAATACTGCAAATATCCATTTCCCTCTATACCAAACCACGTACATTCAATGTTTGCAGGATATTTTCAAACTCGACTAAATCAGTCCTTCTTCTTTAACAGCAGATTGATCACTTTCTGATTTCCGTGGTGCATGGCGAGCGATAGTGCGGTCTGACTACCTTGGCTTGCAGACTCAATGTTGGCACCATTATCAAGTAGCAGCCTCACTACTGCATCATGCCCGCCTATAACTGCGTGGTGGAGTGGGGTCATGCCAATATAGTCCAAAGATTCAACGTTGGCACCATTATCAAGTAGCAGCCCCACTACTGCCTCATGCCCTTTTTCAGCTGCAATGTGGAGTGGGGTCTTGCCACGATCATCTGGAGATTCATCATTGGCATCACTGTGAAGCAGAATAGTCACCACTACCTCCTGCCCTTTTGGAACTGAATGAGGGAGTGGGGTGCTCCTAATGCGGCCGGGCGATTCAACTTTGGCATCATTATCAAGCAGCATCCTCGCTACTTCTTCATGCCCGTGCATGGCTGCGAGGAAGAGTGGAGTATTCAAATATAGATCTGAGGATTCAACTCTGGCATTATACTCAAGGAGCACCCTCACCACCTCCCCATGCCCTTTTTCAGCCGCGATATGGAGCGGGGTCTTCACATGTCGATCTGTACATTCAATATCGGCGTCGTTATCAAGCAGTACTTTTACCACTGACGCATGGTCGTACATGACTGCGAACCAGAGTGGGGTCCGGTGATTGATAGTATATGAGTTAACGTCAGCACCCCTGTCGAGCAGAATAGATGCAGATTCTGAGAGCCCAAAATATGCTGCAAGATGCAGACCTGGGATATACTCTCGCCTGCGGCCTAGCCTGAAATCTACCATGTAAATGGCCTTACTACAAGCAGAAACTAAGGCATGGTCCTCAAGCAGTGTTAATGCCAATATTTCCCCATCGAGCGAGTGTACTGCGTGGTGTCCCCAATTGACTGCTGCATAAGCCCAGAAAGCACGCGAAGGTACTCTACCCTCCAACTTATTTGCGGTCCTCCCTGTCTTGAAAGCTTCAAATGACAGGTAGGTGACACAGGCCTTCGTAATTTCAATCTGGGCATTGGGAAACCATCTTTTCCAAGTTCGCTGAAAGTATTCTTGTGTCGTGTGATGAACTAAGCGCACGACGTCACTCTCCCTGTCAACAACCACCAAGCCAGTGCATGTAGAGACTATGAGCCCAAGATTTGGAATCGCATCCTCGTCAAACGCGGATGTGTTTTCTTCAATGCCAAGGGCTTGTTGAAGTTCAGCCAATTTCAGCCGTCTCCTAGCACAGCAAATCCATGACAAAACCTGCGTAGCGAGTTTTCGATGTTCTGGCACCTGGCCTTGAATTCGCTCCATAGCTTGCTCATAAGCATTATCCAATGCTCTTGCCCTTGTACTCTCATCTCTGGTCTGAGACAAAGCCTCCAACTCTTGGAGTGTCTCCTTAATGGCCTTTGGTGTTGTCTTGCAGGCTAGAGAATCAACATAAAGCCGCGCGAGAAGAAACCTAGCTAAAGTAAGTATGTTTGGGCCGATATTTGCTGTTACAAAATCAGTACATACATTCCATCAACTGCCTTGGCAATCGCATGTTTAATCCTTTCACGGAGTGAAGCATTTTGTGAACTCAAAAATTGGCAATCTTGCAGCTTGCCCTGAAGATACCTTTCCACGTCTGTTTCATCGGCGCGGATCTCAATTCTGGTAGCCTTCTGGAATTTCGACTCAATATACTGAATGAAACGAGATGTTGCGAGAATATTTGCTTTGACAACTGCTTGAAAACCGAATATCTCTCGAATAAACACATCAAGATCATTCTGAACAATTTGGCATTCATCTAGGGCATCGATTATGATGAATGTCTTTGAGTAGGTAGCTGCAACCTCATGAAGCGTAGAACTGATCTCGCTGAGCGAGGGACGGGCTTGACGACCTTTGTGTCGGTAGTAGAGGTCCTTAAGAGCCGGCGGTAAAGTCGGTTGTCCCATAGCTAATTGCTTCAAAATATTTGTCATCAGATGAACTGGCCCTTGTTCCTGCTGCTGTTTGAACGTGCAATAGAGATATGCGATGCCAACAGAAGAGTCATTTTGAAATTTGGCGTGGAGGTGATGGATCACCGTAGCTGTGGCAATCGTTTTACCCGCTCCTGGTATACCTGGACAAAACAAGGTCTGGTTGGTGTGTTCTAGCCAGTTCTGAAACTCCATTGATTTTAACAGCCACTCATTGGTACCTTCTTGCTTTTGGGTCATGAAGTAATTTTGTTGAGTAGCATAATTTACAGGCGTGAGCCAGTCAAGAATCACCTGATATTCTTGATCTCGTTGGTGGTCTCGTTGGTGGGTGCGGATCTCGTCGACAGCATTGGACACCCCTTCAAGTTGTTCTTTGATCTCTAACAGAATAAAAACTTGTTAGCACAATGAATTAAACGCGCTCTTTGTATTGTAACAACTACTCTATCAATCAGACATCAAGTTATTGGTGGCAAAGAAAGACCAAAAGAACAATTTATCGGATCAAGGGTGTCTCACGCTTTATCGCAGGCATCTGCTCCACCTCCTGTGCTGGAACAAACATGAGAAGCTCCTTTGAAAATGCTGCAGCAACGGCCGCTGCATGTTCCTGCCATTTTTTGTTCTTATGCGCATCTGCATAGTCACAGATACCTCGGATCACAAGGCATGGGAAGTCATTCATTAGCCCTGCTGCCTCCATTTCAAAGCAGAGAACTTTGCCGCCAAGGTTTTTGTTGATCTCGTCCCGAAACTGAGCATCTTTTACCACTCGGTTGCCAGATGCAATCAGCCCGTAATGGACGCGCATGTCACGGGGTTTTCTGCGGACAATTTTGGTCTGATCACAGTGAATGCAGGGGATTTCTTCTTCATCCTCCTCCTCGTCCTCATCCTCATCGTACTCCTCCTGGTTCTCCTCGGTGTTGGGCGTTTCAACGTGTTCGCAATCTGCTCTGAAGAGAACATCTTTCAAAGACGCAGACCGGGTGTACTTCAGTGCAAGCCTGGGCCAGTTTGTCTCCAGATCTTTAAGGTACTGTGGTATCCTAGAACCTATCATTTCATGCTCTCTCTCGACCTTTGTCAGGGCAGCGAGTAGTTCCGCAGGGGGACGATTCAATGATCCCGTGCGCTCAAAAGTGCCACCTTGTTGGGCTTTTCCAAAGTCCCACTGTACTACTCCGCCAAACTTGCCTTCAGGGGTGCTGACAACCACATCACCCAGCCTGACAGACTTTGGCACTCCACCGCCGATCCCGACCATGAGGCCAAATTTGATTGATGGGAAAGTAGAGGTCATCCGAGTTGCGACCGTTGCTGCATTGTTGGTGCCAATTTCACCTTTTGGCAAACATGCCACGACAACATTGTGCAAGCCTATACGACCGAGAGTATAAGCGTTGTGATCATTAGGCTGCCTGGGGATGTCGTCGTGTCTTTCATCAAGCATCGCCACAGCGGCAATGAATTCCTTTGGCAGTGCGCAAACCCATCCGACGGTGTAGTCGGTATGAGTTAGAGCTTTGGAGGCCATCTCTAGAGTTGACTGAGAAGGGACTGACGCGTTCATGGACTTTGCATTGAAACTTGCTAGGCTGGAGAAGCAGTTGTCAAAGACTATCAGGGTAATCGTTTCTAGTTTGCGTTTTTCATTCAACCAAGGCTCGAAAATGAATTGAGAGCGAGCTCTCCCGACTCAGACGGTATTCAACGCCAAATGAAATTTGTCGAAAGAAGAGAAGAGGTTGTATGAGGAGAATTCAGCTGAATGATTGGAGCCACGTCGGTGCGGGGCATTCTGGCATGCAATAAGCATGTCGATATGCCATTCATCTCATCTTCTTCTTGCAGGTCCTTTACTTTCAATCAAAGCTTTATCCTTGGGGTTGTCATAGAGTGATATTGCACAGTGCTGCACGATCGCGGAAACAGCCATGCTTAAGATGACTTTTAACACCTGAAAAGTGCTATGGCCACGGGCGACTAACGGGACCACCGGTACATAACTCTCTCATTGGATACTATCTGACCGTGTATTCCAAGGTTTTATCACTGCCTTCTTGAAGCATATACAGTAATTTCAACTTCTCTTGTACTTCTATATACACAATAATAGTGGGCGGCCTATGCGGTCTAGTCATGTCTTCTGTTAGTCTTTTGGATGCCCTTTTCAGATGCTATTTTCAGATACTCTTTTTAGACATGCACAAACGTGGTAAAAAAAACATATTCTATATAAGACACTTTTCTATATATAACGTTTGACTTTACAATGTTGAATAATAAACATACTAAAGTATAATACACTACGCAGCATGTATTAACAGAGTTAAAATCTTTCACAAAGGATGTAGAGAATAAATAGTAAAATGTTATAATCTCTTCATACATGGAAAATGGGAGTGGATCTAAATTACTGCCTGGTAACATAAACTAATGAGAGCGTTATGTATCGGTTGCCCCATTAGACGCCCATACATGATGCAGCCCCCGTTGTGTGACCAACTCCTCGTGCCTATTTCATACTACACTTTACTGAGCTCAACCTTTGAACCTGATCCAAATGGAACTATATACGAGGTGAATCATTGAGGAAACCAAGCGCTACATACGCATATATAGAGGTACTCACTGCTATAAAGCTAGCATACACCATAGCTTCAAAGTAAACCAAAGAGCCAAAAGGCCAGAACTGCCAAAGAGAGTGACCAACGTAACCAACATAACCAAAAAGCCCTCATTCCCAAAGAGAGGTTATAACAAACTGCTCGAGTAACCTACCATTACCTTATTACAACAGAAGTAATTTAGTGGTTCACCACGCAGCATGACCACCGTCTATACGGAGGTCACTGCCAGTCATGAAACTACTAGCATCAGAAAGCAAGAAGACAGCCGCACCACGGTATTCCCTAGGACGGGATAGACGGCCTAGCATATTCTCTTTACCAAATTGCTCGCGACGCTCAGGATACTCGATGAACAGCATCTCCAACATCGAGGTGAGGATGTACCCCGGGGATAGGGTATTGACGCGAATGTTGTACTGGCCCCATTCGGCAGCGAGGTTGCGAGCTAGTTGGATGACGGCTGCTTTGCTTGCGTTGTAGACGGGACAGATTAAACCCTGTTTAGGTCTGTTAGCGTGGGTGGGGATATCATAGGACTGCTGGGAATCAAGCGCTGAGCCGATTACTAGGGTACGAATGATTTTATAGGGAAGGGCACACGGCAGCATGAAATCTCCATAGGAAAACTAGGTAAAAAAAAGGAGAAAGGAAAAGACGTACCCTGTTAACAACAGTACCGCTCATGCTAGCGACGATAGCGATACTACCCCCATTCCCAAAACGAATCATCTGCCTCGCTACAGCCTGGGCAGTCATGAACACACCCGTGACATTAACCTCAAGCAAGGCGTTAGCATCTTTAGCCGAGTACTCCAGAGCGGACGTCTCCTGCTGAATAGCAGCAGCCGCGATTAGACCATCGATACGACGCTCGTAATTGGCGATATCCTCGACGACAGTATTGAGCATGTCTGTGTCACGCACATCGACACAGCGGTACTGCAGCTCGGCGCGCCATGCCTTGGCATATTGCTGCACTTCTATGAACTCTGATGCCTTTCATCGGAATTGGTTATGAGTTATCGGGGGATATTCCTTTCTAGGTGATGAGGTTGTATCACAATGGTGGCACGTACCGGCTCTTTCAGGTAGTCTAGAGCGTACACTTTCGCCCCCGCTTCTAACAGAGCCTCTGCTAGAGCTAGGCCTAGACCTCGACCGGCGCCCGAGACTAGGATTACCTTGCCTACTAGGCTAAAGTCGGGGATTTGGGCGTTTTGGTCCAGGTGAAAGGGGTGAGTTGGAACATGAGTAGTGTGGACATCGGTTTCGGCTGGCATTGTTTGATGTTGGTAAAGGAATGTTTATAATTACCTACGGAGTAGGTAGATGTTGGGATAAGAAGAGAGGAAAGTAGAAGTAGAAGTAGAAGGCGGGGTTGATAAAGTCTACTAGACTCTCAACCATGGAACCAGTGGGCGGAGTAGCACCTTTTAATAGTTTTTCCTTGATCTTCCAAAATGGTGACGGTAGGTCGTGTGAGCAGCAAAAAATCAAGGGAAATGACACAAACCTGTGTTTTAAGTGGCTTTGGGCATTTTAAGTTGGAATATGGTTATTATAGTTGAGTATAAGCGTATCACACCGCGTCCCAACATCTAAATATATCTCACTAAAACTAAATTAAATTAACTATGGTAAAGTCATTATCCATCCAAATATGCATCTCTTCTATACCCCTTGGCTACACACATGAAAAAGAAGCTGATTATCAAATAAAAACCAAAAGGTTGCACGTAGAAAAGCATCTTGCATAGAGTATGCTTTTTTTTTACCGACTTCGTATAAACCAAAAAAGACTTCTAAAAAGAGAACTTAAAATAATATACAAGTAGACTGCTAAAAGAACATCTAAAGGCCACCAAAAGACATGATGAGGCTCCATACGCAGTCGACTGTTCTTGCAATCTTAAATTACAAAACGAGCAGATCAAATTCCCATCAACCTAAGGGTATCCTCAAACTATCCCAATGGTAGCGCCGTCAAATATTGGAATATCCAGGAGGTCGGTGATATCCAAAGTGACGGGATTGTCCGTGAGCCAACTCCGGCTCGAGAAGCCGTTGCTCAGCCAGAGGATATTCTGAACTCGTACTGAAAGCAGGGGGGGGTCATAAACATCCTTCGTCTTGCGGAAATACCAGAAGTTGGAGATAACCATGATGATAAACATCAGTCCAATATCCAAGGCATAAGCTGGCCATTCGTGCCTCGAGAGATAGGCATCTGTACCCGTCGCATATTCTACCAACCGATAAATATTTCGAACAGTGATAAGCACACTGCAGAGATATAAATTCCACAGCCTGATATTCACATTCACACCCTGGTGAACGAGTTTCCCTCCATGGCGGGAACTCAATCGGATGTGGAAAAGAACGGCAACCAAAGCAAAGATAGCAAAGAAGAAAACTTGCAGTCCGAGACCAGCGAGAATTATCGCTTTGGCCAAGTTGAGGTTCGATCGAGACTCGGCACGGAGTAGGATAACGACGCCGACGGCTTGAACGAAAAAGCAAAAGATATCGCCCGTAACGAAGATTGGAGTGACCCAGTTTATGCGGATGAAAGATAACTCTGGATGTCCTGATTTGCGGATGAGACGACCGAGAAACATGTAGACTGAAGCGGCGAATAGGATAGGTGCGAGGAGGATTAGGATGGTTTGAATTTCGTATGGTGACTTCTTCTGGAGATGCTTGCTTGAATCAGCGCGCGCGAGCAGGCCAACGACCTCGACTATAAGAGCGTAGTGAGATTAGCTTGAAATGCCATCGCACTTTGTTGTTGGTGAGGAACATGGAGGTCATACATGCTGCTGCAACAAGGATCACAATTCCAAACCATTGGCGCGTCCTTATTATCCTCCATATTTGGACTAGGCTGACGACACAGAACAGGATGGCAACGGCAATGGCTGCAGGAATGGAGGGTTTGTAGTATGTGTAGTAGGGGTTTGAAGGGTCGTCTGTCGTGGACATTGTGAGGGTATTATGCAAAGTGATTATTGTTTCAATTACATGGAAAGAATTAAAGTATCACTCCCTGGTCACCACCCCCTTTTTAAATGACAACAAAGTTGTCAGATTTTACCAATTGAGAAAAATCAAAGTACTCTTTTAGAATACGAACTGTCCAATTAGCTAGCGATCTTAGCACAGCTTTATCTGGGGCTGAGGGAACACGATGGTAGATCATTGAGATTGACCAGTAAGATATAGTCGCCAGTTGCTAGCACGAAGAGGTTTCCCAAGTAGGCAATCGTTGGGTTAGTGGAGAAACCCCGTAGCAGCGAATCAAAGACGATGAAAGTGAAAGAAGCCTAAAAATCATCCATAAGGCTGTTGTTAACGAAGTGATGCTGACAGATCGAAGTGATCCACATCAACAACTCAGCCTCTCTCATCTATCAATGCACTAGACTATTCTAGGTAATAGGGTGCGAGGTCACTTGATTGGCCAACCTCAATATTCTTCGCATAACCCTGAAGATACATTCATTCTGATTAACACTCATAGTTAGAGAGATATACCATCGGTGTGGTATGATGGCCGAGTAGATTGGAAGATCGTTCTCTGTTGTTACCATCGTCTTTCTACAACTACTATTTATTTGCACCTGAAATGCCGATATGCTATACGATTACAGAAACCATAGATTGATTCATAGATACTCGGTATCAAGAGAAGCAAATGGGGTATTAGGGAAGGTGCAATCACGTTTATTCTGCAACAATGACACAACACATAGAATCGGAGAAAAGAGTAGTGAAATGATGAAATGATGGATTGAAGAGAAGTAGAATCAAATTTCAAAACTCAATATGGGCTCTGGACACAAATAGATGAAAAGACACGCACAGAATTGATCAAAGCCATGCCCTGCCCGCTATCTGAAGATGGGGCCAGTGACGTAGCTCAAGTCAAGAAGTAAAGATCAAGGAAATAGACGGGGTATCGATATGGAATAATAATAAAGCAGGGTAAGACCGAAATAAGCACTCAAGCCCAAGAGAAAAAATCGCAAAAGCAAGGTGGAAAAGAAATGAAAAGAACTAAAATCGTACTAACATGGATGCATGAAGTAATGACAACGCAAGAAAGAAACATCAAAGATAAAGAAAAAAGAATTCATGGGCCCATTCTCTTTCACTCCTAGTACGCCGATTAATCGGTCCCTGCATTAATACGCCGTGCCGTGTATGCAAAGGTCAACACGAATGACCAAATCAGAGAAGACAGAAATGGGCCATCTAGCCCATCTCCATGCCGTACTCGTCCTCCTCCTTGAAGCTCATAGCGGCATGACCAGCACTGTTCCAGTACTGGGGCTGGCCAGCGCCGTTGGCACTACTGGTACCGCTGTGGAACGAAGGACTCAGGCTGGGAGGAGTCAGGCCGGACATGTCACCGCCCTGCACGGCATCGCCGGCGATGTTAGTGTGCTTGGGGACGCGCAGACCGCTACCAGGGCCGCGGGTATAACTGAAGGAAGTTGGGTCATTCCTCTCCAATGCATCGAGGATCTCGCTGCGCATGCGCTTCTCTTCTTCGGTTTGCTCGAAGGGCCAGGTTCCGCCCAGGCTGCCGATCAGCTCGGCGAGTTCCGCTTCTTGTTGGTATTTGACATGCAGGGCCCACATCAGATCGCGGGTCCAGCTGACAGCACCGTTGAGAATGTCACCCTTGTTAGGACCCTTCTCCTTTTCTTCGATGGGGAGACCCATTGTGATATTGCCCGCTGTCGCGCGGCGGCCGTTACCTCCAGCGAGAAGAGAAGTGGCGGCACTTCCGCCTGCGCCGGCCATGGAAAGAGCGCTGCTGTTCACAAGTTGCTTCCGGACCTTATCGTCTTCTAGTCGGTGCTGAGGAACCAGGTGGGAGAGATCCTGGATGCGTTCATTGATGTTGTCACGTCGGCGGCGTTCGACCAGGTTGTGCGAGGCACGGCGACGCCGGCGCTTGGCTTCCTGGGATTCGAGATCTCCACCGCCGCCAGGCAGATGAGCGTCAACCTTAGCGGGCAGCGAGGCGTGCTTCCCAGACTTGAGTATCTCGGAGATGCCAGCGTGGTGTGATTGGTGAGGAGGAGATGAGATGGGAGAGGACTCGACGTACGACTGTGCACTGCCGGGCGTTCCGTCCCACTGGTTGGACAGGGACTTCTGGTGACGAGCCTGCAGTCCGGTCCGGATAGGCTGGGACGGGAAGCTGCCAGACTCAGGAGTACCCAATGTCAAGGAGCCCAATGCTGGGGTCTTTGGAGTCATAGGACTGCGGCCATCAGAAGAAGTACGGTCCATGCCTTGCAAGCTCTGGCGCTTGGTGCCGAGGTAGTTCTGGTCGAAAGAGCTGGCATTGTGCATGTGGGGATTTTGCTGGTTCATGCGGTACTGCTCGTAGTTGAAGCTGTTCTGGACGAACGGGCTGGCCATGGGAGCATTATCCGGAGTGTTGGAGTACATATGCGACATTTGGCTTTGGTGACTCATCGCGATGCCACCAGCAGACTGGTCCTGAAGGTAGTTCACATTGTCGCGCTGATGACCGTTCTGGCCGCTGATTTCGAGATCCAACAACTCGTCTGTGTCGATTCCGGAGTTTCCAAAGTTGAAGCTGGATGACATGTTCTGTTGCGAACCATAGGAGTAAGGCATGAAGCCATTCTGCTGCTGCATGGTCAAGTCGGATGGGTCGACCCCATCGGGGAATTGGTTACCCATCGAGTAACCGGAGTGTGACATGATGAAAGGGGTATAATCGTCGGATTCGTGTTTGATGAAAAGACTCGCTTCAGCCATAGCCCGGTGAAACAATCTGGGGGGGGTGTGGGATGGGGCGCAGATCGGCGAGGGGCTAAAAGGAGGAGTCGTAGTGCCGATCCTACCGACTCTCCGCGACAGTTGTCAAAGTTAGACGGTCCGAGAGGGGCGACACTGGAGAGAATGGATGAAAGAGGCGTTGGGTGTGAGATTGCCACGATCTGTGTGTAAGGAAAAGATGTTAGTTAAGACTCGACCCCGCCCGTGGGCGATTTGGAGATGTCGTGGCCTCCGTGCGCAAGGCAAAACAGGCAACCCAATAAAATGCAAAACAGACTGAAAAAAAAAAGGAAATAGGAATGCAAATAATTACCTCTGAAACAATGAGTATTGGAGGAATGAAGTCCGGGGAGATTGTGAGACGTGCCAATAAGCCGGGGAAATTTCCTCGGTCTTTAAAGCCGGGATGAGTCGACAATCGAGGGGGACTGGGAGGACTGTGCAGATCACCACGAACAAGTCTTGGGACAATCGCAATCGCAAGGCACAAGGCGCCAAGTGACAGAAAATTGCTAGAGAACTGTGTAAGCGATGAAAGAGCGATAAAGAAATAAAGCGGCGCAAATGCGAGAAATGAAAGAAGAAAGAAGATCAGGGATCAAGAAGATAGACCACAAAGTAGACTAGAAACGAGCAGGGAAAAGACCAAGCCCGAATCAGGCACTCAATCCCAGTTTGATCTTGGTTGATCCCAGTTGATATGCTGGATGGTTTGATCCCAGTTGTCCTTTCGCTGATACAAAACACAAAGTCTGGAGAAGAGTGGGGGAACAAGCGGTGGGAGGGCGGTGAGCTGTGGCGATCTGGGGGGTTTTTTGGTTTTGAGCACGTTGGTCTTGTATATATAGATCAACCTAGTTCATACTTCACCTGAAGTGGTATATTTGCCAGATTGGATTTGAGTCCTTGCGCCTTGACCCCTGGGTGTTGGCTCGGGGTTTGATACCCACGCTCGGATTGCAATCGGAATACGAGTTGACGCAAGCGCTTACTTCCCAAGAACAAAAGAAAAGAACATGTTTGGGCTTGGTTTTGAGGCTGATGAAATAATTTGAGACTTACCAAAGGAAGATGTGTATATGAGATTGGTATAAGTAAGTATATCTCGGTATAGACCTGTGTTGACATTAGCAAAAGATCAAAAAGGATACATCCCAAGACATATCAACATAACCCATGCAGGTCAAGACATGTAAAACGTATCATAAGCAGAGCCCCATTCACACGTGGGGGCTGGAAATAAGGCATATATCACAGACGCAGGAACATAGGGAATATACAATATATAAAGGAGACTTGACACGTACCTTGATCTGTATGTCGAACTAGAAGCTCACGAGGTATAACGTCTTTGCAAATCAAAAGTTCGAGAACATAAGTATGCAGTGACAACTCAGAGGGAAAAGCACTTGCAGGTTTCGCAGACAGACACCGAGGGGATGGAGACTTTATGAACTCAAGCGGCGCTGTCCTGCATCTCTCATTTGATATATTACAACATCGGTCATGCAGCCCGTCGATCGGTGGAAATCGATGAGATTCACCTACGACATCGGACATTGAATTTTATTTTTATTTTAATATTAAGTTGGCTACTACCATCTGGATCAGAAAGGAAAAAGGGTGTGTGTGAGTATAAATCGGGTGTGAGTGGATTTTGGCTGAAGGAGGGGTGGCAACGGTAAACCCCCGAGCCTCTTTTTTTCTTTTCTCTTTTCGTACAATACATAGATAATAATAACAATAAAAAACATGAAATACTACTTGACTGAGTAAAAAAAAAGGTTATCATATTCATAACCTAAAATAAAAAACAAACTTGGACAAAGGGGGGAAGGGTGATACAGCCGGATCAAGTAAAACGGCGGCCATCCCATGATACACATTGGGATATTTGTCACCTGTTACCACAATCATGACTCACGGGTGTCTTGAACAGAGCAAGCAAGAATGTATCATATGAGTTCTTGGGGTTACAAGCATACCAAAACCTATCTTCTAGGAAACCCTAATCTATCATTCAGAGTGGAAGTCTGCAGGATATATTCAAGATTTCCGAATGAGACCATGTGGACATGGTTGATCTCCAGCAGCTATGTAGAGTACTAGTACTCAAAACACCGGAGATGGTAGAGATCGACTAAACATTAGAAAATGACTATGAGTCGCAAATATCATTCGGAGAACATAACATGCATAATCCCATTACCTTGGCAATACCAGAGATAGAGAAGATTGGGCAAGATCCTAGTGTATATGTGTTGAAAGAAAATCGAAAAGGTAAAAGAAATAAATAACGAAAAAGAAGTAGCCCACAGACCGCATCCATAAGCACTATCAAGCTGCAAGAGGATCAGTGCGGTCTGTTCTTCATGTGGGAGGGATGTCGTGCAGAGGAGTCTGGAGTGGTGATCATATCTGTGATCGTCAAGGGAGCTTGGACCTTCCATATTGCTCCGCTCCGACTATGCACTCGGGGCTTGAATCTCTGTTATTTTTGTTCTACGTAAGGGGCGGACTCGTGGGTATTGATCTGGGTTACAGCGGCAAAGGAAAATAATGACATACTTCAATATTTGGAACTCGTTTACTCCGTAGAATGTTCAAGACAGTTGGTAACTTCGGATTTCGGACTTAACCGTTTGGTCTTCGTCCGAAGCCAAAAAAAAAGTAGAATGGTAGAATGTGGTGAAGAGAGATAATTGGAGGGGTTGGAATGTGTCTTAAGACCCCCTCCACCAATAGTGAATCAAAGCAATACACCTCACTTTGGTATGACTGTGCTGAGCCACATCGTCAAACTTTCCCCTCTTTCTGAGCCACTCCGGTTTAGGAGATGATAAGATAATAATATTTTGGGATCGACGGATGGGGGTTGATCTCCGGGATTCGTTTGAGGGGAAATATGGATCTGACGTCCCGTCCCGTCAAGGTTCGGCGATACACGCCTAGGTAATCCACGGTCGACGCAAGGGAGAGAAGTTGGATTTCAAGATCTACTTTAGTAGTATTCCATACAAAGAAGTCGGGACTGTTGATGTCTCACTCGAAGGACCTGTGCACAGGACCCTGGTATGACGACATCGTACGTGGTTAAGGTCGCACTCCATTCCGGGGGTCACGGATAAGCCGACTCGTGTGCATCGGACATTCTATAGAGTACCATTGCAAAGTAAAGCAGATGTGAAAAAGCAAGAAAAACAGGGAAACAGAAAAAGCAAAAGTAGAAGCCAAATTTGGAGAAACAATGAGGCTAGTACCAATGTTACCCACAGTGCAGTCCGGAGTGCATATCAGCGCCCTTATGGTTATCGGATAATTCCCCTAGGTGGTACACGGGTAGCTACATAAATACAGTCAACAGGTAAAAGGTTATATAATGGGTATGCAACATCATCTGGAGTTCTTCCGATACGACTGCCGGCAACTATAGCCGTTGTAGCCGTTATCGATAAATAATTCTGCAGGGCTGTCCAATACCAGAACTTCACAAGTCATTCTATTATTACAGTTACGGCCGATCGCTACAGGGTGCGCATCAGCCATGAAGGATCGACAGTGGGACGGCAACTAATGATTGAAAATTGCAGATAGGGAGGGGGAGCTAGTAATGGTCATGCGTCCAAATCGAGTATAGTGAAGGATAGATTATGGTCAAGAATGGACTATTATTATATTGAAAGTTAATATTCTATTGAATAAGTCATCTGGCAACTCCACTTAAAGTGTGTTGATTTGATTTAATATACAACAAGCTTGAACTTGGGAAAAAGCATAGCTCTGGATATCTTCAAGGGGTCTGAGGTTGAGATGTAAAAAATTCCAGCGGATATAGCGCAAATGATAGTATTTACGTATTTGAAATGTTATAACATGATAATATCTAAGAATAAATAATATGTGAAGTTGCTTATAGGTGGGTTATATAGTTACTTCATGCTACATATCTAGCGCTATACCCCATTAGGCATTAGCCTCCTTTCCCCAACTTCATCGCAGAACTGGGAGACTGCCACTATACAACCATACCTCTACACGCCACTTAGGCAACATTGCACCCTCTTGGTAAGTAACATATATTTCTTTTATTTTTCTTGACTTCCTATGGGGGGGGTCATCCTGGTGAATAACCCCACAGGGCTCGGTCCGAAGCTTTGTACCCCAATACTGGAAACCATCATCTGACAGCTTCAGCACTTAACGCCGATCGGGTTGGTCGCATCGGTAGCTTCACGCCATCTCGTCATTTTGCTTGGTTCCCCTCGTCTTCCTACCCTCCTTTATCGATAGCGCAGCGCTTCCTTATCCAATCAGCACCCATCGGACCCCCTACACCGTGTTCGCTTCCTATCCCTTCTCGGATCGTGCCCGCAAGGTTCAACGCTTCCCACCTATCTTCCGCTTGGTTGGCTTATCTCGCCGCATTCTTGCACGGCATATCCTCGATTAATTCACCTGCGCCGCGCCATAGGACCTCCCAAGCTACCCCCGGTAATCATCGCCGACTCCGCAGAGATAGCTGTAGCTCCCGTTGAGCTGACACGTTATCACAGTGCAATAGGCAGCCCTTTTCTTGGTTGGAGAGGTTGTTCATAAAGTTTATCTATCAGCCTGCTATATTCAAAAACCTTTGATCTTTTGATCTTGACCACATATTTTCGAGTCGGAAAACTTTCCTCGAAAGTGGCCCCCATTCGACCCGAGTCACGGCGTGTCCCAGCTCATCGGAAGCCGAATCCACGTTCGACACAGTCGTCATCTGCCCCTCTGTTGGCTTGACTAAGTCCCCGCTTCTAGCCAATCCTCGAGGATCATCCACCACCCGGCGCAGATCATCTGCACTCCATCTCGCATAGTCCCTGCAGACCGTTCTCTTGGTCTTGACTTCCTGGACCACGGGCCTTCTCTGCAGACGCAGTAGCGCACGCTCCTCTTCTCCTCGTTTTATTCGGGATCTAAAACTTGACTAAAACTAGTCTCAAACATGGCGAATAACTCGTTCCGAGACTCTGTTAACTCACTAGGGTGGTCGCGTAGAGATCCGGATCTCCCCGTCAACACTAGAACGTCATCAAACACTCCATTCTTATCCCGTCTACAGTCTTACAACCCGTTCAGCGAAGGCGGTTATGTCCAACTACCTACTCACAATGAAGGTCCTGGGGCCCCATTGCCGGCAGCTACTCGACGGGAAGAAGAAGAGGGCTTCTTTGCTTGTAAGTTTTTTTTTCTGTCTTGTGACCCTCCGATCCCCAGATCCTCCCGTACACTGTTGCGTGATCCATGTGATGAGACTGCAGTTCCTGCGCCGGGAGGATTCATTCCCACCATGCTTGTTTACGTGGTAGCCGATAGAAGAAGATAAACACACTAACATGGGCTGTGTATAGTGAGTCGGTGGGACCGTATGCTCATCTTCGGCGCATGTAATTTGGGCGCCGCCGTCTGTTTCATGATATGTTTCTTCTTGTTCCCCGTCTTGTCGCTCAAGCCCCGCAAATTCGCGGTCTTGTAAGTTGCCTCCGCGATGGTCCGCATAATGTGGACTATGTTCCCCGGCTTTCCATGGCCCTCCCAGCCCTCTTTCTTTTATTTTTCTGGTTATTTTATGCTCTCGGACGACCGAGCAAATCCCGAGCTGGGATAAACTAGGTCATCGGTCAATTTTGGTTAAGACCATGTGCGCCTTTGTACTTCACACTACGAGCTGATTGGTCCTGACCTCGACCTATATCTGCGCCTCATGCCAAGGACCTTCGTCTCCCCTCTTGGATATCTCTTGCTAACCGGTTTCTTTACTAGATGGTCCGTCGGCTCAGTGTTGTTCTTGCTATCATGGGCGGTTCTCATGGGACCGTGGACTTACGCTAAGCATTTGGTCTCGGGAACAAGGTTGCCATTCACAGCGGCCTATTTCGGAGCGATCGCCCTGACGCTCTACTTCGCCATCGGGGTAAGTAAAATCGATTTCTTTATCTTTTATTTTTCGTTCTCGTTTTCGGATTTGGATTTTGTATTTGGTCTTTGCGCTTCATCCCATTGCACACCGACGATCCCTCCCCTCCTCATGATACTCCCCTCTGGATTTCCTTGTTTTGTCGCACACTCGCTCTCCCTCGCTCTACCCGAGTCGGTATGGTCGCACTGCACGACCGGGAAAAGGGGAATCTTGCAGCCTTCACATCCATCGCGCAGTACAACCTGAAACTACGGCTTGTCATACCTGCTGTTGGCTGCAGCCACTTTAGCTCCTTCGATTCCATCCCACCCTGTATTCGTCCGGCCTCTTTGTTTTGAATCTTGCGTCTGTGCTGCATCCCACCACGGCGCGGGACTTGGATGTCCTTTCCCTTACTTCCCCTTGTCCGACACATCCCGGTGTCACAGAGCGCGGCGGAGTCCAGAGCCATAGAGATCAATCTATGTCTCACCGTCCCTGACTACTTGGTCATCCTGTTCTACCTGCATATCACAACTACACACCATCTACTTCCCACATTTGGCAACACATCCTCTTCCAGAAACTCTTGCTGACTGACTTCTCTTTTTTCCGTAAATTCTAGCGTCAGAACCTCTTCCTTACTCTCATCTCCTCGATCTTCCAGCTCGCTGCCCTGGTCTGGTACCTCGTCAGCTATTTCCCCATGGGCAGTACTGGCCTGCAATACGTGGGTCGTTTCGGAGCATCGCGTGTTACAGCTTGGATTAGTGGTTGATTTGTTCACTTGCTCGTGTCTGATACCCTGCGCTTTGTCGGACCTCACATACATCGCACGGTGTGCTTATGGTTACCTGGGTATCGGTGGCTCCCTTCGTTGTGTATATGTATCTCGCCAGAACTACAGTGTTTGGCGCTTTGGTTTGCTTCTCTTTCCTCCAAATACTTATATCGGCATACGGCCTGGGTTTCTTGGTAGTAGAATGCTGAATATTGACATCGGACAAAAAGGGAAAAAAGGGAACTTGTAGGCTACTAGTACATGTACATCGGATTGCTGCGCTTGATGGATTTGGCTTTCCATTTAGTTGCTCGTGCCTTTGCTGCTTTTCGATCACTAAGTGAAGTCGAGCATGCCCTAAGTGTTAAGCACGACCTACATCCCCAGATAGGCAACCCTGAAGGTAAACTCACCCACTCACTGAACCCCGAAGAAAGCGGAAGAGTAGCTGAGTTAGCAGCCCACATCTATGAAACGCACCAAACTAGCCCTATCTAAATACCATCTGAGTACCATCGACAGCCTCAGTTCTAGGATCCCACTCTGTAAAAGCAGGCGAGTCTACCATATAAACCTGCAATCCTCTCTAAATCTATAACTAGCTTTGTCATCACTGAACGGTCTATTATGCTACAAAGAATTCACAGAGTCAGTCCCTCTCCTTTCCAATACCGCCGCCTCCATTTCAACACTCCCTCTGCCCCAACAGTAAGTCGGGAATAGATGAGAACTAGGAGGGGGACGTAAAGCTAAGGCTAGAAGCGAACGGTATTTTCTTTAAATAGAAGGATGCATAGTAGGAATTCGTTCGATACCAAAGCTAGTTCAACGGGTAAGAACGAGACATAATATCTACAATGGAATGCTAGAAGCATCATAATATGCAATCCAGCAAAGTCATAGCCGTAGTCATAGCTTATAGCTAAAACAAGTATAATCAATGCTCCAGAATCAAAAATCCACTGCATTCCATTTTCTCAATCATTCATATCCAAAAAGAAAACACTCAATACTTCCCCCGGCTCATAACCAATCCAACAACACCATCAACAACCTTAACACCTTCAATTTCTGCTTCGTAGATCCCCGTATCACCTCCAGACCCAACCTTAACCCACCGCTGCAGCAAATCATTACTCTCCTTCGGCTTAACATCCGGCGCCGCGGTACCGACCGTGATATGCGGAATCGGATTTGCGCACGGCCACTCAGACTCGGCCGACTCGACACCCTCAGCAGGAAGGATGCGCGCGACAAAGGCCATGATGCGGTCATCCCAAACAAGACGCTCGATGCGCACGCGCGCGCAGCCCAGAGTCGGCGGGTATTGAATTGGGTCTTCGACAACGGGGTTGTTGGTCTGGATGTCGATGTAGCGAGTTGATAACTGGTCCCAGGTCTCTGGGTTGTCTTTCTTCGAGGCGCGGTGGATGAGGGTTACATGGAAGGTTGGCTGGAGGCGGCGGGAGTTTATGAGCTGGTTGTAGAGACGGGCTTTTTCGGGGGATGTAGTTGGCGGGAAGAGGGAGTGGAGGAGTGAGGTTACTTCGTTTGTTGGCAGGGAGATGTTGAAGTATTCGATCTTTTTGGCAAGGGCTTGTGGTAGGAAAGGGGAGTCGGTTAGTTCGGCGACGAGGGCGTTGTTGTCTTTGCTTTTGGGCTTTTTGACTTTCGGCTTTTGTGGGGACCCGTAGCTGTAGCTGAGATCTTTTGTCACAGTGTAGTCATTTAGGGCCGCATCGATGGCTTGGTCGAGATCTGCTGCCGTTGGCATGGTTGGTACCAGTCGGGGGTAGGCGGCGTGGAGGGCTTTGACAACTGTCTCGAGGTTCTCGCGAGATGAGGCGCACACGTCGAGGTCAATGACGTGATCAAAGTGCTCATCTGGTAAGCGGGTGGTGTCGACGCCTTCGAAGCGGCCGAGGAATCCCTCCATGATTCCGATGGTCTCTTGCTGGGCGTTGGTGCCAGCCCGGATGGATTGGTGGTTGTCGCCACGCTCTAGCACACGCTTTCGAGTGACTTCTCGGATGGCGGGAAGCCTGTCTGCCTTGGGCTCGTGGACATAATGCAGAGCGACGAACTTCGCATCCGGAAGCACGGGGTAGATATCTTCCATGAGCTGCTTGCGTTCGCGCTTTTGATGGTTGTTGCGATCTGCGATGACAACACTGTGCTCTCCCAGAGCATGGCTGACGTCGAAAGCGAACTTCTTCGGCTTGTTTTTCTGTTTGGGAATGTTGTCGTTCTGAACATGTCCCCATCCGAAGAGCTTAACCAGAGCTAAAGCGACTGTTGTCTTACCACATCCCAGCGAGGCAACCGGTTCGAGGATGACATTTTTGTTGGTCTCCTGCGAATCATTCTGCTTTTGAGCCTCTAGAGCGATAATCTCGGCTCCATTCAATCCTCGTTCCTTGAGGAACTGCTCCCGCAAAGCTATGATACCATGGTTTTTCATATACTCATCTGCCATTTTAGGGTTCTTCATCAGAGCCCGTCGAGCAAACTGCAAGTATTCTTCGGTGATCTGCTCATGCTTCCTGATCTTGGGGTGTTTCCCTCCGATGACGGCTTTGGTGCATTCACGCCACTGACGGTACATCAAGTACGGCTCTTCGAACTTGTACTTGAAGAACCAATTCCGGTAGGGCTCGGTGCCCTTGTCGCTAAGCTGGCATCGGATGACGAAGCCCTCGGTCTCACGTCCATCCCACATTCCTGTCTCTGCGCATCCTTCCAGGAAGCTCTGCACTCTGAAAATGTCATCGAAGATCTCGAACTTGGCCTTCTTGAAACCCCAGTCGTCAGCAAACTTGTGCACATCTCCACACGACATTGTCTTAAAGTCAGGCTGGTTGTAGTTGAGACCGTGAAGGTAAATGCCTGAAGAAGATTCGTCGTAGGCCAGGACATGCTCCTCAAAAGTGTCGTCACAGAGTTCTCCAACGGCTGTAACATTCATCTGGCGCAGCGTCCGGGCAAGGTCCTTGACAGATCGATTCACGGACGAGACATGGCGTTCCGTCCAGCGCTCTCCTGCTTGCGCGTGGGTAACTAATGTATCTTCGCGGGGCCCAGTCGAGTGTTTGCTGCAGACCAGCAATGTGTCGTCCTCCAAAGCTGAGATAAAAATAATGCATCCATTCTCTTTCACGCTCAGCTCATAGGGGCCCCTTGTGTTTTTCTCGATGTTGCGCCATTCCGTGGCCCTTGTCTCGCCTACGTTGAAGAACTTGTCGTATCCGCGCGCCGCGATTTCAGGAATGTTGTCTTTCCGTTGAGTGGTGAAAAGACCTCGCGCATATGTTGGTAGACCAGCCTGCTTGTAGTCCCAGTCCTGGAACTTCCACGAGTCTACGGTCACATTATTGGGCAAGGCAAAGGTGCTTTTTTTGCAGGTGAACCTTGTCTCGCCCTTTTTGGCCTTCCTAGCGGTCTCCAAGTTTTTCACGAGCTGTGAGATGACGTGTGGATCTTGAGTCGCCATGTTTGTGTGTTGGGGATATCAAAGAGATTGGAGAGGAGGGGCAGACAATAGTGGGGGGAAAGAGAAAAGAGAAAAGGCGCGATGATTTTCCTGACCTCCTGCCTGAGGTATTGTAAGGGTATTTGTAGGAAACTGAAATGATAACAAATTAGAGACTAAATGATCAAAGCACCAAAGTACCAAAGCAGTAAAGAGCCGGGGCAATGACGAACAGTCAGACCTGAATGTGTCACAGTGCGGGGAGCCAAAGGGGAAAGGCGGATATTTTTTTTTCTGCTGAGTTGAGCTGATTTACTTGAACAACCACAAGTTACCTTTGACTCACTCGATCTTTAAACACTTTCACTTTAATAATTTGACTCATAATGGCCCAAAATCCTTACCTCTTGGCCTGCGACAACCCAACGGCCCTTCTGGAGCTACTGCGATCCAACCCCTCGATCGCATCCAGTCAAGATGAGTCCGGCTACTCATTGCTGCACGCCGCAGCCTCATACGGTCATATCGATCTCCTACGCGCTCTAGTCAAAGAATTCAACGTCGATGTCAACCTCCTCGACGAAGATGGCGAGACATGTCTATTTGTGGTCGAAGATAGCGACATCGCGCGCTGTTTAGTCGAGGAACTGGGTGTGGACGCCAATAAGAAGAACGCTGAAGACTTTACAGCTGTGGAAAAGTTCGAGACCGAGAACGAGTTCCCGCAGGTCGCTTCCTACCTCCGCGAAGCTGTCGGCGGTGCTCCTGCTCCGACGCACGAGCAAGCCGCCGAAGTTTTGAACTCTCCCGGAGCCATCCCTGGCAGTGATATGAGGGTCAACATCGGTACAATGACGGAAGAAGAGGCCACTGCTGGTGGTGAACCGGATCCAGAATTCAAGAGGCGCATCGAGGAACTTGCGACTCGTGAGGATTATTACAGCGAGGAGGTGCAGAATGAGGTGCGCGAGTTGGTGAAGGATGCCATGGCTGGCTCGAATATTGAAGCTATGGAGCGGGAGATTCGGAGGAGAACTGAGTAAACAGGAGCATTGCGACTGTTAAACTCATTTCATCGTCATGTCAGGGTTCAGTCTGTACATGAGACCATCATCGCATTCGAAAATGCGAATCACTGGCAAAAATCCATCCAAACATTTTCAGTCGGAGTCCCACGCCTCCTACTGATTGAATCTCGCGAACGGGCACTCCGCCGTTGTCTCGGGAATCTTTTATGTCTCGCTTGAAGTTTTGAGTCTCCCTGTGGAGGCTGCTGTTAGACTTGTCAGAGTCCCTGTTCGAGTGGCCCGAAGAAAAGCTTCTATACGATCTTGTAAGTAGGATTAAATCACGAAATATCACGATATATCCATTGAAACAATCTATGTTACAACATAATTAGCTATTTTCCACATATGTAGAGATCGTACTATCATAGTTGATGCTACTGCGTAGATCACCGGTCTAGTCCCCGCCAAGCTCGAGCCTATCCCGCATCTCCGACGTAGCAACTTAACTTTCACCTACAACCCCCAACCACCATATCATGTCTCAACCACCCTCTCCATTCCCTCCGCAATCGCAATTCTACTCATCTCAGATCATGAACCCCGACACACCTCCTCCACCACCCCCAAAACCCAGCAGCCACGAAGCCAGTCGACGCGGCACCCCGCAAAGCACCACTGCACAAGCCTGGCAGCCAGACCAGACAGGCGCACATCAGGGCGCACATCCCAATAATCCTCAGCAGCCATATATCCCCGATCCTCCAACAATCGAGGAAGGATGGCTCCCAGATCTAGTGTCCGATAAATCGTGTGTCCCCTCAAACCCTGGGAAGCAATGAATGATAGGAGCGTCTCTAACTCACGCAACCCCAGAACAACCGATCTCCAAACCATCCTCAAAGACCCATCTCTGATCTCCGCCCTCTCAAGCCAACACCCCTCATATACAACCCGCCAACAACACCTCGAAACCTTAATCCAAACAAACAAAGACCTCGCAACCCGCGTCCTAGAGATGGAGAACCACCTCGCCGAAGCTCGCGCCTCCACAGAAACCATGTTGATCACACACCAGTCACTGGAGGTGTCCTGGCGCAAGAAGCAGGCCGAGATGGACGCCGCTCTAGCGCCGTGGTCGCCGAAAGCACTATACCAACGCTTCAGCGCAGCAATTACGGAACAAGAGGCTGTCTGTCATGCTGTTGAGGAGAGCTTCCTGGATGAAGACCATCACGGTCGGGCCACGGAGAAGGAAATTGCAGATTGGGTCCGACGTGTACGGGGCGAGGCATCTAAATTGGCGGCTCGGAAGGAGGCTAAGGCCCGATGGGATGAGGGACGTGTTGGGGGTTGGCGATGAGGTCTGAAAAAAAATCTCGAGATAGAAATAGTCAGGTCAGGTCTGACTGCCATTTACGATGTTCATGCTGCCTCCGATTCATGATCTGTTCACTATGCATTATACAATACGATATAAATCTACATCACACCTTCAAGGTCTTGCTTTCTCAACTCAATCCCGGATATCCACCCTACCTTCACCCCTCCAGCCTAACAGCGTCACCCTCACTACCTTCCGGCTTAACACGCCCCTGTCCCTGTCCCTGATTCCTAAACGCCATCTCCCTCACCGCAGCCGCGCTCTCAACATCACCCTCCAACCCCCTCTCACCCGCCCACCCATCCGTGCCTAGCGAACTAGGAACCCCAACACCCCGTAGGAAAGCACGTCTCCGATTACGCGGACCCCAAGCCCAGCCTGCACCACGTCGAATGGGGATATGGTACATGTTAAACCCAATATAAGCGAAGAAAATGCCGATCGCGGACCCGAAGAGAATATCAAAGCCATGGTGTCTGTAATTGAACCAGCGCGACGCAGCAATAAAGCACGCTGTGGCAGTCGGCACGAACGCAATTAGCATTAGGTATACGGGCGGCGCAGCACCGCGCTTCCGCACAGATGTCTCCTCATCAACGTGGTTTTGGTCTTCGACTGGGTAGCGCGGAAGATAAGGGAATGCGACGGAGAATTTCGAGCAGAGCCAGAGAGTTAGGTAGATTAGACCGGCGAAGGAGACTGGGGGGGATTATTAGCTTCAGTATTCATATTTGTATACCGTATCATGCACTAAACACATCTGCGATATGATGTGCATGATATGTATGTATGTATGGTATAGACTTACAAGAAGAATGCCCACTAGGAAAACTAGCAAACCCATCAATGCGCAAGGATTTACTCGTATCGCGACAAATCTCCCAGGAAACCAACGTTGCCGCACCGCGCAGCTCCTCTCCAAGCCCACCGACCGTGAACTCGGCAATGCGCGTGAGGTCTGGATTGCAGCGGGCCAGGAGATCAGGTCGCGGTTTGCCGATGAGCACTTTCAGACCCTGTGTCGCGGACCAGGCGCTTGCGATGGCCAGTGCGAGGCCCATCCAGCCGACGTTCCATTCCCAGAATTTGCGACGGATGTATTGCGCGGCGGGGGGTTTTGGTGTGGGGTTAGAGGGGGTGGTGGCTTTTGCTGGGACGAGTAGCCATGCGAGGAGGAGGATTATTATTGCTGGGGCGAAGAGGCAGACTAGGACCAGGGTTGTTGTTGTTACGGTTTCTTTGGTGAGGGGGTAGCTGATTGTTGGGTCGGTTAGGCTGAAGGGGTGGTGGTTTGGGGATTGTTTGTAGAAGCCGTAGCCGATTAGAGCGATGCCGCTGGTGAGGATTGTTAGTTTGGGGATTGGGGTGAATAGTCTGGGTGGAGGTACATGATGAATATCCAGTCGAGTATGTAGGATAGGACTAGGAGCTTGGAGATAGCTGCTAGACGCGTTACCGTGTCCTTGATGGGAAGGGGCATCTTGTGATGCAATTATGGTAAGGAATAATGAAGATAGGAATTAAAAATTAAATGATAAAAATGATGACCATGACCATGACTGTGATTATAGTTATAATGTGCAGGTGCAGGCAACAACGTTGAAATGAGAGATGACCTGGGGGAATGTGGCGGAGTAAAAATAAAAAGCTTACTTGGACTCGCATCCATTTAGGGTTATGCAGGACTGGGGGTACTCCGTATAGATACGGAGTAGTATTCACGTCATTGATTTCACTCCACTTTTATATAGATGGTTTCTTTAGAACTCATCTATAGAGATATAGAGCTATACAGCTATAGAGCATTAAATATCTTGGCAAACATCACTGGAACAAAAAATTGACTCTATATCATTGATTTCAGAAAGATGTTGAGCATTGTAGTGGATTCTGTAATTTCCACCTTCTCTAGCGCTAACCCCATTTAAGCTCAGCGGGTGCCGCCCACGGTCATGCAGGGGGTATACAACCTTGAAAACTGCACGTGCGTGAAACATACTCTGTAGACTCGACCACGTCGCCAGCGTCCACGTGTGTTACAGTCTAATCCAAGCTGCATTAAGGTGAAACGGGCGCCTAACACAAATAATTAAGTTAGTTCGGTGTATTTCGACAGAGAATTGGTCTGGTCTCTCTAGTCCCTGGAAAATGAAAGCCTGATGTATTTATTATACTCACTTATTCTCTCAATAAACAGCCTCCTGTTCTTAGATTTGATTCCATTTATAAGGTAAGCGCTGGTTCCGGAAACTAGAAGCAGGCTACAACACGCTGGATGCAAAAACATGCAAAAACATCAACACGGTTTTGTGCAAGTTATTCTCACTCGTCGCCGACAATTTCACGGACAAAAGGCTTGTTATTGGCATAGCACTGGATTTCCTGTTCCTTGGGAAGAATACCATGCAGAATATAAGCTTTAGCAACTTCATCTGTGCAGTCTGATCTGTCACGTCTGGAGCTATGCCCATATGCATGATTAACAATCAACCGGGCATTTTGGCCCATCTCTGCTAGAAGCCTTCTCCCATTGCGCAGCGGGGTCGCAGGGTCATACGGGGATGCGATAAGTAGAGTAGGACTCTTAAGAGTGTTGTTGAGATCCCCGCGATACACCTCCGAAGGACGGCCCCAATAGGTATTGTAATGTCGACAAGGCATAACTGCAAAGAAGCGGGAGTTTCCAGCTATCCAGCTCTGGGCAGACATTTTCTCCCACAACTGATCCCACCATTCAAGTCCGTCTGGAAGGGGCGCATCGTACGAATCAGCACATATCACGAGGGGGTCGAGTTCAGTGGAAGATGGGACATGCGGATAGAGTTGCTTTTCAGAATGGTCGCTCCATGAGAGATCTAGGGAATTGGCTGCTAGAGTAGTATTCCCTGCTTCGAGCTCGTAGAGCATTTGTGCCGTACTCGGCCAATCTGCCGGCCTGTACATAGCCCCATAGACCCTCTCGACAAGGGCCGAGTAAGTGACGAGGGAAGGGCCGGCTGATTCTGTGTACGCGGACCGTGGACGAGCTTTGAGAGACTCAAGTAGATCGGCCATACGGGCTTCCAGCTGCGCAAGTGTGACGGGGCCATCCTGGCTAGAAACGGGATTTGCCAATGCACACCACTTCGGACCGGCGTTGATACACTCCCCTAAGAAGCCGTCGCGCCATGCATCTGTCGCATTATCGAGAGAAGTCCAGCCAAAGCCCCCTAAAAGGCGGTGATCTCTTACATATTCCGTACCGTCTAGTATCAAACGGCCCGCTCGGTTGGGAAACATGTTGACATAGGTCTGGCCAATCCCTGTACCATAGCTAACCAAGTATCCTGTGACTTCTTCTTCATCAAGTGCTTTTCGGATCTCGTCTAGATCGCGTGCCACCGACGCTGTACTGATGAAGCGACCAAAATCTCCCAGCCGTTGCTGACAGGCAAAGAAGGTGGCGTTGTTCATGGCATCCACAGTCTCTAACTGGGCCTTTGGGGCCTCCTCGCGATATCGGAGTGCTAGCAGTGACCATCGATCCCGGAACCTGTCTTGAGGGTAACATGCCGCCGCGGGGAGGGAGAAGTTCACACCGCGGGGGTCCCATCCCAGCACATCTAGTTGTCCATCACTGAAGCGGTTGGTCATCTCCTCTGCGGTCTCCCAAAGGAAAGATGTTCCACTTCCTCCTGGGCCTCCTGGGTTTATAATGATAGTGCGCTCACTCCTGTAGCTCTTGGGTGAAAAACCAGTGTCATTCCTATGTGCTAGACCGGCGACCTGGAACTTAGTGACTGCAATTCGGACAATACGAGAGTCTGAAGAGTTGTGATAATCAAGTGGTAGGTCTAAGTACCCACACAGGTAGATTCCCCGACCTGTGCTTCCCCAACTCCAATGATTCGGATTGGTGTCGAAGAGGGCGGCCCATGATTGTTGCGGAGTCGGGTCATCCAGTGGCGGTGGGCGACTGGCATCAGTGCATGGGATAAACTTGAATGGGTCGCCGGGTTGTGGGAATAATCCATAGGGCAAATCCTGCACTTGGGGATCGTCTCGGAAGGCCCAGCGCGGTGCTGGGGTAGGGAATTTACCGAACCCTACTAGGGTCACTATCCCTGCGGCTGCTGCCGCCCAGACGATAGTTCTCCAGGGCCATGTTCGAGGCTTGGGTGTGGAGGTGAATTTTCCCTTCTCCATCGCGGAGTCTAACTGAATGAGGTTGTGTTCCTGTCTGACAAGGCAGCCGTGAGATTTTGAGATTCAAGTTAGGTTAGCGGGATTACACCATCGTCATTAGCGCCATTTTGGGTGTTTTGCAGGGATTGTTTCTAGGGTAACCAGGCAATCTGGATATTGGTCCGAATATACATTACAGTGATTGATTTTCACTGTTCGGGCTACCATTGTAGTCTTGGTGAGTGATGGCTAAGTACTTACCATATGTACGGGCGACTAAGTATGCCACTGTTTCATAACTCTCTTACTTTTTTTTTTTTTCATATTGCCAGGTATTAGTTTAGATCCACTCTCACTTTACAAGTATGCGAAGGTGGTTATATTCCGGCCAGGGATCGGACATTAATTATATAGTCAAAATTTATATGTAGAAAAGTCTCTCATAGAATATGCTTTTTTTTCCCGCCCTCGTGGAAGGGTTTGAATCGGCCCTTATCATATATCAAAAGACATCTAAAAAAGAACATAACAAGGCCGTATAAGCGGCCGATTACAATTCTTGTCTTGTTGTACATGCCAGGCGATGAATGACGCGGTGAGGTAATATCCAATGAGATAGTTATGAACCGGTGGCATACTTTCAAGGTTAGCCGCCCGTATATATACACAAGCTTCTCCATATAGAACTGGATAATTGAAATGCATAGTACAATTAAAGAAAATACGTATTTCCGGTGAATATATAGCTACGAAGCATCAAAATGGTTGCTGCGACACAACGTTGTAGATATAGTCTGAAAGCCGTAAAATGTAGAAACTAGATCTACCCCTCAACCTCACGCTTCCGGGCTTTCTGATTCTTCCCAAGGATGACTGTACTTAGGTCACCCACTGGTAGTGCGATGGGGAAATCAACCGCGTCGAGGATCTGCGCAATGAAAATATGCCAGATGGGAATGCAAAGGGCAAAGTTGAACGCACCAGCAGCCTGTGGATAGAGAAATCAATCTAAATTCCATATAAAAGGAAGAAATAGGTGTGTTTGCAACATACCTTTTGTAATTTGGCGGCCAGGACCAGGTTTCCTAGCGCCGTCTGGAAATATGTGCCAGCAAACAACCCAAATGTAATCACGAGTAGGAAAAGCGCGAGGAAGAGGCAGACGTTTGTGCGGAGGGCACAAATCATGTAAACGAAGGTGAGGAGTGCGAGAGAGACGTAGTAGAACCCTATAAAGTATTATGTTAGCCCTTGCGCGCGTACACGATCAGGTATGATGGAAAGAACTAACCGACGGTGGCGCTGTATTCAGCCGTCTCCATTCCTTCCAGTGTGTTACCATCAGGTGAATACATTGTGCCAACGGCAAAGAATGGCATGAGTGATGTGCCCTGCACTAGCCAGAAGGTGCCTGTGAATCGGTGGGTTCTGATTAGCAAAGGTATTCATTCAATCAGTCACCGACCAATTGCACATACCATATGTAAAGAACAGAGCACAGGAAAATGTATTCCCAAGGATCCATTCACCGATCGCCCCGAATATCTGTACCATTGCACCGAAGAAGATATAGACCGGTCTAGTAGAGGGGCGTTGTTAGTATTGTTTTCCATGTAGCACCTTCGTGGTCTCTCTTACAAAATTGCAGCACCGTTCCCGCCAGCTCCTCTCCAGCCCATAGTAATCATTGCGGTCGGCGTCGCAGCCAGCAAGAAGCCCATCAATGAGATTGGTGTTGGATTGCCAAATGTAGAACGTAGCTTTCCTGCATTTGGTGTCTTGGGGCTGAGATATAACTTTTCAAAGACATCGCGTGGTATAGGAAGCATAACACTATCAGCGGTTTGATAGCGACGAAGCATCTCTACCGTAGAGGCCTCATGCTTATCGCTGATATTCTCGTCGGACATTTCGATATTCAAGGGGCAGGATTTTGATTTTGTTCAAGAAAGCCTGGGAAATCAAAGTGAGACGCCGTCTCAATGATGGTGATAGAGAACTGGAAATCAACTGGGGAAAGAAAAGACACAAACCGGACCATGATGACCGGCCCTTTATGCTTTTTCGTCCGGTCCTTGATCGAGCTGTTTATCTTGTACGCCTTTTTGTTTGGACCAAACCTTCGTAGTATTCCCCACAATCCCCAGCCTAACCCCGGATTTCTTTGTTGACCGACAACCAGTAAGTTGGCACCAATCTGATTTCAGGCCATAGCGTAAAGCTAAACCTGCTTCATTCCTTTCGCAAGGGTAGCAATTGGATAGTATCATTCGCTGGCCAAATCATACTAGATGCAGAGTGGGTCTGAGCCTCCACGTATTCTGTTCCGGTGGTATCCGCATTAGCGTGGGGTAGAAAGTATTATGTGCTGTACGGGGTACTCAGACCCACTTTCCCTTTGCTATCTCCCCGCAATGGTGTCCAGAGCCGAGGGAGTAGACCTGTAAGTCGGCTTCTTAGTAATTGTGTTGCATGAATGGATAGTAATTGAGGTATAAAAGGCCGTACTCACCCGATATAGACTCGCCCAGACTTAGGATATAATTATTTGGCTGATTGGTGGCGCCCGTATAAAGTCCATTCGGTAAAGCTTGCGTCGGTCAAGCCCTCTTGGCATTCTCGGCAATTAGGCTAATCGATATAGCCGCGGTTTAGGGGTGGAGGGTGGAGGGGTGGGTAATATTTTGTCATTGTAGATTTTGTGGACTTGGAGAAAGCCTGGGGGCTTAGTGCTTCCAGGTGGATAATGCAGGACATCAGGGGCAATAGAGCACCATGATGGTTGATACAAAGAGCAAATTGTGTCCACGGGATAGCACAATATCATATGCCGCCATTTTCACCGCCATTGTTGTTATGGCAGCACCCATTTGAGCCTTAGGGGCAATCCATCCAGGAGATTTAGTCAAGAGGTGGAACAAGCAGACTTTTGAGGATCATGCTGGGTTACAAGACTTGCATCCGGTGGTCCAAGCGAGGAGGATGGTTCACATTGGAACAAATAGACACAATCTAGACACCTACGGTTCATACACAGTCATATGAGACTCAAAATTAGAAGCATTACATGCGTATAACAGTACAAGTACATGGGATGTAAACAGTCTATATTTTGCTTCATGCCCAGACAAGTCCAACAGTTGATCCAAATTGGTGAGACACTTGGTGTCCGCAACGCTTGATTTCTGCAACGAGATGTTCCCCTTGCGACATGAGTTACAGCACAACAAAGACTTGAGAGGAGACGCGTTGAGCAATACAAGGGTAAGGTATCTACATTGTACACGTCTTCTCCAAGCGCCCAGACAAGCCGAGCAATTGATGAAAAAAAAAGTGAGTGGGTGTGCTGCAAAATTTATGTGCACGGGTTGTTTTCACTAGGTTTTCATAGTGAAAACCTAGTGAAAACAACCTAATGACTACCTCTAGGGAAGCTGGAAAGAAGAAGAAAAGAAAAACTAGGCTCTGCGGGAAGTGGGGTCGCTTTATACCTGGCTCAGGGACCGGAGCTCGGGGTAACTTTGCGAATTGCGGACGAACCGGACTTCTAGAGAGTCTAACAAGATTAACACGGTCGCCATCATTAACTCTATAAGTCGTTATATCTAACGGCACATATACTTCGTCAACGTAGTAAAAACATTTAGATATACTCACCGCTCGAGATTGCGGGATACTATATTTCTATAGCGCCTTACCGAGAATCTCCTCAAAGATACCATTTGAGTATATATCCGCAATATCCTAAGTATTGATACCACGATCATATGCGTACGTAATAAGAGGGAGAGCCTCCGCCTCCGATATCAACCTGGGCTGCCAGGAGGTCGTACCATAAGTCATACAACCAAGGACGACTTAAGAGATTTTCAGCCCGAAATTACCAAGTCTGCAAAAGGGTAAGCTGGTGTATAGTCGGATATGTATATCGAAACATACCTCACATAACCAACTTTCTTATTAGATGAAATTGTGCTTTCAGAAATAAATGAGACGAGAAGGCACCTGAATGATTAAAAAAAACTTGAGGGGACACCATAGTGTATTTATATCGTGACAAAATGGATTCGCCTCATCCACAAATCGGTTTGCCTGGAAGCAGAGAATACCGTGGAAAAAAAGCTAAAGTCTAGTTTATGTCAGGTATACCTTATTGTCAGAGACTTTCTGATATGGTAGTTTCCTCCATGTTCCTGCACGGATCCTGTTCATTGGTGAGAAAGAACAAAAGTTTTATTCGCCGCATTTCTTGCGCTAGTACTGCACCTGTCAGCACAATGTCCATTCTGCGGGGAATTTGGATCCTTACTGCGTGGGTTGATTGGTGGTATTAAACGGGGATAAGGGTGGAGTACAGAAAAACAAATTATCCAGTGAACCTTAATATCTTAGCTCCCTCTTATGTCACTATTGCTGTAAATGTCACTGTCGCACAAACCTAGGTGTCATAACATCCTCATGGGTTTCTCCGGTGTAATTTTAATTGGCCAGTTCCGTTCATCAAAGATCCATCCTACAAGTGCCGGCGGCATCAAGCAAACGGTGGGGCCCAGTGTTGGCTGCTGACACCCTACTTGGAAGAATGTTCGGAGTTAATAACTGCCAAGACAACGCAGTACATAATTCTGTTCTTCACCCATATTGTTCCTCTCACATACTTTCAATATACAGAACAGGGTTTTACAAACCGTGCTCATCGACAGGACATGGCAATCGAGAACGTGCTCATAATCGGAGGCAATGGCAGAATTGCTCGATCCATGACCAGCTTGATGCTAGCTCGCTCATGGAATGTCACAAGTGTCATTAGAAATGTTCGCCAAAAGGACAGCATTCTACAACTAGGCAATAATCAGCCTGGGAAGATCAATGTGCTGAACTTGGATTTGCAAAATGTCAAGAGCCAAGCCGATGTATCAGAGATTTTTGAAACCGTCAAGCCGACTTGTGTTGTCTACGCAGCAGGTATGGCACCTTCTTTACATTTTCTAAATTGGTCAGCCCTTGACGAGTTCTCACTATGGTGAATCAGGATCAATGCAAAATGTTTTTGCTATCGACCGCGATGCAGCCCAACAAATAATCAAAGCATCTACCGGAACCCCGTCGGTCGTCAAATTCCTAATGATTTCCTTTCCTTCGTCGCGTCGGAAGCCAGCACCATGGTGGGGGAAGAAGGATACTCAAGACTGGCAGCGAGAAGTTAGCGCCTATCCCGATGTAGCTGAAGCTAAGATTCAAGCCGATGAGTATCTGGTTGCTATGAGCAAAGCGCGGGAATCTCGTTCTGGTTCTCCCTTCCAAGCAATCAGCTTACGGCCAAGTTGGCTCCGTACAGGACCACCAACGGGGCGGGTCAATTTGGGCATGACTCCTGCATTGGGTCAGGTAAACATCGCCGATGTTGCGGCGGTAGGAGTGACTCTTCTGGCTCGGAACGACACTAGTGGTTGGTATGATCTTGTTGAAGGATCCGATACTGTTGAAACGGCAGTAGACATGTGCGTGGAGAATAAGGTCAACTGCATTGAAGGGGAGGATCTTGATCGTATTATGGCATTAGCGAATTAGCCTGTTCCATACATATCTTCAAGCGATGCATACATGAGGTAGCGCAATGTTCCCAACCCTCCCAATGTTATAGCCAAATGACTGGCTTTCACTAATGTCAAACATGATTTTTCGCACAGAAATGTATTAAACTAGGCTTTTTCTATGGTATTTGCTAATTTAATAGTTCCAAGTAATATCAGTAAGTCTACCAATACTCTAACGAATTAGTGGTGATTTAATGGCAGAACTCGGGTCTACATTACCAGTGATCAATCAAGAATTGCCTAGAATTTGACCTTGAAAAGTCTCCTTTGCAGAACAACAACACGCCAGTAATATAGTCCTAATGCCTTAGACATACAAAGAGATATCAAGATTTATGGACTTAATAAAGGTAATCCCATACTGTTTACATATAAAAAGAGGACATTAGCTGACTGCTAGCTTTGTATACGCTATATTTACGGGAAGACCATGCAGCATACCTTGCACAGCAGGCGGTCTGATTGGATTAAGGAAGATGGGCTTTGCGAGTGAAGAACCTGAGACAATGTTCCTCCACACTGTGACTGTACTTATTGAATGATTTGGAGAGGGGCCGAATCTTCAAGTACAAGCGAGACCAATTCAGGAATCGCGCAAAAGTGGAGTCGACGCGTAGTATCCATCCTTAAAGTTTGCCTGAAAGGTCAAAAATGGGTGGATGCCCCAAGCATTAAAGCGGGTTATGGGGTGATTAGGTTGAGTAAGCTGGTAAACATCCTGGTGCCTCATCCCCTTTGTTCCCCTGTCTCAGACTGCAGGCTCAATTTATACTGGCTAATGAAAAATAGTGGCCAACGGTAGACTTACTCTAGTCTCTCTAAGTAGCTAATCATTGTGTATCAGTAGTAAAAACACTGTGTCGGTAGTCGGTCTCCACCATATGTTCAACCATCTTTGGCTTAAATCATGAATTATTCATGAACTCCAAGGGTATTCATGAAATATTCAAAACGCCTTGTTCATCACTTATAAGCCCCTAATGACACCAGCAAGGTCGTTCATATTCTCCAAAAACACATCAAACTCAGTTTTTACCAGCTCCATATCCTCGTCAATATCATCAGTCCACCGATGAATATACACAGTTCTCAATCCACACTTCTGTGCGCCCCGCAAATCATAAGCATGTGCAGCAACCAAAACCACCTCTTCAGGCCGAAGCTTCACAAGCTCCAACCCCTTCTCATATGCCTCCGGACGAGGCTTATAGGCACCCAGAAGCTGACTAGAAAACAACATGTTGAAGTCCAACCCAGAGGATCGAGTCAAGTCCAATTGCAGCCGTGTCGTGCCGTTCGCATGAACGAACACTTCCAGACCGAGATCTTGTCGAAGACTCTTAATTGCATCAGAAACCTCGGGCCATGCTTTTTGCGAGTGCCATGCTTCGATGATTTGTGTTTTGGTCTCTGCGTTGAAGTGTAGTTTGTGGTCGGGTGACTTCTCGAGGAGAGCATCCAAGGTGCGGGCGAGGGTGATGTCGATGTCTTCTGGGTGGAGGTTTTCGTTCACGCGCTTGGTATTTTCAAGGAAGTATTGCCTCCGCCATTCCAGCGCAAACTTTGAGGCTTCATCTTTGGGAATTGCTGGGGGTAGCGCTTCCACTATGCTGCTGTGCCAGTCGAGGCATGTTCCCATGAAGTCGAAAAAGACTGCTTTTATTTTTGGTTGAGACATAAATGTGGCTAGTGCTTGTTGCAATTGCTAGTAGGGGGTTTGCAGGTAGATTTCGGAAATAATCGATGAGGGTGGAATCAATTTCTATGAAGAAACCAGGGAATTGGAGTAAGCTGACATGTAAATCTGATCCTCTTGGCGGGGAAGAGTTGGATTAGAAATCCAAAAGCTCCGGCCCCAATCTCACGCATACTACATATATTCCTATGTTATGTCCTCTGTACTCACAGGCCATAACGAAAAAAAGTACTCTGGCTTACTAGAAAGATAAAATATATAAGAGCTTTTAAGAACTTGATTTCAAATATCAGCCGGAAGATATATTATTCAGATCACTAGTAAACGCACAGTTTATAAACAACTACCTACCACATAAACTTCCAGTCAACGAGACGTTGAAGGCCCGAGACTAACCAGATCCCGCGATTGTCTACGAAAAATATAAGTCCGATTAACGACAAATTCTCCCGATTTCACCCTCCCATAAAAGTAATCCAGCATCGCTTCCGCCACTTCATACACTGCATCCTCGTCGGGAAGTTCTCCACCGACGCGGACTGATAAACAGTGAGAGTATCTGTGATGCATAGGTAACTCGTCGATGCTAACCTGTCGGTTCACGACACGGTACATCATAAGGCGGATCAACTCTAGATCGTTAAGCCTAGCCTCATCGGGGTCAAAGTACACTGTGGCCCACACAACATGTTTTCCTGATGGACCGTCGGCTACGGGAACGTTATCTATGCGAGTTCTAAAGGCGGTTCGTGTGGACATATTGATTTTTGTTAGCTCATTGATTGTGAGAATGACCTTGGATATTGGCTGTGGTGAGGGTTCGTTTGAACTTTTAATGAAATGGGGAGTGAAACGGGTGGAGGTTGGATATTCTCTCTCCGAGTGGTGATTAATCCCTGGGTCTTGGGGTGAGTATGTTTAAATACCTAACACTGAGACAGGATGTTATATCTTATTATAGTAGGCTGCTGTAGCCGTGAATGGAAACAAAGATTCTTTGGGTGACAACTGCTTTGTCGAGTCTGCTGTACTAATTATAAGAAAGCACTCGATAAGATGTTCGAACGTTTCTTTCTTATGCCTCGAAATCAAAGCGCACGAACCTTGGACATCGATAAGCCCATCAAATTGTGGGCAGCAGTCATCGCTCTTTTGAGCTCTTTGTTATCAGATTGGCTGTAAGATATACAAAAATGAGGAACAAAGATCTTTGACCTCTACTTTGCAGGATCAGCCCATTAAATTCTTTGTTTACACACCCTACCCACAATATCAACAAAAGAACTCTATACAACTCAATGAAAGCCCCGCCTAAACCCTAGAAAGCATCCGACCTTAAATGAAAAAGCCGAAAAAGTCTCATTCGATCAATCTCAATATTCCCCGCCGCACATTCTGCCTGATAAAAGAGCGCCAGGTCCAATGCATCCCTAAGAAAAGCATCAAGATACAAATGCCGAAACCGTGTAAATGCCCAATAATCCCCACGGGCCGGCAACGAAAGACAACCCATGACTCTGTGGTGCATAGGCTCTGGGGTAATCGAGACACTGACATGGGGTCTCTTTTTAGAGAGATCCTCATGTATATAGTCTCAGCCACGAGATCCATGAACTCTGCATCTGTTTTGTCCCGGTTTTCTGGGGTCGCAACGAATACGTTTACCCATACTATAGGTCCACTAATGTGGCATCTCTCGTCAGTGTAGATACCGTTGTGTGTAAACATACCTTCTTGTGCCATACTTGATGAATTTTGGTTAGTTTCCATATTAGGGGTTGGCGGAGGGTTAGGATTCTTTTGCCGTAGGCCACTTCTACTTAGAAAACACCACGTTGGAGATCAAGATGGGAATTTATGAGATGTGCTCGTATTATTATATTAACTGGGATGTTGTCAAGACTTTGTTGGGATTAAAGGTCTATGTTTCTTTGATCTAATGGCTTTTTCGTTAATTGGAGATCAGCCAGAAATGGCTTCAATCCTGGATTTCTCAGACAAAGACTCCTAAAGAGCTTGTCTTGATTTCTAGAAGTCGACTGATCAAACATAGGGCCCAGTTGATATAGCAAGTATTGTGCGATATATGTTGGTCATGGATATTATAACTTCATTCTCGCGTATATACTGTTCATCTAACATTATCCACATAAAAGTTCTAATACGTAGCTGCTCTGAGTGAAACACTCTCTATACAACACAAATCCAGATCCTTCACAGCTTAATCCACCTTCCCATCCAAGTCTCAACAATCTCCTTGGCCTCATCAACCAAACCAAGATCAAGCAACAGCTGGGTGGTCCCCCGCACAGCGGAATCCAACGCCGAGAAGATCCAAGCATGAGTATAACTAGTGTGCTCCCCAATAAAGATAGTCTTGAACTCCGTCTGGTAGTAAGCAGGCAAATACAAATCCTGCTGCCCAACAAGTGGACTGGCCCAGGCACCAGCCTGATGCTGATCAACCTCCCAGCACTGGCGATTGTAAACACCGGTAAACTGCTCAGCAGCAATGTCGCCATGGGCCTCAATCATCGCGCGGTGAATCAGCGCAACGTGTTCATCCTCGCTCAGCGCGGCTGTCGACCGAGCTGGGGTTCCCGAGATATATGATGCGAGAATAACACCCGGTCCAGTCGCGTTCATATTGAAGGAGGGGTAGCAGACACTTCCAACGCCGGGAATATCGACTGATCCGCATCCACCGAAGATGGGCTCTTCCAAGTGCTCCCAGAATCGCGTCTTGTAGAGCAGCGACATCTTGCAAGCGGGGTCGTAGTTCATGGTCGAGATAGCCCGGCTCAACAGTGATGAGTACCGGGGTAGATCCCACAGTCTGACTTTACTGAATGGTGCAGCAACGACGGCGTAGTCGTATTCCTTTGTTTCTGGCACCATCTGGAACGGATCGTCGCGCCATGCAACGGCGACCTTACCGGATGTCTCGTTGTACACCAGTCCTGAGACTGTGCGGTTGAGGGTCGTCTTTTCTGCGACGTGGGGATAGAATGCGCGAGGAAGAGACTCCAGACCCTTGTCGATGGTGCGCCATTTAGTGGCTGCGAAGTAGACGTCATCGTAGAGATCGCCCCAAATTGGAGTTGACTCTGTGCCGGCGACGTAGTCGGTTATATTGGAGTCGTAGCCGAGTGCGTATTTCAAATATCCGGCCTCGGACCAGTGGAACATGCCATCCTCTACCGCTTGCTTGTGGGCTTGGTACATGTTGGTTGCGATTTTGCGGATTGTTTCCCGGTTGTTCATTGTGGTGTAGTTGTCGAAAGCGGCTTCCGCTTCTGCGACAGCTGTTTCATTAGATGAAGGTGCTGTGTAGACTAGCGAGGAGTTGGCCGCAACTTGGGCCGCAGTGGGGATTCGCCCGTTGGGGAGACGGTTGCCACCAGAGGCTGCAGGCACGTTGGGACTATTTTGGATAAAAGGAATAAAGTTGACCTGGAGATCTGGCTTGTCTTTGTTCATCTTGTTGAGAACACCGGCGAGTTGGAAGACCATGTGATGATCTTGGATTTCAAGCGTCTCATTGGTGTCGGCATAGGTGATGCTGACCGGGAATCGCATTGGTCCCATCTCTTGATATTGATACTGGTCGGGAGTGGTGTTGTTGAGATATTTGGTACGAATACGACCACCAACTCGACCGGATGATTCATAGATGTGCCAGTCATGGATACCAACAGACTCGAGCAGCAGACTCGTCATCAAGCCGGACATTCCACCGCCAAGGATAGCAACAGAGGTATTCTTCGCCTTGGAAACAAATGCCTTGCTATTCTTCTTTGACTTCATGTAAGCAACTCCGTCAAACCACGGTCCCATGGCATCGGCCACATCGGCGATACTCTCTCGCTTCTTGATAGGCGATGACACCATGATGGGCGAAGAGCGGCCCACAAGTCTCGATCCGGAGAAAGCATGCAGACAGTGCGAATGGGGTGCATCAGACGGTGTGGACCAAACGAATCGCTCCGGATGAGCTTCGCGTTCCACGAACGTGCTCCCGATCTCATGGTGACTCTGCGTCGGATCTTGGATCCCACATTCCCCGTAGACAAGCTGCAGGTGACCTTCGAACTGCGCATCCAGGAACTCGACGTGAATGTTGTGCAAGGAGTCTGTGGTTACACCCCCGGGACTGTGGAACCGTATAACCTCAATGTCTCTCCCCGCAACCCCGGCTAGGCTTAGCCCTGATAGACCCAACCCCAAGAGGGTATGTTGTAGATAAACCTTCATCCTTTGTCCGGACAGGTGTGATGTGGAAATAAAATATGAGCACTTGAAAATAGTCTTTCTGTCTCCGTGCTTGCCGTCCACATTTTATATGTGCTTCTTTCTCTTGCATCGAGTATCTTCGGATCTTCGGAATACTAGGCCTGGTATCTTGACTCACCACTATCTTCAAGGCGGGGAATTCATTGCTACTCTCTTATCTGGCGGTGACATTGGAGCTGGTGAAGATAGCTACGATGTCTGTATCCGCGATATTACCTACGGATACTATAGGCTCCTCTGTTGCTTTAGCATCCATATCATCCATGACCGAGGGACTCCCAGGCTGTTACGTAAAATCGCAGTATGCCAAGAACCACAAGCCTTTAGTTAGCAACTGAAATCTAGCAAGCTAAAAGCGTGGGGATTGTCGAGTGCAGCTGTCACTGGCTGTTCGTTTCCCTTATCAAGGCGGGGGCTTCCGACGCTATACCTTATCTTAGACCGGGGTGTTGAAGCTAGTCCGGGGTCGGTATATTCCATGTCAATCGTGGGGAAGGAGATTGTTTGTAATCAAGATGTATGGTATTCTTATCATTTGGAAGCGTAACGATCCAGGCAGGTACACCCGTGGACAGGTACGCAGGATAAGAAATCGAGCCAATACGGTTTAGCCGCTTCAACGGCTCGGCAAGAGGATCTTGGCACGGTGATCTTGGCATGGTGATCTTGGCACGCCCTTCGGTTGAATACCTTCTCGAAAGGCCGAGGTACATATTAATGCCGGAGCTAATAATACTTAGATTGGATACCTTGTTGATAGTTATCATCCGCTCTCTCATCTATTACCTAGGAATGGGTTGTCTTTCCCTGTCTGGTCCCGAAAATACCCGTTGATATGTTCATGGCAGCTAGTTACTACACAGTTTGACCTTTTGGTTCTTAACAGCAAAATGTCAATAAGACGACTATCCAATTGGTATCCTTATCGGATGAGGCCCAGGGTACTTTGATCTGATCCCAAAATTCCAGTTGACCTCCTATATTTGCTGTTCTTCGTGGCCCCGGGGCCCGGGGAGGACGTTGGGTTACATAATTTTATATCAAATTACTCATAAGGGAGGAGACAGTGAAAGCAAAGATAACACAAAGCGGTAATTCCCATAGCGGTATCTATGGCTCGACCAGGCCCATACATCCGTGGAATAATTCCATGATCAGATCGGGGATATATGTGCATAACTAACGTAGCCGAAAGGCGCCGGATCCACCCAGCCAGTGCGGGGGAAGGTCGGACCGTGTCAATGCCTGAATATGTATACATTGATGCCTAATCTAGTTTCTCCCCTTACTACACATTCCAACTACCTTGGTGAACGCAGTGACATAGCTCAATTCATTAGAGATCAACTAGAATGGAAACCTGGCAAGAACACTTTCCAACCCGATACAAGCAAGCTCAGCACAGTCATCATAAAAGCAATCAGCCAAAATTCCTCGAACATCATCCAATCCAGTCTGGATACCAAGATAATCAAACTGGAATTTGTAGCTCAGAAAGTAGGATCTGGGTAATCCGCGCAAGATGGGCCGTCGTGGAGCCTCCAATACCATCTCCGGGCCAAGTTCATCCATATCACCTAGTAGAGAATCAAGAAGGTCGAGTTGGTCGCACACTCCCCAACAATTCTCCATGGTGAAGCCATCATGTTGTAGTGTGTGTATGAGGCTCTCTAATGTGACTGTGAAGCCTTTGTGGGCCTTGTTGAAGCACTGTTCAAGGTCCTGGGCATCTTCAGGTGAATTCATATCTAGGATAAGGGGGAGTTGTTGCTCCCAAGGTCCTTGTTATCAGTAGTATAGGCAGTTTCCGTATTTCTGTACCAAAAAGTCAAGAATTTAGAGCTTGATGGATGAGTAGGAATTGTTTTAACAACGGCAGCTCTCAAGTGTTGGCGGAATTGAGGCTGTTTAAAACCTCCCGGGCAGCTTTGACAGTCACATCGAAAAGACAGTGGTTCAGGGCATAGAAACCAGCAGAAGTTGCAATACTCATTGTAAGGGTAATTTTATTGCGATTTCATCCTTCGGTTAAATTCTGAGGAAGAAATTCATTGTTCTTGTTGCTAGTTGCTACAGGTATCCAAGACCAGTAACAAAGGGCGAAAATCTCAACATATACAAGACAACAGCGTTGAAAGAAATTTTGGATGAAACAATTGAGCATGATTGAGGGCTTTTGCTCAATTTTGTCTAAGACAACGTGTATGTAAATAATGAAATAGTGGATTATACTCCGTAAGCAGATCCAAAATCAAGTAGTTTCATATAAACCCGCTAAAATAACCAAAAATTTATATACAAAGTTCATATCAAATCATTAATCACAACATATCGTTGTCTCCTCCAATTTCCGTGTTTCATCCTGCACGTCATCTATTCCCACTGTAACAACCATCCAATCACACAAGAACTTTCCCAGCCCCGCACCGATGCAGATGCAAATAATCACGTACACATTGAAGTACATGGCCAGCAGCATAGTGATATAAGCTCCTGCAAAAGTGACTGCATGGATCACAGACCTCGTCAACTGCTGCAATGGCGTTGCTCGAAACGTCACGGCCGTCCGAGCAGATTCAAATTTCTTGGCAAACGTGCCGTGCGCGGCTTGGCGCTCAAATTGGCGGGTCAGGAAGTTGTCGTATTCCCGACCAATGCGCCGACAGAACTCGACCAGTACAACGAGAAGAATTGTGCCAATACAGGTTGCGGCAAACATGCCATTGTTCTTGATCTGCCATCCAGAGGACAGAAAGCAGGCGTTGATGGTGTTAAAATTGAACATCATCTGGTCTTTGGTTAGCGAACCCACTTGAATCTCCAAATCTCTTGGCACTCACCGACACCTCGCAGCTGCTCGAGCTGCTGCTGTGGTCCATGCCCTCCATCTTGACTAGTGTTCTGGGTATAAGAGGATGAGGAATTTGAGGAAATGGCGCGTCCGATCTCAGTGCTCCAGGCCGATGGTCTTATAACCTGGTGGCCTCTCTCCACCTACGCTAAGGCGAAGTGGAGAAACCCACCGATGGCGTGGGAGAAATGTGCTCAAATCGCCGCAAATGCGAAATGGCCACCTTAAGCTTGCAAATGGGGATTCGCGTACTGGCGATTGATAAAACCTCGTGGGCTTCGCTCACAGAATCTCAAACCCTCTTTTACGCTTCGCCATGACCAGATAATCCGTCCAAACAGAATTTTCATCAACTTGAGCTGAATCGTCGCTTCACGTCATCGGAACTGGGCTGAGGCTCATACTTGGTCTTCAACATCAGGCCACTGCACAGGGCAGTTCAAGACACAATGTCGTCCCCCAAATTGGATGTTCGCCACATCCAGAATATGAGCGCGGCGACAGCATTAGAGCCTCATTGGGGATACTACGATCGCGCCCTCCCTTGCACCAGTGATGCAGGATCGTGCGAGTATCTCGACATTGTATACGCATCCCATGACCTGGGAATGCTATATTCAGGCATTCTGTGGTGTGTCATTGGCGCAATTTTGCTTCTCTGGGTCGTCCTGAACCAGTTCAATGCGCCAACAATATCACCAACACTAGCAGCACCACAACTAGCCGGGCTATATAAGGTCCGCCGTTCTATTGCTTCATTAGCCCGAAGATATCTACTACCCGATGCGGCTCGGTTTATCTTCGGCCGGACAACACGTCTTCAAGTGCTCACCCTCGCTGTGTTGGCTGGCTACCTCCTCATCTTCAGCTTTGTCGGCATTCTCTACAACACATGGGTCACACCCGTATCAAAGATGCCCGGTGTATATAATACCCGCAACAGCATCGGTCCATGGTCCGACCGCATCGGTACCCTGGCCTACGCACTCACCCCGCTCTCTGTACTGCTGAGCAGCCGAGAGTCCTTCCTCTCAATCATCACTGGCCTGCCATACCAGAGCTTCAACTTCCTCCATCGCTGGTTGGGCTATATCATCTTCGTGCAAAGCTCCCTGCACACAATCAGTTGGTGTGTCGTCGAGCTGAGAATGTACCAGCCCCAACCCACCGTCGGAATTGAATGGGTCACTCAGACATACATTGTCTGGGGCATCGTCGCCATGATCCTTCTACTCCTCCTCGTCTTGCTGAGCACGCCGTGGGGAATCAGACTCACAGGCTACGAGACCTTCCGCAAACTGCACTACATCCTTGCCATGGTCTACATTGGTGCCTGCTGGGCCCACTGGAAACAGCTCAAGTGCTTCATGTGGCCCTCGCTGATCTTCTGGTTCCTCGATCGTGGAGCTCGTCTCGTTCGCACAGCCCTACTACACTACCACCCCGACCACTCCGGTACTCTCGGTCTAGGCTTCAAGCCCGCCGATGCCACCATCACCCGCTTCCCGGACACAGAACACGGTGATGTCATCCGTCTCGACCTGCACAACAACCAGGACCCCTGGTCCATCGGCGAACATTACTACCTATCCTTCATGAAGTGTAGTATCTGGCAATCCCACCCCTTCACACCACTTAACCTCCCCACTGTCTCAAAGGGCATGGTCAAACACTCATATATCCTCCGCGCGAAAAGCGGCGAAACGAAAAAGGTCGCCGACCTCGCTGCTACCGGCATCCCTACAACACCCGTCATCCTGACCGGCGCATATGGCGAGTCCATAACCAGTCACTTAACACCAAGCACCAATATAATCTGCATTGCCGGCGGGACCGGCATAACCTACGTCCTCCCCGTTCTACTAGACCTTGCCCGCCAGCAACCATCACCAGACCGAAAGGTCGAGCTCATCTGGGCAGTCCGCCACACAGCGAATACAGAGTGGGTGGCAGCAGAGCTGGATCTCTTGCAGAAGGCGCGGAATACGTTAAATCTTGAGATTCGCATTTTCGCTACCCGAGACTCGGGAAGCAAGACGCCCTCGATTGAGAACTCGGATTCCGAAAACTGCAATTTGGCTGTGCCAAAAATTGAAGAGAAGGCCGTGCAGGTCTCGCCTTCTAAGTCTGTTTCTGCGTGCTGTGGATGTGATAAGCCTACGGCTGTTGAGCGGCTTGGGGGTGCTTCGGATGATGTTAATAGACATCCTGATCTACCGCGGTTGGTTGGTGATTTCTTGGCTGAGACGGTGCGAGGCCCGACTAGTGTCTTTGCCAGTGGACCTGGTGGGATGATTAGCGACCTCCGGGATATTGTTGCTTCTTGTAACTCCGGTGGGAAGGTCTGGAAAGGGGAGGAGAGATTTGATGTTAGTCTTATTTGTGATGATCGGTTGGAGTGGTGAATGGGTTTGACGGTTTTGTATATATTGCCCCGGTGGCTGCATTCACGAAGTATATAAGCATCAGGGGTCATGGATTCAATGTACATATTTATCATGACGAATTCTACGGATCATATCTATTAACGAAAGAAATATGCGGCTGTAACAGTGTCACTAGGGTCATACGTTCTGCTCACCTCCTTTCAACGCCGTCCGAGTCCATCAGAAACAAGATGCGTCCGAATTGCTTAATATGTACAAAGTGTTTTTGGTCGAATTAGCAGAGGCAAAACACCACTATTCTTCCCCCTTCCTCCTAGCGGAGTGCATAGAACGGTCTACCATTACGTCGCTTTGCCGGCAAAAAGGAAAGCTGCCGAGGCAAGGATTTGAACCTGGATCGCTGCTGAGCCCCAAAGGGCTCCTCATATGAGGACCAACAACTAGCAGTTGTGCTACAATTGCACCACCCCGGGGAAATTTGTACACAGGGAAACATACTTTTCCGAAAGCGGAAGGTGGGTCATAAAGTAGGTCCACATCATATATCTCCATTCCTGTACATTCTAACTCCCAAAAGAAACATCTCTACTTCGCCTGACCATTGACACTAGCATCCCTCCCAAGTCCACCTCCAGGCAAAAGCATCCCAGTCCGATCAATAAACGACCGCGCTCGAATATAAGGATCCAACTTCCAATAGTTCACGCGGAACTCATCAATAACAGCATTCCGTCGCGACTTAAGCTCCTCTACTTTCGACACCTCTTCCTTTCCATCGGATTGCGAGCTCGCAGAGATCCACGCTGCTGTGGCGCTGATCATCCGGATGCCGATCATCATGCGGTCGTACATAAGTGAGTCGCGCGTCGCCGTGTCTTTCATAACTGCGTTCTCGTCTTTCACGGGCTCGTTATATTTATAGGTCCAGGTGTCGTCGCCCGAGAATTCTTTGGGGATTTTGGTGCGGGGGATGAACTTGTCTAGGTCGGCGATTGACCGCGTGAAATGTACTTTGGATGCGACGACCGGGTCCATCCATCCGTGGATGAGTTTCCAGATTCCTTTTTGGTGGAAGGGCGTGGTGTGAGAATTTGTTGCAGGGTAAACTTATGGAATCACTTACCGGAGAATATCCAGGGTGCGTTGTGGATTAATAGTTGTCCCAGAGACTCGGGGTAGTTTGCTTCGAAGCATTTGAGGATGAACTTGACTGGTGGATATTCCTGTTGCGAACTTCAGCATAAGACCAGTCACCTTGATCTATTAGACTATTAGTTCTTACCATATTGGACAACCCGAATCCTGTTAAATCGAAAACAATTGTCTGCGAACATGTCAGCGTAAGTCAACATCTCAACACCTCAGTCAAACATACCCCGGTTTCAACTGGAGGAGCCACAATGAGTCGCACCGACTCAATGCAATGAACAATATACCGCTCGAGAGCCTCCTCACTCTGAGCACCTGGCTTGTGAATCTTCACTCGAACATAAATAACAGGCCGGCCGTCCCTATCAAAGCCATGAAGGAAGCTCTTTCCTGTTTTGAGTTGGTTGGTAAAGTCGGCACCTTCCTTCTTCTCTTTGGGAGAAGCTTTCGGATTACGGGATTGCTCCAGAGCATACTCCTCTCCCCGGGGCAGAATATCCTCATCCACTTCCATTTCCTTTCTCCATAGGATATTCGACGCCATCATCGAGAATGCCTTTCCAACATCCCATTTCCTGGCGCGCAAGAACCGGAGCAACAAGCTATCCGGATTTTCTTGCTTGATCATTTTCAAAATAGCAAAGCACATTTCCTGTGGTGTCATCTTGGAGAGGATAGTCTCCATAGATTTGATTTCTGTATCCTGTACTCCCAATTCTCGGAGCTGTGAGAAAAGGGAAGCGAAGTGTGCCGGGGTGACCTTTCGATTGGCCATTTCTGAAATGATGTTGTCTTTGGCATTTTCATTCATGAGCGCATCTACTTTGTCGAGTGATTTCTGCTCTTTATTATCCGTGCCATTTTCAGCGGCCGTTTCTCCGTTGGTATCGCCATTTAATTCCGCCGGTACGTTCCCATTCGAGGTTTCTCCGTTGGAATCTTCCCCCTCAATGCGCTGACAATAGCCTCTACCGTGGGCTCATTGATCTTGTCCAAAGCAGCAAATAGCTTGCTAGATGATCCCTTCGGAATCGGGACCTCATACACAGCCGACAGGACAGTCGCAACGGAGGTCAAAATGATGATCCAGAATTCGATTACCTTTCCTTCCTGGTCAGGAGTGAGGTGTCCGAGGTGTCCAGACGTCGGTTCGGTGGTGGAAGACATGGCGTGAATAATAGGTATATTTCAAAGTGGACTTGAGGAAATCAACTCATATTTTAGTCGCAAACTCACTGGCGATGGGGTCTTGTTCTTCAATTCATCCACTGCTGACGGGTCCACATGAATTGAAGGGCTACCTCGGCCACCCCAGATTCACGGGCGAATTCAAAGTTGATACCTCGGTGTTTAAAACCGGTCGATCGTTTGTTGAAATGTGGGTTCTGGTACCTTTACTTTCGTGGGGGATCTTGAAACAGCCTCGATGAACAGGCGCGAACGGACCCTTTGAGGGGAAGCGGGGATGACGATCCCCCATATTGCGGAGAAGATTGTCGCACCGAGGGGTTCGATTCTTCCCAATTTTGAGCTTCGAGTGCATAGAGACGTGAGATTTTAGCGGATGGTTACTTTATTTTTACTGCTTTCGCATATGGCTCTAATCCAAACTAGGTATGCAGAATGTCAAAAGTATATACACACTTTGGTTGTACCAAAGGCACCTATTCCTTCACTACCCTCGGTTATTCCTACTAACTTCCCACTGAGAACATTCATATGCGTTCTGATTCTATGGTTTGCAAATACAAGAATCGTTTCAAAATATGATGTATTGATTTGCCGAAAGACTAGATGACGCAGCCCACTTTTTGCTATAAAGCCTATCTTCTTGGCACCAGCCTCAATCCTACTCGGAACCCTCAAGGCAACTGTTAATGGGTCCAGGGGGTTGAAACTTAAAATTGCCCGGAATCAACCTGCTATTGCTCGCCATTGAATTCTAACTAAGATAGCAACTCCCCGCAACCTCCCGCTAAAATTGCCTGCGAAATGTCCTCGGTGGTACATGCCTGGCCTTAAAAAGGAATAGACGAGATAGATCTAAGGACACGCTTGAAATCTGTTCCTAGTATTTCCTAAAGAGTGTCTATCGGCGTCGTCATATATGTAAGCACAAGATTTCTTCTGGGTTTCACTAGGAGACCGAGGTCTAGCGTAATGTGACTGTGGTGACAATCTGGATGTTTCTATATTGTTTGTACTGTTTGTTTGCCTGTCTAGATAGGATCCTCGCTCGATCTTTCCTTTCTTTTCCTTTTGTACTGTTTGATCTTGGCGATGGCCTGCCAATCCTTACTAGATCTCCTCAAAGTCCATAAATAGGGGCCCAAGGCCCAACCAGCAGTGGGCTATAGGCTATTATGGGCCCCCATCGATAGCCCATCAGAGCCCATTAAGGGGTTCTTGGCGCGTACAACCCGGTGTCTCGTAATCGCTATATTCTAGCCTCCTACTAATTGTATAGAGTTATAATAGGTATATAATTATATATTTTAATTTTAGACAACATCCAGCTAGTGGAGGTCGAGATATTATGAAAGAAAAGGTTAATATTGATATTTTAGATGTTCGATATATATTTAATTTATATGGAAGTACCACCACTTTCTAAGTGAACCTCTGCCATTTAAACCATATCTAAATACCGCATTTTCTCGCGTGTTTAAACGTGATATATAAAATCAACTAATATCAAACTCGGAATTGACTACAATAATAAAATAGCACCCTGCCCCAAAGCCCAGCCCCTTTGCGGGTTTTGTTAGGTTAGGCTATATATAGGCTTTGTGGGCTTTGCGGAGGTCTATCCTTAACCGCCCGGTCCCACTTGCGGTGCGATCCCAAACAAGCCATACTCGAAGCTCGAAGTTCGGACTACAACATTCTCCCCACAAAAGGCCACATGAACCAGTGTCAATCTTTTTGACTTTGTGTATAACAATGACGAGCAATATTCCCCATATCCTCATGCATCCCTCCAAGGCGCTTCCCCAATCGCCCTGGGCAGTCTCGTCCGCCCTTCCATCCCGAATTGACCCGTCCTTGCTGGTTGAAGAGGAGAGCTCTCCCTACTACGAACCAACCTATTTTTATCCGGCGCGGATTGGTGAAATCCTTCATGACCGGTATCAAATTGCGACCAAGCTTGGTCACGGAAGCAGATCGAGTGTGTGGCTTGCAAGGGACCTTCACCAGTTCGTATTAGTCTAATCACATTTTTAAGGTATATGCCGACAGTCTAGGTGGTGCTGGTCGAACCAGCGATATGTGGCTCTTAAAATAAACTCCAATAATTCCCACGCATGGAAAGCTGCTGGTGACGTCGAGATGGAGGTTTTGCGACATATAACGAGAGCGAATTGTCAACATGAGGGCTGGCGTTTCGTTCGAAAATTACTTGACTCGTTTCCTGTCCAGGGAATCTCAGGGAGACATGTATGTCTCGTCTTCGAACCTTTACGTGAGTCTCTGGGAAATTATTGCCAACGATGGCAAGATGGCGTGATGCCACCAGAGATTTTCAAAATAATCCTCCAAGAAATACTCCAAGCGGTTGATTATCTCCACACTGAATGTCATATCATTCATACCGGTAAGAATTCTTAGTTGTGTTAGTCAACAATATCTTTCAATTAGATATCTTATATATAACTAACACTGCATTTCAGGAACACTCAAAAAGGAAGACCTTATCCCTAGTAAATTTAGCTCTGAAAGCACCCTCTCCATGTTTAATGGGGAAGAAAAGAGGATTTTTATTAGCTTCATCAACCGGATGATCAAATGGAAACCCGAAGAGCGAAGTACAGCGAAGGATCTACTGCTGGATCCATGGCTTCACAATGATTATCCGCAAATATGAGGCAGTCTTCGATTTTTGTTAAGCGATTATTCCGTCAAACCTAGCGATTGCAAGCTGATAGCTAAGGGGCGTTGTTAGGGAATGAGCTAGGCGGTATAAGTTATATCTTATGTACATAGTTCCGAGTAATTAATCTACCATTCCTATACTTTCCAAATGGGGCTGACCCTCGTTATTAAGAGAAATTGCAATGTTGGTGAATCTGCTCCGCACTCGGCACATTCCTCAAAGTTAAAAAGGATCAAATATTAAATGCAAACCGTATTAGGAGGTAGGTATGACTGACGTTGAACGACTTAAACCGACTAAGTCAAACTCCAAACCTTCAATTGGTGTATAAATATCTTCACTTAGTAGTGATATGGAAGTGACCTGTCGGGAGGGGGGCTCCGCCAAAATATAATAAATTTCAGTGAAACTTTCGCTATCTATGGAGTGCCTTAGATCTTCCCACGCCCCAAGAAGGCGACTGGAATATTAACAAATAGCAAAGATGATGCATTAGATCAATTCTCCAGGCCATCTTTGACGCTGCACCAGAAGACAGATCATGCGATAACTGGGCAAAATCCGCTCCTCCCTTTCGAAATTACGCTTTGATCAAGCCCTAAACCCTAAATCACTTTTACGGATGGAAGACGATTATACTCTATAAAGGTGTCTTTCTCCAGCTCTTATTTGGCATGGCGGCGATGAGCTTGATGAAGACGACATCCCAGTTTGACAACGAAGCATAATTCTACAAAGCGCAGACCTTGGCTTTGCTTGCTCATGTGAGAGAACTTCCTATGGAGCACCATATCTTCCATGCACCGGTGCCTACACGGCAGGAATACAATACGTTCAGTGAATATTACACTGCTACGGATAGTTGGAATGACTACGTTACTGTGGGATCAAAGATCGAGAGCGAGAGATAGGGTCGAGTATACCTCCGTTGGCCTTGCTATCTTGGATTTTGTTCCCTTGCTAACCGAAAGAGAGAACCAAATCATCAGCCCTGCCTTTCCATTGTTCCATCCCGACCTGAGTCTCAACGATTTGTTCGTTGATGACGATCTGAATGTGACGTGTATAATTTATTGGGCTGCTTGTACCTCATCTGTTCCAAAGTCAATGCTACTAGTCTGTCCCTTGACTGCATAGCCTCAGTTGTGGAAGGTTTTCTTTCTTGAGAAAGGGTTTAATGGCCAATCAGCCTTTCCTTTCGAAAACAGTAATGATCTTTGGCAATTCTCTCGGTTAGTTAATCTGGATTCTATCCAGGATTACGGTCACCTCTCAAAGCTTTTCCAACCACTTGCCCCCAGATAGGAGCTTCATGCAAATCTTCGTGACTTGAAGAAATGCAATGGGTTTATCAACTCGTTGAGGGCCCTATCCCAATCCACCACGACATCCGAGGAAATACGGAATGAGAAAGAGTACTTTGAATGTAACGGGCCCGAGAGATTGGCGCTAGCACACCATATGACGACAATGGCAAATCTGGATCAGCACCTCTGGAAGTGGGTTTCGATATACTTGAAGGAGCGAGAAACATACATGTTCCCCACCCTTGAGCGGGAAGTTAAGTGAAATCTGTCGAAATTGTCTCAGACATCAAAATCCTTGGTCTGTCAACCTGAAAGGGGCCCAAATAATCACCGCTGAGGGCATTACGGCTCACCCCGTACTTTTATAATACAGGCACGGGGAAGCTTTAGGCTCACTGGGATAATCGTAATGCAATAATATTGATTTAAGTTTCTCCTTCTATGGTAACAGGGCCGGGATAATATGCCTGCTTCGATGGGATTTTAAGTATGCTCACGGCTAAGATTAGAAAGGCGACAAGCGCTTTACGGATATTTCAATTTTATCTCCAGCCTACAGGAACCGTAAACTATGAGTAGGGGGGTGGGCCTAGTACTAAAAGCGTTAATCCATAGAGTATTAGCTCGTCCATATGGAGTGTCTACTTTAGCACAGGGCATGAAATAATACTAATACCAAGGATGATAATACTAACATTACACTAAGGACTGTAATAATTAAAATTACGATGAAAACGATAGAGAAAATAGTGATAAGAATACTACGTAATAGTAGAAGCAACCTTCGAGCGATAAAGATGATACTAACGAGAATGATATCAACGAGATTTATACTGGTGCAAAGTATAATGAAAAGAATGTTGATAAAGATGACGCTGGTGGAGATAATGAAGATAATACTGAAGATGATAATAGAATTACGAGGACTTTACAGGGTGTAAATGGTGATAAGTGGTATTCTCGCCGAACGGGGTTTGTCGGGATTTGCCTTTCGGCACGCCTGCACGGCAACTTTATATAATTTTGGATGGAACCATAAAATTCCATCGGGCTATCTTCGGGATATGCTCTCGGGTTCGGGTTTGCACATCTATCTACTTATGTAGTTTATAAAAGGCTCCTGGTGTAAGCAACGTAAGTCAAACACTCTCAAGCTCGCAACCCACCACAATGCGTCTCACTCTAGTGTCAATGCTGTTGGGAACTGCCCTTGGCATCCATCATGGGCAGCCAACTGCAACCAACTCTACAAAGTACAATAATTTGACTGTCGCCATAGTCCGAGCGCCACCAGCAAACTGGCCGCTTCCCGTGATGAACAAGAACTGGACGGACGTGAAATTCGATCTCAACCAGACGGTAGTCAAAGCCACCCACCTTATCGAAGATGCTGCCAACGCTGGAGCCAATCTGGTTGTCTTCCCTGAGCTATGGTTCCCCGGGTATGTTCTCTGTCCTAGGCACAACCAACAGTGAAAAATACTGATCCTGGCTCCGTATTCTCTAGGTATCCTAAAGGCATCGCGGACAGCACATCCATGAAAGACCATATCCAAAACTACTTTGACAACTCTCTGATCGTCGGCAGCCCCCAATGGGACACCCTCATTACTGCCGCCAAGCATAACCAGGTTTACATCGTGCCAGCATTCTCGCATCGCGAAGGTGACCTCATCTACATGGCGCAAGCACTCATTTCGCCGGAGGGCGAGGTCCTTTTGCTGCGCCACAAGCTGCGACCATCAGGAGGTGAACGTGAGATCTGGTCCGACGGAACCATCGAAGATCTCAAAGTGATCGCGACTCCGTACGGCCGCTGGGGTCTGTTGGAATGCTGGGAACATTTCCACCCCGCTATGACCTTCAATGTCCAGTCCCAGAAGGAGACACTACACATCGCATCCTGGCCATGTAAGCTGAACTTCAAATGCTTTTCCTGCAAGCTGTGTGCCTCCCTGCTAACTCTAATTTAAAGTCACTCCTAACGAAGGTGATTCTGACGCATTGGCCTTTGAGGCTGCCGAGGTGAATGTGGCCGCCGCGCGGACCTACGCTGTCAACACAGGCGCACCCCTTGCTTTTGCTTCTGTCGGAAACGTACGCTTCATCGGCAGTGATGGTCTTGATGGCAAGGTGGTTAATGCCTCGGTCTCCTTTGAGGATGTACCCTTGGTGTTCGCATCCTTCAACACGACGGGGCTTGCAGAGACGGCACCGTATGATGCCGACGCGGAGCAGTCTTGGGGAATACTGGGACAGATCAATGCGGGATTCCCATCGTATATTCCAAACGTTCTGGGTAAACTGGTTCCGCGTAGGAAGATTTCCATCTCGAAACTTCTTGCCCGTGCTGGGTGAGGTACCATTTACTCTTACTATTAGAAGTATGGCCATTTTTTGAATGGAGGCAGAAAGGTTCTTGTTGGGATGTCTCCGTCTAGCCGTCTGTTTCCGTGCTAGAAAAATCTTGTCTCTTTTCTATACTTATATATTAAGAGTATTTTCTCCTATGAGCTTTGCTATCAGGTGTTTATTGCACATAGAATGTTCTCAGGCATTTTAAGATCATCCTAACTATCCCAGTTACCCTTGGCCAAGGAATGATGAACAATTTGCGGAGTATTATGGTAGTTACATTAGGATTAATATGTCAATGTGGTAATTAATCATATCGGTTCTACTAGTAGGAGATTTATTTACTAGCTTTTGGGTCTTACTATATGGCTGCAGTCTTTTGTTCTGGCTAGAAAGTAAAAGAGGATACTTGTAAAGACACCACTAAGCCACTACAAGGACACCGCGAGGATATGACGGGAATACGACGAAGATAGTACGAAGACGTGATGGAATACGAGGAGACCGACAGCATAGGTATAGAACACCAACAGAACACCAACAAAAAGAGGTATCAAGGCATAAATAAACAGCATCTCTAATAACATGTTGGGAGAACCAAAATCGAGTGCTAAATGCATATGTGCTCGCACTGGACAAGGAAAGCGCCCGCATAAAATTGCGTTGTGGGTAATCTCGATTTCTTTATCTGCATCCCCGACTTCAAGAATATGATATACAATGTAAAACCAAGCTTCCAAGCCCTATAATATCACAACGCCCATAAGCGCCCCAAAAAGAACAATTGGCACCACAAAGGAGCAGCAGAGGCCGAGGAAAGACTTGTCAGAGCTAAGTTCCTCTTCAACCTCCGCTCGTGGGTACGATATTCCCTTCTTGGTGGTGAGTAATCTAGTGTTTCTGGGGTGATATATCGGGGAATTGAAAAGATGAGCAATAGGTACCCAATTGTTGACAATGGCCAAAAAGCACAAGTGCAGCAACGGCGGCCAAGCGATTGTAGTGAGCAGTTTGGGAATTGTCGGTCCATTTCCGGAGATAGCCACCCAGACAGCAAAGAGCATAGCTCCCGCAGTCGCAATAAAAAGACAAATGTTCAACAAGGTACCGCTTTGAAGAGTATCTGTGTATGCTTTTTGAAATGACGAAATAGATGTAGCATTTTCACTCGAATTGGCAGTGCTTCCGGTAACAAAAGATCCCTTTGGCTTGCTTCCAAGTAAATGGAAGCGTGTAATAGCGTATAAATGGGCTAGTGAGGCAATATGTCAGTATCAAGTTCCACGCTCGATCAGACATGAGGAAATTCTCAATCAAACTTACCAGCAGCAAGCCAACTATTTTCTGCGTGTGCGAATGGCGCAAATGGAACACCCGCGTGTGCACTTCGAGCCCAATCATATGCCCATGCAGACGCAACATGAGCAATGGCCAGAATAAGCTGGATCTTGACCTCAAACGCCGATCCAGCAGAAATAAATCCACCATCAGACACAAGAAGAAAAGGCAGAGCGACAAACCCAACTGAATAGGCCACAAGACCTGCCATAATAGACAGTCCTCCAAGGGCAATATCCCAACGCAGATTCTCAGGGATCTCCTTGCTGACAGAAGGGAACAATAGAGAAATCTGCTGAGAGTGCCCAATGTGCCATCGATTCCGCTGTTTGAGATGCCCAGCAAGAGAGGTAGGAACGAGGCCGAATTGCAAAACCTCTTGTACCTGCGTGGTGCGCTTCCCCAGCCCTCGTAAGATCAACGAAAGCTGCCAATCCTCCGAGAAAGAATAGGTCGGGTATCCGCCCGCGTCAAGAATCGCGTTGCGACGGAAGACTGCGCCTGATCCAGCGTCTAGTGCATGGCCGAGAAGATCGAGTTCCGTATTCTCACAGGTGTAGAAGTAAGCCCGTGACTGGGAGAGGGGATCGCCACGGGGTAGGTTATAGAAATATTGTCGCGTGGTCAGCAATGCTGCCTCCGGGTCTTCAAGTAGATGGGGCAGCGTTGCGCGCAGAAACTCCGGCATTAAGATGGAGTCAGCGTCGACGACTGTGCAGAACTCGGGCGGGTCTTCAGTTTGTAGGGAAAACAGAGCATAGTTGAGGTTGCCTGCTTTAGCAAAGGATTTCCCAGATTGCTTGCCGCGGGTATGATAGGACAGGTGGGTCCACTTCGTGTTGAGCTTCATAATCGCGTTTCGCAGCTCAATTGATCCCCCGTCGTCCAGAAGCCGGACTCGAAATCGCGAAGCTGGGTAGTCTAAAGCACATGCTGCTCGGACTGTATCCAAGATGATTTCGACTGGTTCTCCGCAGCATGTTACTAACACATCAACTCTGGGCAGGTTCTCATTGCTGCGTAGTCTCTTGCGGGGTGTCCGCTGCGGGGGCCTTGTTGTTGCGGCTAAGGACAGGCGTTGGTGGTTCAGGGACATGTCTGACGGGATCAGCCGCTGCTCGGTGTTCTTTATTGGAAAACAACTTACGACCAAATAGACCCTCAACGCCAAGCATTATCCACATCTTCCATGTTCTGTCCAGAGTTGTCAAGATGAAAAACAACCGCACTGCAAAGTAGATGTAGGTGGTCCATATTGCTGCTTGCGCAATACGGCGGAGATATTCCCGGTATTTCTGCGCAAACAGGGTACGATCATCCGGGGAAAGCTCCTCAACATCGTAGACATGGTCAGGAAACATTGAAGCGAAATTTGTGCCGTTGAGTTGTCTGGTTGTGATTCTGTTGCATATTCCAAGGTTATATATTTGGTTGTCAAGAATACCACGACACAAGTTGTCTTTGAATTCTCAAGGATTTTTCCTAGGCTTTTAAAGAAAAACTTTCCATCCAAAAAAATTAAGGGGTATGAATGCATCTAGGGCTATCTGCAAGCCCCATTTTCTTCTAGAACTTACTGTGTCTATTTATACTATCTACATGAGGACTATTGTTGCCGAGAACCAATCATTGCACCCCATGGTATGAACGTTAATAGCGCTAACCTTAACTAGCCGTGAATTGTAAGCGGATCCACATCCTTGTCATCCGATTGGTTCCCTATTCTATGAGATCGAAGATGGCATCTGGGGACTTTCGACAGGTTGGCGCTATGGTGTTTTATTGTCTCAGACAATCATGATGGTCTAGCTTGTTCGGTTTTCTTCTGACTTCCAGTTATGCGCATAGGAAATTAACAGAAGAAAACGAGTAAAAAGGCCCAGACTGTGACAAGTGATAAACGTACGGCTGATCACAGACCAAGAAAGGATAGAGCCAATAACCCAAGTAGCACATAACCTAGCGGTTTCTTTTTTTGGTGAAAATTGCGTGGATTAGAATAGCATCCTTAGGTACCCCGCCCTGGGCTTCCAGATTCCGATGTTATGCGATCGACGATCCCCTGCGGAGAAATGGCATTAACGACTTGATACAGGCAAAAGCTCCCGGTTAGCTTTTATCATTACAATAGAGGCAATTGTTTGTTTCAAATTCGTGGACACACGACCGTGTCATCTTCGAATCCTAGCCGCACTTAACTTTGTTGAGGAGAGCATCCATCTCTGTGATGATGAAGGCCTCCCTCTTGAACGTGGTCAGTTATTATCCATGTAAGTCTTCAAAGATGTGGTTCTCATAGGGATTTACAATCTCGTCGTTAGTACTTTATCCAGTCTGAACTGATCGAACATCTGCCTTATCAAGATGGAGACCAAAGAATGACCTAGCGTATTGAGGGCAGTTGCACATCCCTCTTAGGATCCAGGGTACGTAATGCGTACGACCTGGCGGCCACTAGCTAGAATAGCCTTGATAAATAGATGATAAGGAGAGGACTTTAGTCTAGGTGAGTGAGTATGGTGCTATTAAATAAAACTAGGGATATAATAAGTATTATTCGGCTAAGAGGGCATTATTTATCTGTTCCTCCTATAGGATGATTCAATCTACGAAAGCAATAGAACGAGCAAGAAAGAATCATATGAGAAGGCAATAAAAAATGACAGAAAATGAGAAACCCAGCCAGCACCTATATCTAGGCCACGCTCAAACTATAATCCATTTGGTTTGGGGGGTTGGGAGAGCTTTTTTCTTTTTTTTCTTTTTTAATTCGCGGATTGAGTGAATGGAACGGCGGCAGCCGGGCCCGGGGGGCTACCTGCATATTTAATCCGTGCGAGCCCACTCAACCACTGGGGGGTCTGTCGGTTGGCAGGAAGTTATTGGCCTGAAACTTATAGAAGTCTGGGGAAACATATGCTTCCTAAAATGGAAGGTGGGTCGTATCACGTGTTGGTGCCTGGAGATCATATGCTTAAATATAACTACATCTATGAAAGAAAATACAGCCATTTTACTACTAGACTATAACAAAAAAACATGCTTCCTGTTTAAGGCCTATGGGTGCCATATCCCAGACTGACACGCCCCCAGGGGATGCCGACTTGTCGGATTCCTCGTAGCATGTGTATATACTATCTATCGTCTTATTATGGTCTTCTTAGATTTATCGGTGGATCACTCCTTTTTAGTTATCTCAAACCCTCTGGGCGGGCACTTTGTTCCAGGGCTGGAGCTTCTGAGTCCCTGGTTTTCCACGGTCTCGAATCACAAAATTATACAAGGGTACGGGAACCAATATATTTGTGAATTCTGGTTCTTGAACTAACGACTAGTATTCCCAGGCACTTAGAACAATCTGGGCTTATAGCTGTTAGAAATTGACCTGAGCAACAATATATGGTAAAAATGATATATGTAAAATTAACTAAATTGACAAAATCCGCTGTTTTAACAATATATGCGGGCATCGCTGGTTAAGCGATGTATAGACTTTTGTATGGTACCGTTATCATGACGGTCCATATATTTTCCTGGTTGTAAAGACTGTGTAAATTCCACCATGCATCATATATGGTACTCGACAATATACAATATTGTCCCGCGAGGGTTGATTCCCTCTTAAAGGAATTCCTAAAAAGAAGCAGTGGTTAAGGTGAGCAGAGAGACATATACAAAGGCAATAAGAATTGACAAAAAGTGAGAATGCCGGCCAGCACCTATGCCTAGGCCACGCCCAACCCCTTTTTGGGAGTTAGGAGAGCATTTTTCTTTGGTTTTTTATTTAATTCGCGGATTGAGTGGATCAAACAGCGGCAGCCGGGCTCGGGGGTTACCTGCGTGTTTAATCCGTGTGCGCCCACTCAGCCGCTTGGGGGGACTGTCGGTTGGTAGGAAGTTATTGACCTGAAATTTATACAAACAGATCTTACCAAAAGGGGAAGGTGGGTCCATCCATTTGATATCGATTTCGAAGGCTCATTCTTCACATCCCTGCCAATGGGTTTGTTTAGAACCATTCAAATTATTCGGCGATCATACTTCTTTCATGTAAACATATACCAATTCTTCGTTAACTGCTCCAGTTGCCTTACTGCCTGCACAGGTTGTAAGGGCGATTTCTTCCAGCTGCAAATCTCGGAAATGAGACACCCTTAGGCCAATATCACAGACAACTTCTTCATCCAGCGCTGTATGAAGTTAATCAACGTTATAAACTGGACTAATTCAAGTACATATGGGTCATACACCGATGCAACACCCAGCCCAACTTCTTCGAGGCCTGACTGTGTTACACGCTCATCAAATCCACTCAATAGTGGTACGGATAATCGAGTCTTATAACCCGCTTTTTATAGTAGCAGCATATCCTTGAGGCCTTGTATCGCTGAACAGGACCGTGTTTCCCGGGGAACGGGTCTAGATAAACTCATACTTTCAGTTCAAGGCTTCCCCACCCGGCACAACTTGAAACCTTCCCGAGGTCTCATTCGACGCCAAACACCCATGTATATCATCTGGCCGCGCCACTCATTAACATTCTCAACTGTTGCAGGTCCCAAATCGCAAAAACGGTAAAGAAGTTCATTTTGGCTTGGAGACCAACCGCCGCCGTAATCTTGCCCCATTTTACAACGCAACGCATGTTTAACAAAGAGAAACATGACCCAGGATGTTGAGATTTAGAAGCTACTTGGATATGAAGCAATTAGTGGCTCCGTCTTCTCCATATCTTATTAGCGTGACCTTTCTCTAATCACCCTAACTCAGCTATCGAGGTGAATTTTGCGCCCTCACTGAGAGACATCCCACCACCACTTGTTTCTGTACAACGTGTCCAAGGGAGCCTAGGTTGTTTCCCTAATCGGCTCAACGGCTGTTATCCGTTACAGCTTGACGATTCCACCATTCTCAAAGTCGGACGAAAAGTCCACATGGGAGAGATGGAGGCTATTATTATGGACAAGAATCAAACTTCAGTCCATGTTGCTAAGGTGCTCAACGCTTACATGATTGAGGAAATTGGATCCATCTTGATGGGGAAAATACACGGCTGTCAGGTTTTTGAAAGCTGGCTAAAATTACCCCGAGTGCTGAAGCAGTTCATTGCACAGGAACTACAAAGCCATATACAGCAATGGCAAAAAATCGAGTGGTCATTTTTCGGGACTGTCATATAGCGGCCATGTCAGGAGATCATTTGACAAAATCCCTAAGAGAACAAAGTCTACAACGATCGGCCATTTGCTTCCCGTGAAGACTGCCATAAATGGATGGTGGAGGCTATGAAAAAGTTAAGGCCCAATCTAAAGCTCGAGACAGAGCCGGATATTCTCTCTGCAGAAGAACTCCCCGGGGGTGCTGCAGGGTATAGTGTGCCGGAGAGGAAGTACATACTTCGCGTTTCGAGGGCCAGTGCTCGACTTAGAGTGGCGAGAAATCTCTACGTCTATCCTACCGCCAGATGGATATGAGTATTGGAAGAATATCAACTTTAAAATGATGCTGTATACATGTATCTAACTATGTAGTCATTCTGTGGTATCCACAGTATCACTTGATAGAGCATTCAATATTTGTTGTGTGGGTGGAAATAAGCTCAAATGAAAGTTTGAACCATCCGGACTTGTCTGGGACCTCGGGACCCCTGTCGGAGACATTACATAAGCATTTTGGTCTGCCGAGGATGAATGGATCCCGAGTTCGGATTCTAATTCAACCGCGTGGATCTCATTCGGCGACTTTTTATGATCTTTTACAGGACCATTTCGCTTCACATCCTTACCAATGGACCCATGTGTCAAAACTAGGAGTATTCCAAGGCGGAATATAATCTCCGGTGGGGATTTCGTGATTTTTTTGCCTCCAGATCAGATGGTTAATGTCTATCCAAAAATTTCGATGATAAATCAATCCTCAAATTCCCCACCATAGATCAGTACATAAATCAAGCCACCCCTGGCCCTACAAGATGGAATTAACCACACATATAATAATATTTATACCTGGACATCATCAAAATGACCTGGCCCGACGTCTCCGCTAAGCCCGCTGAGGGCATCTCATACTACACCCCTGCCCAGAGCCCCCCGGCAGGCACAGCTCGCACTCCCCAAACGAGCGGAAAGCCCATTCCCAAGCTCTTCAAGCCTCTCACCATCCGGGGCGTGACTTTCCAAAATCGCCTGGGTGTACGCAATTCCCTCCAATCCCTTGCATGATCACACAGCTGACAATAACCCTGCAGATGGCGCCAATGTGCCAATACAGTGCCGATGATGGCCACATGACCGCCTGGCACATCGCTCACTACGGTGCCATTGCCCAGCGCGGACCCGGACACATTATCATCGAAGCAACTGGTGTTGTCCCCGAGGGCCGCATCACGCCCGGCTGCGTGGGTCTCTGGAAGGACTCGCAGATCGCGCCCCTGAAACAGGTCGTTGATTTTGCGCAC